CCAATCAACATCATTTACCACGTGGAGATGCGGCCCCTTTTTCCACAGATTCAAGGTTGAAAGTACCTCTGCGATGGGTGGCAGTCTATGTTCTGCAGTAGACTGTCGGTACAGTGTCAGGAAAAGCTCATTTTTTACCCTTGTTATTGAGGGAGAAAAAAATGCATTCTACGGGAGCAATGAAAGCCAGCCACGTCAAAGTGCTTCTGCACAAGCTGTGTGCCGAGAGAACTAGTGTCGCATAAGACATTCTCACTTATTCTCAGAATACTCCACAGCCACGTGCTGCGAGCTGAGTATCCTTCTGCAGCTGGAACAGCTTTAGGAGCGGCAAGCACAGACTCAAGCCGGCCATGACAACTATGACATCCGTCCAAAGAGGAGCGCTAATTATTTCGAGAAAAATAGTGCAAATTCTAGAACTATGGTCAACATTTTGCACAGTCACATTTATTGTTCACAAAGGCCTCATTGTTTTCTTTTTTGTTTTTTTGTTTGTTATATAAACACTGCAGTCGAACCCGGATATATCGAATTGAAAGGGGACCGTAAAATAGTTTGATATATCAATAGTTCGATGTATGTTAAATTAAGGTCGACAAATTTCCTGGCGTCACTGGTAATACCGAAGGTCGCGACAGACGGGAGCTTATCAAGCTTATCAAACCAAGAGCCGCTAAATACAGTAGAGTGTAGTTGGCTGAGACCGCAAACACCGCCGCGCTTACACGCGCGCCTGGATGGGACCTTCACGTAGCATAAACAACAAAACAAAAAAATAATAATAATAATAAAAAAAAAAAGAAAAGCTAGACGCATAAAAAAATCTCTTGATCCATAGAAAAAAGTTAAGCTAGCAACAACAAAAAAAGCTCACTAAATTCAGGTAGCAAAAAAAAGGAAGGCAAGAAAAAAAAGAAAAAATGGGCAAAGCAACGACGGCAAAAAAAAAAGGTAAACAAAAAGGGTTCTGTTGTCAATAAAGGTTTAGCTGTGTTTGAGACGTTCTCCTTTCCCTTGTCGTCGTCTGTCAATACCTCAGTCTCGGGTTTTCCTCAAAAATGCATGACATACACCAGCTCACTTGCGCCCTTACGTTGTTCATTTACACACTACTCTATCTTCAAGCAAATATTCTTTATTTGAAGATGACTAGTGTATTTGAGTATTCTTACGCCTTTCATTGCACCTTGACGGTTGTAGTCCTTTTCATTTTCATTTTAGCAGAATCTTCATGAACAGTAACTTGGTCTATAGATATTTTGCTAAATTACTTACGCAACAAGGAGCATATGCATGCTACAAGAGTAAATGCTGGCGTCTGCAACGGTAACTTTTCTATAGAAAATCTAAAACAAATGGCACATTCATTTAGGTGAGACGAGCGTGCGGGACGCCTCTACCCATATTCTGAGCATTCTTTGTGGTGCCTGAGTAATTTGTCAAAAACTTTATTGCGTAACTCTTAGACCTTTTATCGCCAGCATAATTTCCATCCAGCTTCTGATAGAAGAATGGATTTGCTAGCAGTTTCACGAAACTAGCGAGTGGTGGCTTGAGAATACAAAGTTGCAAAAACAGTTTTCTCCGAATTTGAATTGTTTCAATGTTTTTTTGTTTTGTTTTTCTTATAGTTTAGCACTTAAACCACGGTCATCTTTGTGCAACTAGAGGTTATGAACAACTTCAGAGAGCACGAATGCCCCTGTTCTCTTGCTCGTAGACGCGCGTCTAACAGCGAGGTTATACTTTGTGCAAAGGAGAAAATTTTCCACTAAATTAAGCAGGAAAATTTTTCCGCGAAATTTAGTGGAGAAATTTACCCGTAATGCAAGGTGTTGTCACAAGTGACCCTCATGATGTCCCACAGGATGTCACTTGTGACGTCACTAGTGACCCTCGTGACGTCACGTGTGACAGAATCATGGGAGACGTCCCATAATGCACCGCGCGGTTACGCCGACCACGACGCCACTCAAGCTGGAAACGGGCGCCTAAGAGCTGCGCTCTAAAATGGCGAAAGAAAAGGGTAAACAAAATAAGGCGTTCAAAGTGTGATTGCTCAACCGTTGTTTACAACCTACTCAACTTGACAAAGACTTTTTTTGCTTTTTTTGCTTTTTTGCTTTGGGGCTAAGGAGTCACGCAGCGAAAACGGTGTTCGGGGAAAGAGCACACGCTACCGTTCTAGCAGCGGGCAATCCCTGCCCCCCCTACACGCACGTGTGCCCTTCCCCTTGCTTTGCCATCCTCCACTTTTTTACAGCGGAGCTGTTAAGGGCTAGTTTCCCCAGGATCGCGTCCGGTACCAAACAAATGTCAGCACCAGTGGCCGATACAACGCTCTAATTGCCGCCGTCTCTCATAGATGGCGGTAGCTGTCCAGAGTATTGTGTTTGCCGGTTGTCTGCTTGCCGCCGTCGCTCATAGAGTGCGGCAAAATTTCTTCGGAGGGAAAAGAGCAGGAACGGAACGAGCGGCGATGTGCGCAGCAGCGCAAATCGTTTCACAACCGTTGCAAGGCTGCTTTTGCTTAAAGTTTGACTGCGTCGAGCGCTTCAGATTCCCTTGCGAAAGAAGAGCAGATCGCTCGCCTGGAAAGTCACCGCCGAGAACAGAAGCTACAGCTCCACTGCTCTTCCTTCTTCACCTGAGTAAAAAAGCTGAGGTTTTTTTTTTCTTTTTTATGGTTGCTCTTTCGGTGCGTATTCCAGTGAACACACGCTGGTTTTGGCGGTCTGCCAGCCCCGCAAGACGATTTCTGTGCTCGCCGCGGGCACAATCCGACCTACTGCGGGAGAAGCACAGACCTCCGTGCTTTGTTTGCCATATTGAGTGTCCCCACCATGGAAGTTCGATACAGAAAAACAATGCGCCTATACAATTACATGTGATTTTCAAGGGGATGTTTGGAATGTTCGATATAAACAATAACTTAAAATACCCGGGCATGATATCACTGGGCTCGACAGTATCCTCAAAATAAAAATAAATATACTTTTGCAATAAGCAGACCGAAGAAATGCAAAAGCTAGGCCTTTTTACAGCGGAGCTGTTAAGGGCTAGGTTCCCAAAGATTGTGTCTGGTATCAAACGCATGTCGACAAAAACCTACCAGGACAGCTACCGCCATTTATAAGCGACGGCGGCAAGCACACAACCAGTCTGGTTGCCACCGTTGCTCGTAGATGGTGGCAACCTTTCCAGCTATCATAGAAGAATGGATAGTTAGGCGCATTGGTGGGAATTCATCGTAGGAAACAGCGTGAAAAACAGACGACGATGACGAAGAAGCACACGTAACGAGCACAGCGCTCGTCACGTGTTTCTTCGTCCTCGTCTGTTTTGCGCGCTGTTTCCTACGCTCTTATCAGTTTCGGTTCGGACTCAATATGGGTCGGCCGCGCGCCCTTTCGGGAAAAGAAGACTGGCTGCAGAAGGAGCGGCGCATACGCAGCAGTGCAAATGGATCCGCAACCGCCGCAAAGCCACTGCCGCCTCGACCTCCACTGCGTTTAGCGCTTCAGATTCCCTTGCCAAAGAAGAGCACATCGCTCGCCTGGAAAGCCGCCGCCGAGAACAGAACCAGTGACGTAAAGGGCGCCGGAGGGCCAACGCCACGGACGACGATCGTGCCACGGAGGTCAAGCACAAGCGCGAGTCCCGGCGACGACTGCACTCCATGCCGGCTGAACAGTTCCCGGGTGCGATGGCGAGGTTCCGGAGGGAGTTCGTGGAGAACCCGTTTGGCGTCATGTGCGCCATGTGCGACCGACTCTGGTTCGCCAGAGACGTATCCACAATCGGCGGCGTGTCGGACGGGAAGAAGCGGGAAACGGCGCGTGCACGTTGCAGCAGTGCATCGAGTACAGCTCCGCTGGTCTTCCTTCTTCATGAAAGTGGAAAGGCTGAACGTTTTTTTATTGGCCTCTTTATAGAAAAATAAAAAAACTACTCTGCTGATCTGAGAAGATAGCCTTTGATAAGTAGGAACGGATTATGAAAAACTTGAATCGTACCCGAATGTCCCTAAATCAAGCTAAGTTACATTAAGGTTTAGCCTATATAAATTTTCTGACAGTTCAATGTGTTTGGAATTGAATTGAATACCAAATGCTGTTCAACTCACATTTGAAGTTTAGGGTGTCACACAACAAAATTGAGGGTGCCACACGCATAGTTCAGACGGGGTAGAAAACTGGGCTACTGCAGTCGGTGACAACTCAAGAAGGTAAGGCGAGGGAAAGGAAGGTGGAAGAGGAGGAGGAAACCCCCTTCCCTCACCAGAATTGTGTCCGCTTCCTCCTCTCCCACCTTCCTTTCCCTCAGCCTACCTTCTTAACCTGCAATATACTATAGTTGGTGGGAATGTAATAAAGTTAAAAACTGTACCAAAAAGTTTGCAGTTGCATTTCCATCTTTTGATTACAATGTCTTATGCAGAATTGCCATATTTTTACGACATGTCTCCCAGTCATCCATTTTTGTCTCTTGCTTACTGCAATGGCACAAAGAATGCACAAATGCAGGGACTGAGGTCAGGGAGTATTTAGTGGGGGTGACTCATAACATGGTGACACGTGAGAATGTGCAGGCAGTTGGAGTTGCAGGTGTTTGGCAGCAGGCCAACTCCTTTGTCTTCTATGTCCGTCTAAAGCTCCGTTCCCACTGTTGCAACTGAATGCGACCGAGAGAGACCAGACCGGTTTTTAAGCCTCTTGCGATCTCTTAGGACCAGCTCCGCTGCCGCGCATCCAGTCCTAAGAAGTCGCAAAAGGATTAAAAACCGGTCTGGTCTCTCTCGGTCGCATTCAGTTGCAACAGTGTGAACGGGCCTTAACTGGGCTTCCTTCTGTTAGAATGCAATTCTTCATTGAAAACAAAGGATGAAGAGAAGGAACATGACGCTGTGTCTGGTGTGCCTTGTGTGTTCCTTCTATTTGTCCTGGTTGTTTTGAACGACGTTATTCACTACGTTACAGCCCTATTTTAAAACTCACCACACATGTAGTGATCCCACTGTAGTGAGTGCAAGGAGACGACTGCCCTTGCAGAGCAGATGTGCGGCAGGCCAAGGAAGCACCAGCGATGGAAGCAGCTTGGCACCAGTCTCGCTGGACAACGCTGTCAACGTTCGGTCTTCGCAAGCTATGCACACCACCTGGCTGCAATTTTCCAAACGAAGCCTTGTTTTAGTTGCTGGAGATGCAACCACCAAAAAATACACTTATGCACAATGTTTCGAACATGAGGTAAGAATCAAGTTCAAGGAGTGTTGTTTTGGCATGCTTTTCTTATTCCACATTATAGATGCCCTACAAAAGGAATCACACTGTGTAAACCGAGATGGTTCATTTTGGTGGACCATACTAGAGTCATTACCAATCATTTACTAATAATAATATGCCATTCACTTGTTGGTATAGGCATGCATATACTAAGTGACAGCCAATCACTTGTCATTGCATACAAGCATGTGCTCAACCAGATTACAGTTTACCATGCTCACATTGGCATATTTTACAGCTTTATTTCATTGGTTGAAACAGAGCCCATGAAGATATAAGTTTAGAAATGAGGCTGTCCCAGATAGCACACTGATGGAAGTAAATTAGACACTTAGTGTTTGAAGCATGTGAGGCCGGTATACTTTTGAGGTATGCAGACGCTAGTTAACTCTATAAATGAGAAATTTAGCTACTACAGTATAGACCATTTACAACGTAACTGCTTATAGTGCAGGACCGGGTATAATGCGGCTTTTTTCAACCACCGATTCACCTCCCATACAACTCCATGTAATTACATACTGCTTAAAATGCAGGCGCGCGAAGGGAAATACCGGTTATAGTGCGGTTTCTGGAACAGCCCACCGACCGACCGGCGCAGCGAGCACGCTTCCCCGTGCGACACTAGATAACAGCACTAGCCGCAAGCGGCACTTGTGGGGGCACGGATGGCAAGGAGGTTGCTCGAAGAAGCGAGGAGAAGCAAAGAGGAGAGGCTTCAGTTGCCATAGCGACAAAGGGACGCACGCACGTGTCGTTCACGACACAAGGAGTTGGAGCGAGTCCAACTTTCCACCGCTGCGTTGGAAACAACCGCAACAACAGACCAATCACAAGTCGAGGAGAACTGGTTGCGCGCATTGCATGCCGGTCGCGGGCCGGCTTCTTCTATCTACAAACATGGCGTCAGTGGTGATCGTCGACGTGGACGGCGTGGTGGAAGCTCATCGTTCCGCGTAAAAGCGCTATCCTTGACTGTGAATTTTCGTTGTGTGTCGCTATGATAACCCAGCACGCACTAGAAGGGAAGATCCACCTACTCGTGCGGCGATGTCATGGCGGCACTCTCAAGACAGCAGAAACACCCATGCCGTCGTGTTCGTTTACTTCGACTACAGTGGAGCTTTCTAGGCATTTGTGTTTAACATCGCCCGGATTTCTTATTTGGAGCATTTCATGTGTGTGCTCAAATTCAAGGTATTACTGGCGCGTACTGTATAAAGGATGTGAATTTTCATGCGTTTTCATCACCGGAGAAAAGTGATTAGGGTTAGCAATCCTGAACGCTCGCAACGTCCGTCCGCAATGCCGTTAAAAGGCTGCGCCAGGCAAAAGTCACTCATTTCTTTCAAAATGTGTGACACACTTGAGAGAAGTGTACTAGTCTGGTGAAATAAGGACTTTCCTCTGACTAAGTTTTATTTGTCATCTAACATGAAATAATGGTTTTACAAAGGTAAGTTATTTCATGGCATGTATTTTGGCATGAAAAATTGATGTTTTGGTTATACGCGGTACCGCTTATAGTGCGGATTTTCGCGAGTCCCGTGACATACGTTATATGCGGTCCACACTGTATTGCAATACAACTACTTAGTGAAGTGATTACACGAAAAGCACAACTGGTGCTGCATGCACTGAGCTTGAAGCACACGAGTAACAGACCTTTCTGCCTGAATGAGTAGGTTTATGGCAGTGGTCGGCTACATACTGCCGCGTCAACATGCTATAAGGATGGCAAATTGCCGACCTGACAATCTAAAGAAAACAGCTAGTACGCCAAAAATGTTATGGAAACAACTGAAAACACAGACACCACACAGAAGCCCTCTCTTCTTTATAGACACACTGCTCTCACTTTAAAATTCACCACCCAAGATTTTATAGCATCAAATAAAACAAAATCGCCTGGTTTAGACATTCCTTCAAATGGAACAAAGATTCAACAGCCCTTGAAGTTTTGTTTTTATCTCTTTCGCGGAATTTAGCGGCCACATTTTCCTGCTGTCACGTCGCACGATACCGCAATGCCGTGTGGCACTCTGTGTGACCTAAAACTGAGAAAACGAAACACCATACCGTCACATGACACTTTGCTTCTTGTAGCTAGGACGATGAAGTCAGCTGTGATTCGTTGTTGACACTCTTTCCCATGCCCTTGCTACAGTGCAACCGACACCAACGCGAGCAAGCAAGGTCCATGGAGGGTTCTCGTTTGAAGCTATGTTTAAAACGAAAACATGTCTGACATGCAAGGAGTTCTTCTTTGAAAGCACGACAACCGGAGAAGCACACAGATGAGCAAGACGAGATAAGCCGGAGCACTTGCACTAACCTGCTGCCGGCGAGGGCGACTCCCCGGCCAGAGACAAGATGCTCCCAGAAGACGCTCTCTTCCGTGCTGCACCGCACTTTGCTGACCGTCCGCGAGCCAGGAACGGGAATGTCCGTCTGCAGCTGAACGCTCCGTTGCATCGTGGAGTCCCCATAGGGGCTGATCTAAAAAACAGAGAGTTGTGAGGTCGAAATGAGGCATGTCCTCTTATGATGTGGTCTCTGGACGATATGCTGCAACGTCAAACGCCGTTACTTAGTAAGAAAACAGCACTGCATTGGTAGCAGGTCCATTGATGTCATAGCAGAGATTTATGTGGCAGACAAATTTTAGAGCAACCAATCCAACAAATATGCTTTCCATTTTCTTGAGTGACTTTCCCTTTGGTTTCTCACTGTGCAAATTTAAAATATATATTACACATCCGATTTGGTTAAAAATACAACAGAATAAAACGATACTAGAAATACCTACATAAAACAATGTAAATATTGTATTTTCCGGAGTATAAGTCGCACTTCCGTATATTGAGCTATTTTTGCAGAAAAGTTGGTATATAAGTCGCACCTTTGTATAGGGCACACCTCTTGGCACAGTTCATGCAATGAGTTGTTTTGTTTTACACGCATCGGTATTGCGAAATCATAGTTTCACACAATCAGCTAGTTCACACGTACTGTTTGATGCGCAACAACTTTGATGTTTCGACTCGCGGGAAATGCCCATAGCACAGCGCTGTCTGGCGAAGGCAATCGAGTGTTTAGCAGCAAAAGGACCTAAACGTGCAAAATGAGAAGCGAAGGCTTTATTCGAGTGTACACATGCCGAGCGAACAGAACTTCAACGCGCCAAACAGTTGTGAATTAAGTTTTGGACCACTAGGCCCCTAAGAAAAATGGTTGAAAAAAACCGCGACTTATATGCCGGAAAATACGGTAGCATGAATATTTTGTTGCTCAGACCAGAAACTGTAATTTGAAATTATTTCATCTTTTTTTTTTTATTAGTATTAGCAAAACATTTTTTTATTACTACTGTTAAGAGTAAAGTGACTAACCACCTTCAAAGTATTTTAAACTACTAAATTTCATTTAAGTATTTACAAAAACTGTGATATAGCTACCTACTTGTTTGAACCAAAACTTCAAAAGTGAACAGTGACAGTCTCTTCAAACATCCTTGTTATGTTTGGGTGGCGCCAGCTGAACACATATAAACACAGAGAGATTTTGTCAAAAAAGCTTGGCTGTCTCTTGCTTTCTCCAGAGGCATTCTAAATGCATAGCATTTATAGGGTTCCCTTCGCGCTTCCCCTTTTGTGGGCTCAAGGCCCATCATAGTGTCGCCTGACGTGACGTAATCATGTGACGTCACTATGATGCTACATTGTCACATGATATGACATAATAATGCCACATGACACAATGTCATGTCACAGTGTCATCTGACGTCATAGTGCCAAGTGACTTTACGTGATGAGGTAATGTCATTTCACCTGACGTCATGACCTCAGGTTACATCACGTGACGCACAACGCCCTACTGTCACACGACATCATTGTGTCATCTGGCGTCACAGAGTCATGCGACGTCGAAGACGACCATTAATACTACGCATTTTGATCACTTTTAGGATGACATCACAAAGTACCGTGGCACTGCAACTTTACTGAAGCTACATTTGTAGACACAAAATTCCCATGCCTTTAGAACAAAGCAGTTATCCTGCCATCGGGGACACATTGGCGGTACCAACCTTCACCGTGACAGGCATGTTTTGCTTGAGAGCGGGAAACAGGGCCTGCTGGCGATGCGGCACATGGCCTGGGGCCTGGGCCGAGGAGGGCCGGGCACCGTCCCCCTTCTCGGCCTGAAAAGGTGCGCACGCAGGGAGAACGAGCCTAAGATTCGAGATTCTCAAAATCAGGAACGTCACCACGGGAAGAACAAGTCTAGGATTTGAGATTCTCAGAATCAGGAACATCACCCACAGTCACTGACACGGTGAGAACAGCAGGGAGGTCTTTCAGTCGTCCCGCCTTCAGAGTCAAGTTCCTACCTTCTACAACGCTTCGGCATCTCATGAGAGGCAATGAGCGCGAGCTGGAGGCCAGGCATTCAAAATTGCCACTCTGCCGTTTTTTGTCCTGGCAGTGACTACAGTGCAAGATATCCCAAGAGAAAAGGGACTGCTATTTATTTAAATGCTATATTATTTTGTTTTCATCTGGTCCCTCCTGCACGAAACAAACGCGGCATCGAAAGGACACTGCGAATGAAGCGAAGCTAGTGCGTTACACATAAACATGTGTAGGAGTAAAGATGTAGTTTTTAAACCGAGAAATAAACAAATACCCACCTCATTTAATACAGTCTTCGATTTGTCTGAGATAGAAACTGTGCAGACCATTAAAAGATTGGGACTCTTTTGTAGCAATTGCACAGTTGGACAATCATGTAGACACGCAATATCTCTTCGACATACACACGCATCGCCTCGCCGATTCAAAGAATTTTATCACACACATCAGCCCCAACTCACATGAGAAAACAATTCCCCCTTGAGGTGAGAAAGCCTATCAGGAATTTTGTCGGAACCAGGAATCAGACTGCCCTACTGATAAGGTGCGTAGCAAATGATAAAACATAATCTTGCCTCCGTTTATAACTGTACGCTGTCCAACTCATAGTTCCCTTTACCGAAAAAAACTGAAATTTGATGTGTTGACCAACAACTATACAGACACTGTACTTTTCCCTATGAAATAAGACATTACGCAGGTAGGAACGCCAACTACAGAATTTGCCAGACTGTCGTCCGTGGCCTATAGAGGGATCTGTTTCTCTTAAAGTTGTTTATCGTGAGAAGACAAGATGAATTTTTGGATGACAGATTATGTTAATGATGATTCCCGTATGATACAAGCGTTTTTTGGTGCACTAATAGAGCAGGTATTTTTGAAAGTACATTGAGTATGAGAACCATTTACAAGCAAAGACTTCAGCGGAATCGACGCCGCATAGCGGCGACGACGAGAAGCTCCGAAAAAAGGTTGTTTGCTTTTGCTGCTTTATTCTCGTAAAAAGCATTGCTTTATGTGCTCGTTTAAGATTGACTAAAAATCATGATTCACTGGCACTGCACCAAAATAAGGGATGAACAAGGACACAAGAATGATTTTAGTGGTGCGCAACTTCTCTCATCCTTGAGATGGAGAGCAACCGGCCCAGTGAGAAACTTATAGTGAGACCCAAGAACTGAAGCAGATTTATAAAATAACGATTGCTGCAAAAGTCACATCAGCAAAAGAAAAACAAATGAATGCTTATAAGCTGCCGATCGCTGTTTTTTATTTATTTGTTCATCAAAGGTCTATCAGAACCCTTTGCATTTAAAACATCAGCCAATTCTAACTTTATAACACGCATTATCAAGTTTGATTTGGATGGCAGGTTGATGGGTGCAAGAACCCATTTTCATGCCTCTTAAATAATTTATGCTAAGACCTATTTTTCAGATATCATCTACTACTCAAAAAGATTGGTTCTAGCTAAAACATCAGCCAAAACAACATTGCAAAAAAGATATGGCAGTTTCATTCAGCGTTACTTTAAATTTGCATAAACAAACAGCTATAGGAACTTTGTGCAGGCTTTCTGTCAATAATATCTTAAAGGAAAGGCAGAGTGTTGTTATTCTTGCGATTACATCACTGCTTTCCAAGTCATGAGTTGGGTCATAGAACAACACACTCTACATTTTATCAGAAGTTATGCAAAGCACTGATCAAAGTGATGGTGCAAGTGCATAGCCCCAGGAAATGCTCAAGAGGGGATAAACAACATTTTTCAGAGCGCAGCTTCCACAATGTTTCACAGGGGGCTGAAAAGCATGAAGCTCTTCCTGAGTTCAAAGCTGAAGTCTCTTGCAATGCTGCCCAAAGCTGTAAAAAGCATTGCACCTTAAGGTGAACAACCACAAAACGTTAGATCAATTTTGAATTTACAGTGATAAACATATGTTCAGTGGTGCCCTACAATAGGTGCTGAAAGGATTGCAACACTGAGGTGAAAAAATAAGAACGGAGCAGCCTTTTGGATGCGCCGGTGTGTAGGAAAGATGAACAAACCTGATCATTTAGAGGAAGTAAAAGTCGTGACAAGGTTTCTGTAGATGGTAAATACCCGTAAAATACTGCAAGAACGCCCACCCAAAACGAAGAGATAAATGGTGAAAAACATGAAGTGGGCTATCTTTGGGGATGCGACAGCAAAACTTTGTCAAAAGTTAATGATAAACACCGGGGCACTTGCTACAAACCACGTGACGCGGGAACTGATAGCACAGATCATGGACACAGCCAAAAAGTCAAAAAGTCAAATTTGGGGGTTTTACGTGCCAAACCAACGACGGGCATCTGGCACGCCCCAGCGGAGGACTGAGGATTAATTTCGACCACCTGGGGATCTTTTGACGTGCAACCGAAATCATGGACAGAGCAAATTTGCGTTTCAAGATGTGATACACACATGCGAGAATCCGCTGCGGAATCCTGTGTCACGGGAAAGGATACCACAGGTTGCAGATGCAGCAGATAGTACGCATTTCACGGTGCAAAGGACACGCGGAAACCTGTCAAGATTTGCATCTCAAGGAAACGGACACTGCAAATCGCAGACACAGCAGATTCAAGTTTCATGGTGCAATAAACATGGGGGAACACGCTACCAACTTGCCTGTCACGGGAACCGATATCGCATGTGCAGATCACGGACAAAACGCAGGAATTTGTTATAAACTTGCTTGTCAGACGTACCGGTGTTTAATGCGAATTCCCTTCGGACACCGCACGACGCCTGATGGGAATCGGCAATGTTTCGGAATTTTTATGTTACGGATATTTAGCCAGAAAAACCGGATGAGCGATCTCTCGGGGGAGGACGCCCTTACGAGATTTTTCGGTAGATACAATGTGTCAATGAGCACCGGGGCAGTGTCTTACTTTTGCTAATTCCTCTTTCCATTCTCATCGTATCGGTGGTCCCAATCGGCAATTTACCGCCTATCCAGCCGTACATTCTATTCAGCATGTCCATCTGTGCGAAAATTGCGCACTAGCTGCTCAAACGTGGCCTGTCTTAAAGCTAGAGAGAAAAAACTGCTAATCTATTGAGAATATCTCAAAGGTATGGTAAAGGCATAGTATACATAGATCCTCAGTGAGGTCATGGTGACATCAGACGTAACGTGCAATATCATGGTGCCAGATGATGTCACAGCATCATGTGGCCATTGGGAGAGCATGTGATTGAAGTGACCCTACGTCACGCGACCACATGACACAATGTCATGTCAGTGTGTCGCCCGACATCGCATGACGTCAGTGTCGTGTGATGTCATGATGTGATGTCACAACTGTCATGTTGGTGACAATCTTCACAGGACTCCATGACGTCTAGGCTACATCCCCAAGCTCTGACACAAGAGTGCCCAAAGCCGGCCCTATAAATGCTACACGCTTAAAAATGAGCGCCGGAATTCGGAGCATACCTGCTGTTGTTGTTGTTGTTGTTGCTGTTGCTGCTGCAATGTGTGCGCCAGTGGCGGTCGGCCACGTTTCTTCTCTGGCGGCTTCACCGCCACGGGTGTTGTCTCCGTTGCTTTCCGCTTGGAGCTTGGCAAAGGCTCGTTCGTCGATTTCGTGGGGACGACGGGCTTCTCCGTCCTGGCAGTAAGTGTGGATATATCACCGTGCAGTTCACTATATTTGTTACCCGATTTTTATCCACATGTAGTATGCAACAGTTAGTTGGATTTCACAATCCCTCAAATTTCGGAAGCTCCAGAAAGCTCACAAGATGTCCTGTTCACACCGAAAAACGTTTTGCCTGCCATTTCCTTGTTTTTTGGATTTCGTTAAAAAGCTCGGGAAAAGAAAATCACAAAACATGATGATAAACCCTGAGAGAGGGGTGGAAAAACACAATAAAAACGGTAACAGAGACAACAACAAGGTGAGGGACTCGGACAGTGTCTCAAGAGACATAGTCTGTGTTCAATACAGTTGGCCACCGATTTTCAAGAAGCCAATAATTTGGACTTGTTCAATATTTCAGACCTAAAGGACCAACCGTGACCTACCCGATAAAAAGAGTGCGTAATCGTGACAGATGTTTTGGAAAGTTTGAAGTCCGAAAGTTCAATTTTTCGGACAAGATCGTTGCGAGCGATCAGCGAAAAACACCACCGAGAAGTGGCCATTTTGGATTCTATGTTGGCTTCACATGAACTAACTTGGTCTGGTAGCGCTTCCATGGCCTCCAAGATCCCGAAGCGCCTGTCCTCGGAGGCCATGGCGCTACTTGAGTACTGCTAACTCCTATAACTAGGTGACGCTTTACGGCTTTTTTTTCTTTAGTTGCACGTCGTTATCATCATCATTGTTGTTACCATTTTGCTTTGTTCGTTCGCCATCGCAGTTGTGGACTTAGACCTCTCACCTCGATCTCGTCTGGGTGAATCATGTTTTCGGACTACCGTATTTATTCGAATCTAGGCCAATAGTTTTTTTAATATACCGATACGTCAAACTCTAGGGTCAGCTTAGATTCAAGGATTTTGAAACACGCGCCAATTTCAAAGTAAAATTGAACAAAGTGGCGCGCAGCTACCGCCACCCAGAAAATAAATTATTGTAGCCATTACTAGCCGAGCCAGTAGCCGCTTAAGTAGACGAGCGGTGCCGCCATTTTGACCTGCGTTGATAGTCGCTTGCGTGCGGCTTGGCGTTTTCTTTTTATTAAAAGTGCAATGGCACCAAACAGGCGGTGCCATTAGTGTTCCGCTTTTAAAAGAAAAGTTGTTTTAGCCGCGGAGTTGTCGTCGAACGTTGAAGCCGGGCAAAACTTCAGCGTGGATGAAAGAAATATCCGCCGTTGGAGGAGGCAACGGGAGAGGACATTTGCGTGCGCCGGAACAAGGATGGCATTCACCGGACCACGAAAAGGCCATCACCACGGCCTTTCCGTAGTCCGGTGAAAGGCCGTCAACGCAGACTTTTTGTGGTCCGGTGAACATGAAGACTGAACATCTTTATGTTCAATAAATGCCTCCTGTTTGTGAGCGCTGTCCTCGCCTTTTTGTTCGACCTACAATCGAGGTAAGTTTTTTTTTTTTTCCCCCTGGCTTCGGACTTTCTGGGGTCGGCTTAGAATCGGGGCTGGCCTGGATTCGAATAAATACGGTATTTTGGCTTGGACGTCACTGCCCCATTTGTTCTTCCGCTGCTGCGATGTGTCGCTAAGAAGCCCAGAAAGTACTCGACCATAACACTAGAGAAGGCAGCGATTCTCAAGCTAATAGAAAGTTGCTGAACGCAAACGGACGTGTAACTTGAAGCAAGGCACTATTTAAGGCCTTTTTAATCCCACTTAGAAGTAATAAAGGCAAGTTTTTAAATCTGTTGATTTTTCGGACTGCTCTATATACGGACATTTTTTTCAGTCCCTGTGAAGTCCGAAAGATCGATTGACAACTGTATACACCAGCTCGCCTGCACCTTGAGCATTTTTTTTTGTGGACTACGTAAATGAATGGCAATGATGAGTGCGCACAGTGTGAAAGATAAGCTTACCAATCAATCACAAACAAGCCCTATTTTGCCCAGTTATTGTCTCAAAACATAGACCTGACGAAGGTGAAGCTGTCACCACTTACCCCTCGCCTCCAGAAGAGGCCACCACCGTCACTGTGGTGGTGGTCGCCGTGGTTATTGTCTGCTGCGCAGATTCCTTCTCCTGGTTCTGAGCATTCAGGGTCATGGCAGTTTCCTTGAAGGAGAAGGCAAAAACAGATTCCACAGTAAAGACACAATGCCACTAAAGGAGGGGGCAACGACCTCCTCTTTTTTTTCACATTATGAGTTCTCAAATTGGGTTCCAAGGAACGTAGAGGTTCCCCAGAACATCCTCAGCGGTTCCCTGAGCAAAGCAGTTGGCTCACGATCTCAAGGTGGAGAGTTCAAATCCTGCCAGGTGACAGAAGACGTTTTACATGGTTCCTGCCGTGTATTGTGTGCGTGTTCGCCACGCATAGCGAACACGACCTTTGGTCCAGGCGAGCTGATGTAACCGGAGACACCGGCGGGGGACAGCTAACCGCGGAGAAGAACGCCACGCCTGAGCGAAAGAACAGACTGGGGCGCAGTCGCAGACCGAACAAGACGCTTCTCAACCGAATGTAATCTAACAGTTAAATAAATATAGCCTAAATTACCGGTACATCACCGTTTCCTATGGGCGTAACACTTTTCGGTGTCAGTATTTCGTTATAGCCGGCCGCTACAGCTAAACGCTACAGAACTGAATGGAAGTCGGCCGATAAAATGTATTTTGCGTTCAAATGTAAAACCTCTCCTCTCGAGCATCTTGCTCTCTGAGCTCCGTCAACCGTAAAGTACTGAGCACGTGCCCAAGTCACCAAGCTGCAGCTGCCTGGTCAAGCGCGCTTTTCTGCGGGGCACGGAGGCTACAAGCACTTAGCCAAATTCGGTATCAAAGCCTCCACAATCGTCCCTTAGAAACGGTGCCTTTTATCAATGCTATCGCGGGAAGAAATCTGTGACCTAGTGATGTCCGGTGCACAGACAACTTGGGCGGTTTTTTGAAGAGACCTTCGTCCGTCGGCATTAAACTGCACGAAGAGGCTTAGCGTTGAGCAGATCGCAGCGATCAGGCACATTGTGAGTGGCGAACACTTTCACTATGCGCTCCTTGAGCTGCACAACCAAATGACTTGACCGCAATAGGTCCCAGAAAGAATTGCCGAGCTGAGCCCCATGCAATTTCACGTAACACTGAACTTCGCAAACACCACGCCACCCTTACTGCGCCAGTCGAGGTAACCGCCATCTTGCAACTGATGCTCTCGCTGGGCCCAAGATCTCTCTCGAGCTTCCCGCAAACCCCGCTATGAAAAATCCCAAACGTTGCGTGCGTACACAATACACTAACCCTTCCATTGCATTCCGCACATGCGCACTCCCGAACCGCAATATCTCTGTGTATGCAAACCTTTAGCGTACGGTCCACTAAAACTGCCTAATGACACTACCATACTCTCGTGCTTTTTAAAGCACTTCTACGCCCAAAAGCCAGGATCGCAACATCTGAGAGCCCGACACTTCAGCTTTTGTGATATCACTTTTTGCTGCTTCGGGATCACTTTCTATGCTTGGGCGGAATATGACGCAAAACACACCAGAGTCGGGGATGCGCTCTAGGCATTGTAGCCACGCGTTACGAGCAGGTCTTTCCTATTGGTGGAGGCTGTACCTTCCTGTCTGCGGGGCAAGCGTGGGAATTTGGGGAGAACCCACCTTGAGGGCAGTGGTGGGCTTGTCCGACGACTTGTCCGAAGCCTCGGGAGCAGGCACGCTGCTTGACTCGTCCCGCTTCTCGATGACGATCTTGCTCTTGCTCTCCGTCGAAGAACTAAAGTTGGGCAGTGCCTGGCTGTTGAATGGAACGGGGACGTCCCTGCAAAGCAAAGGGCACGGTCGTTCTGCCATGCTGCGGGACGTCTCATCTTTGCGGAACGGGTCTAGCTATACGGGAGTAATTACTCATTGCAGACACCGAAATATATGTCTCCAAAGGTACCGAAAAATCATACTGAGTATTAAGGTTGACTTATTAATCCTTACAAGATGAGAGTCCTGCTCGATTTATTTTCAGTCCTCATTTTCATTTCCTTGACTTCTTCGCAAGGGCCGATGCAAATATAGATATATGTCCAATGACTGTCAAACCTCAAGAAGCAGTGGCCCACATTTTTTTATAAAGGTCTATTCAATTTAAGCCACCTGCCTTCGAGGCGTGTAGACCTTCGTTATATTTGCACCTCAATCCCATCCAGCTAATTTGTCGAGATTTCGAGGAATATTTAAGCCTGCGGGCCCTCGAAGATGTGTTCATGTTATAGCATACCAATGCCTTTACGGAAACCAGATATATTTGCCATTCTACAACAAAAACACTTTCCCCGACAGCCCACAAAAGAAACAAAAAACCCCGAAAAGCAGCCTCGCCGCCGAAGAAACACTTGAGACAACTTTAATGTTAAGCTTTTATCAAATTTTACCTAATATTTCTTCGCAAGATAGAGTATCCTAAAACCAGCGGCATCGGCAACCAGCGAAACCGAAACCACTACTGGGAATCTGAGAGAGAGAGAAAGAGAGAAAAAACAATCTTCCAGTCAAGCTTGACACAGAGAGCTACGAGACAATGAAGCACCAATGTGCATTGTTTACACTTTCCCCCTCTACGTGACACTGGCACAATCAGTTTGTTTTCTGTTTCGTCGGGTTACCGGACACTCTGTTTGGGTTAAGGGTTTTTGTCAGTCTTGTCTAGCAATGCGTTGTCACACGCCGGAACAACAAGAATTAAACCCTGGGGTTCAGGCCCGTAAGTCCGCCGAGGGAATCGGGCCGGCACTCACCCGATCTCGGGGTCGGGGGGAATGAAGAGGGGCGTGATCCTGCGGCGGCCGTCGGGCATCCGCGTCTCAATCTGCTTGTCCGTGGGACCCTTTCCAGACGAAGGGGCAGAGACACGCAGTGAGAGCGAGCCGGCACCCACAACCGGGTGCCCTACAACAACCCCTGGTGTTTAAATTAAGCACTAAAATGGATTTTGAAGTTGTCTTTCCACGATGCAAACTCAACCTATGTGTCTTAAGTATCCTAGAAAATCAAAAATAAAATCAGGTGTGACCTTTTCCCGATTAAAAACGTGACCAAACGTTGCAACGCATCTCCTTTTTTCGAGATCTATCTGAAAATGAAAAAAAAAACGGGGGTGTGTTGCAATGCTTGGCCACATTTTTTTTAAAGAAAAGGTCAAGCACGATTGAAATCTTAAGCTTTTTGCGGATGCTTAGTGCACATGGGTTGAGCTTGCATCATAAAAAGACGATCTGGAAATCCAGATCCTTATCCTTTGTTTGTGACTACGCGAGACCTGTACGCAACGAATCCTAGAAAACTGAAATATCCATGTGGGAGTTTGCTGCAGCTTTAGGAAAAACATGTTTTGGCTGTGATGATCACAATGCAAGTTATTTGACACCTGCCTCCCAAGACTATAGACAAGAAAAAGGAACCTTCTGGACATTACAAACCAGTGGAAACAAAATTCAGCAGTCCTATGTTAATCCACTGTACAGTTACAGCAATGGCTGAAACATGTCACGGCGAAGTAGTAGGGCATCGGCGTCGCATTCACGCACCGTGGGGTTCGTGAACAAAAGTGTTCGCAACAAAGTAAACACTTCTGTTTCTCTTTTGATTCACAGCGCGCAGGGTTCTGCCCAGGAATTCCTTAGCAGTGGACATAACCACCATGCGAGTGGCGGCGGTGGCGACGGCGGCGGGGGGAGGTAGTTTGCAATGCGGGACGATCTGGCTTGCCGACAGAACGCATTTCTCTAACTTTGCGGCCCTGTGAGTGGCGCCATGCCACAATGATAAAATAAAAACTAAATTGCCTTAGCAAAAAAAAAAAGTGGAGAAGAAAAGCCAAGGAGCGAGCAAAGGGGCGAAGATAAAGCAAGCCTCAGCACAAGCAACATACCTGCCAAGTTTGGAAATACCAAATCCGTAAGAATTTATAAGAAAGAATGCGGCCGACGTCTTTTGGGCCCGTCGACGTCAGCACCAGCTCATGTGAATGCGGTTTTCCTTATTTCTTGCATTGACACCAATAAAGCACATTTATCAAACTCGTTTTTGTGTGTAGCCTTAGTTTAAAAAGAGTTACTTCCAATACATTTTGACAAACTTGGGGAAAATAAATAAAGAAAGTATCTTTGAAGTAACTGTACCTTACCTAGGTACATTTTTAAGCAAGTATCTAGGTGCATACCTAAGTACCTTTTCGTATAAGTAACTGTAACTTAGGTACATTTTTGAAGTAACTCCTACAACCCTGCAAATAACTCACAAATCAAACCAATCTGCGCATTCCCACGAGACTTCCAAGTCACAAGTCACGCAATCGAAGTTGAGCGTACAGCTAAGCAAAGCGTACCAGTAAACTTCAAGGTGTGGCACGAAAGACGGTGCCACAAAGCAGCACTGCTGCACAACTGAGGAGGAAGAAGCACCGCACCTTGATGTGCTGCAGCGGCCGGCTGTTGCTGTTGTTGTTCAGCGGCCGGACGACCGACGTGGTGTTGGCAATCGTCGCCGACAGGGACTGCTGCGAGGGCGTCGAGATGCCATTCACCTCCTTGCATTGCTCCGCCGCCTGTGCTGCCGCCGCCACCCGCGTCGCCCGTGCCGCCAGCTGCTGCTGCTGCTGCTCCTGGGCCTTGAGCACTTCAGGGTCTTCCACCAGCGTCGAACAGCCGGCCGAGTTGTGCAGCTGATGGGTGAGGGACGACAAGCTCTTGCCGTACAGCTTCTGGTGCCACAGGTTCTGATGCGTGCGAAGCACGGCGCGAGAAAGAGAGAGAGGAAGCAAAATAATCTGTCAGCTTGGTTCGGACAAACTGGGGGCCGTCCTCACACAAAGACCATCTATGCGTCGCAAAGGCAGCACGCGTACAGCCGCAGAGACAATCTATACCGGGCTAGAGTAGTATCGCTCTAGCACTTTACAAACGGCTGGAGAACCAAAATGAACATTTATTTCCACGTGACGGTGGATTGTGCACGAGGCTGAAACATAAACTAAGCTTAAATGCCGCAGTGCGAATTAGTGTCAAGATGCTGTGCAGAACATGAATGCCGTGGATTAAAAAAAAAAAACTAATTAGCGTGACGGTCACCTTTGGGACGTCAAAAGTCAGTACTAGTTATGTCTCGTTCCCAAGGTTCTGGGCTCAAATTTTTTAAGAAAACTTTATGACTGGACTCAAAGGCACAAAAGAAGCTGTTCCCCGAAACCAAGCTCCCTATGCCTCAACTGTTCATGAGCAAATCACTAAAGTTACCAGTTGATAGAACCATTCAAAGTGAGGCTGTCCAATCTAGTATGCATGGTGACTAAAAAGCAACACAAAGAAATTTGAAGCCAGAACTAGCAAACAGTAAAGACCCAGACGAAACCACCCCCAGGAAATGCCTCCTCACCCTCTCCTCGGGGGTTATGGGTGTCCCAATCTCTTCTTCGGAGAAGTCGATGTAGGCCACCGTGCCGTCCCAGGAGCACACCAACAGCTGGTTACCGCCTTGACTCCTAAAAGTCAAAGTTGAAAAGACGTCGGCAATCTGGACGATTCTAGCTCAGTTACTACTTCTGTGAAAAGGCGTCACGACACTCACCAGGAGATGTCGAGGACAGAGTTTGAGAACAAGTCGTGCACGACCACCAGTGGCCTTTTCAGGCAGGTAAGCTGAAGGAAAAGACGCACATGTTTTCATCTACATAGAAAGGCTTAATTAACGTGAAATGTAATTGAAGCTCCCAGCACGCCAACTCACCCACACAGATAGCGACCGGTCACGGCTCCCGATTGCACAGCAACAGAAATTTGTACCCTAGAGACCGAATGGCAAAGGAAGCGTGAGAAACCAATGGAAGTTTTGTACAATTAGACGCACTATAAAACTGTGGGGACTTGTTAACAATTTACGCAAAGCGCTTTCATGTGCAACTTGAGGAATGCAGCGACTTCAAAAAGGGACCAGGAAAGACGTTCTGACAAGAAGCAAAAGCTTTCATCGAGTGACATGCTGATTACTAGAATCGTGAACTTCCTCATATTCTGTGTTCAGCTGAAACGTCGTTTCAGAACATGTTTGACTTAAGCAAAACGAATATCACAATTACCACACATATCAATGCACATGATTTCTACAATTAATGCCTTTTTATATGTGAGCTTACTACACACCCTAGAAATACTGCAAGAACTGGACTGATTCCACCTTTCTTCAAAACCCAAGAACTGGACCGATTCCACCTTTCTTCAAAACCAAGTACAAATTTTTCATGCCAATAATATATTTCTGCCACAGAAATGTCAGAAGACAAAACCACAGTACTTGAGGTATCGGTGAACCAGCCCAACTTTGTGCAATGCAAGGATATCAAAGCAGGGGCAGGTTCAACTTTAACTGAACTTAATGATATCAGAATTCTCCCTGTTACAGGAATACAAGTCTGAGTAGTCCAAAGAAAGGGAAAAACAACTAACCTTTCCACCGTCTTTGTTCAGTTTGGACAGGATGTGGGGATTAAACCTCTGTGGAAAAAAGAAAGACAGCCCAGGTTACTTGCCTAGGCCAGGGGTCCTGCAGCTGGAGTTTGTTTGGTACAGGAGGCTCCTACTTATGCGAGGTGGCGAAAACCATCAGTGAACAGTGCTGCTTCATCAACAACCTGCAGTCATGGAGTGTCAACGTTCATGCAGCCAAGAAGGATGACAGCTCATGAATACAGGAGGCAGTTCATGTAGCATGAAATACGTCAGTTTCTAACTAGAGCTGTGTCAAGAAAAAAAGAAAGACTGTAAAAATGTCACTAGTACTTTGAGGGACCTGATGATCCAAGATTCAGGAATGGTAGATAATCTTATAACTGATAGATCACTGCATAACGAAAAACACGAGCATGACAACCAAAACCGTGAAGAGGATGATTAGAGAAATAATTCAGGTTTTCATTCAAATTAGGAACATTATGAAGGCCCTAAGCATGTGGGTCCAGATGCAACTCATAAAAATGGGGGCTTACTAAAACTGAGACTTCTAGAGTACACTGTCACAAGAATATGTGCCAATAAAGTATGATAAAATAATCATGCACACTTTTATCCTTTTTTTGCGAGCATAATTTTAACAACATTATCTGAACAGAAAATCTCTATAAAACCAGGCAAAATCACATAAAATACAACTGGGCCAAAAAATGCCCGTTTTTTCTAACGTGATTTTGTTTTATGTTTTATAAAATAAATTTACCAAGAAAGTTGAAAACAGGAAAAAGACAAAACAGCAGCAGAGGCTTCATTGAACAATTTTTCAGAAAGAACCTTTCCTAAAGCCAAAATATTGGTCAAGTAAAGCATCTCTACTGTTCTCACTTTTGTCCGACAATGCAAGACATTTGGGGGCCATTGACCTAGGACACAACAAGCAACCTACAGTAAGATGTGTGAGCGACAGACCACAATGAGTAATAAGCTGGGCTCTATGCTTTTTTATAGACATGAGAAAATAGTATTTTTAAACTTTCAATCTTTGATTAGAATATTGGTGTATTCAATCCAAACTTGGAAATTATGGATACCATTGGAATAATTCAGAGCAGTTTTTAATTTAACTTTGTTAAGTGTTTTTCCCCATAACGTGGATGCATTGCAGTAAAGCAACATCCCAGGAAGGGGTGTCACAGGTTCCGCTTTCTCGTATTACGATCGTGCAGAAAGGAAGAGCACTCCTTCAGGTGGATTTGGGAGTGTAGATTTTGGAAAAGTATTATATTTTCTGTCTACAAGTCATACCCCCCTATAACAACTGTTAAAAAAAAAATGTTGGTATATAAGTTGTGTTTATATATTCGTACGATCAGCGTGGCAAAACTGCATTGCAAAGCCTGCATTTGTGTATTATGATTGTCATATACGTGCAAGCGAGAACAGGTTGCAATTTTCTTTTGAACAAATTGGACAAGAAATATTTAACTCCTGCGGCAATGTTTCACCGTTAAGGTCCATCCTTGTAAAAAAAAATTGAGATAAGCCATACCCTCGTAAGAAATGCACAGATAGAAACCTTGAAAAAAACGTCCAGCCTTTCCACTCTCATGAAGAAGGAAGACCAGCGGAGCTGTACTCGATACACTGTGAGCTTCTTCTTCGTCGTCGTCTGTTTTTCGCACTGTTTCCTACGATGAATTCCCACCAACACGCCCAACTATCCATTCTTCTATTATAGCTGGAAAGGTTGATGCCATCTACGAGCGACGGCGGAAACCATACTGGTTGTGTGCCTGCCAGCGTCGCTTATAGATGGCGGTAGCTGTCCAGGTAGGTTTGTGTTGACATACCGGACATGATCCTAGGGAACCTAGCCCTTAACAGCTTCACTGTAAAAAAGAATGCCACTTCTACAACAGAAAATACAGTAGTGCCACCGTTCTCGCATGCGCAACAAATGAAGCAAGCGGCACAAGGCGAGTCCCAACGGGCGGCTTGTGCATCTCGCAGCCTCGGCAAAGCCTCACCACGCAAGTGATGGCCTTCCGGTGTCCCACAAAGTCCTTCTTGGTCCTCCAGCCATCCCTCTCCACAATCTGGGCCGTGGGGCCGGCGTTGTTCATGGCGTGAGCGGACACAAGAAACTGTCCGTCGGGAGACCAGCTCAGCCGCAGGATGTGAGTCGTGCCGCCACACTGCGTGTCAAATGCCTCTCTGGTCAAACGCTTCCCGTCGGTCTGACCATGAACACTGAGCCTTCTCAAGTAATTGTGTTGAGTGTTTGTTTTGTTGGTGGGAAGCTAGCCAGCCCCAACGGGCGCCTGGTGTCCTTACGGTAGATGAGAAATTTGGCTAGTGCCACTAGTCTGGGGTCTTCAACATGCATCACGGTGTAGCGATACACGACCGCACACTGATCGAAACGGGCAGGGGCGACGATCGAGCCCAGAATTCGTGGGTTCTGTGGCGCGAGCTTTCATTCCGTGTACTCCGAGCTGCATCACGTTAAATCGCTCGGCCATCAATTGCCCTAAGCCTTCTCAAATTCAAGAGAACCCAGGAGTTCCCAAAACCCCATTGAGGGTTTCACGAACACCCCAAGTAAACAAGCTTGTTATTTGGGAAGCTCGTTTCCATCTCCCAACCCAGCAATCGCAATGGTCAATACCATGCAGAGTGACACATGGTTGCTCTCATTGCAGTCCCTTGGAAGGCAAAGCACAATAAAGTAGCGAGATGGGTGCCAAATGCCTTCAACTAACAACTGAAAAGTTAAAAGTTCAACAGAAACAATAGAGGTCACAAGAACTATATGGATGGATATGTACAACAACAGAAAGCAAAAAAAGATAGCTTTTTCTGACCACGTGCTAGATTTTCTATTTTATGAAAAAATGACTTCCCAGCATGCATAACATTAGAACACACAGAAAGCAAAGTGCCTTGATAATCAAGGTGCACCCTAAATATAACCCCGAGTTTACCGTATTTATTCGCATAATTTGCACCCACGCGTAATTTGCGCACCCCTAACTTAAGGCCCAGATTTCCCGAAAAAAAAAAAAAAACTTGCTCGCGCATTTTGCGCGCCCTGCACCATTCTGCACCAGTTCGCCAGCCGTTTCTCCAGACGCCCCACAGGCGCGCGAGCTACGAGAGGAGTGAGAGAGGCGAGAGTGCGAGAAAGATGCTGCTCTGCGCTTTTCTGCGGGAGCTACGGGACACACGCGCGCACCCGCCGCTGGCCCAATGCAGCAAGGTGGTTGACCCTGCAAGGGAGCATGACGTCACGCTGAGATTCCCGGATGTGGGAACTGTCGTGTGGTGCGCAATTGCGGTCGCGCGAAGTCTGCGGGCGGCAAAGGGCATCCTTTCCATAGTTTGGCTTGAGTGGTTCAAGTTAATTGCCATCAACGGTTTTCTCGACGACTGCTCTTGCGATGGGTTACAATAACTATACAGCAAAGTTAAAGCTCCTCGTGATAAAGTTTGCTGAGGAAAATGGAAACTGCGCAGCGACCAGGTAGTTTAGGGTGAATGAGAGCCAAGTCAATGTGGCGAAGACAGAAGTCGACGGAACTGAAAACTATGCTATTTGGAACGCGAGTGACGACGACAAACCTGACGATGGCAACCATGGTACCGAGTGCGAGAGCTCCAACAGCGACTCGGAGTAAACAAAGTAGGTGCGTTTCGTAAAACAAAAAAAATAAAAACTTTTGCCGTTTGTATATTTGTATTTTTATGAACATTACAGCCTTTGCAGATGTGTTACTTGGGATGTACGTGCGAAATAGCCATGTAATTTGCGCACCCCCTTTCTGATAACCAATATTTTAAAACAAAAGTGTGCAAATTATGCAAGTAAATACGGTATGCATCTGTCAGAAAGATGTTTCAAAATGTAACGTCCTTATCAGACAGAAACTTTGTTTCCGCTGTGCGATTTCAAGAATAAAAGCAGATTATAATCTTGCAGTAGAACCACATGTGTATTGGCTTCAAGGGAGGACACATACCAGAAAAAAAAATGTCTGCAAAAAAAGTTGACTTTGAAAAATGCCATATTTACATCCACCAAAAAATTTCATTAGTTTACAGTTAATTTTCTATCAATTTTTTTCGGTCCAGGGGTGCTAAAGAAAAGGTAGAGGTGGAGCACGTTGAACATAGCTTTCTCCATTACACTTTTTGGCATAAATTTCACTTTAGGAGAACTATTCTTTGTTAATAGGAGAAGAGGGAAAAACTCGCTCATTGTTATTCCTAACTGGAATTTCATGAGCAATGCAACTGTGGAATTGTTTTTTTGATTTTGTGGATGTCTTCTATAAAAGACGCTAAGATTTTTTCGATGTCATAAAAGGCAAAAAAAATTCGATTTTTCACTGGGATGTTAGCGTAAAATAAATTACTTCTTGGAAATTTTGTTTCCACAGTTGCACTCTCCAGGCATTCTGCTGCAGATCTAGAGTAGAAAAATATTGGGTATTCCATTAGTTTTCTAACAATAGTTTTGCTAAGCAAAGTCTAGTTTTCCTAAACATTCTGCCTTGCGATGGCCAGTATATACTGAAAATTTCATACACATTAAGCCATAGGTTTAAAAGCTGACCCTTTTGGGTAGTGTCCCCCCTTAAAAAAAATTTGCTGATGTCATTACATGACAATAGGTAGTGAGGCCATTGCAACACAGGTCCCAAGGGCGAAACTGCCTTTCTAAGTGCTACAACTCAATCAACAAAGATTACAAAAACAAAGAGACAACAAAACTTACAAGTCACACTAACTCTAACTCTCTTGATAAGTGCAAAATTTCAACTGCGACACAAGCCAACTCACCTCAAGAAAAGGATCTGTGATCATGCACTCTTGTTGCCAGTCATGGGTACGCCACACCCTCAAGCTCTTGTCGTCGGACTGGGGAATAAAACAAGGAATACTTCACTCACAGAAGTGCTATAAATGGAGAGATATCAGCTAAATCCTAGCAAAAACCCTAATGCAGAGTCATTCTAATCACGATCCACATGCCTTAACGACACCCTTTCCGTAAATAGGAGGTTGTAATTGAAGCTATTTTACTCTTATGTTTTACTTGAAGGGGTCCTGCAATCATATTTAAGCGTCTACCTTTTTTGCGGTTTCCACGTCTCTTGGGGTTCGGGCAAGCCAGCGGGCACGGAAAGAGTAACTAAATATCAGTGCATTATATTTTAACCGGACGACGCGGAAACCTCCTCCACAGACGAGGGCGACTCGCGGTACTGAAAGCGCGCGAAATGTGACTTCTTTGATCCAGTGCTTACTACTGGTCAGAGCCGCTAAAAGCTTTTTTTTAGTCGAAATACAAAATATAAGTGGCGCGAACTGTTTCAATTACTATTTATAAAAGTAGTTTTTGTTCAGTATTTTAGATCAGAAAAGAAAATGCAGTTTATAAAGTATGGAATCAAGAAATGACCCGTCGACATACTCGCCACTAAGTGGTGGAAAAGGCGGCACATACTAGAAAAGAATAGTGGGATCAAGCGCCGACACGGAAAGGTCCCGGATGTACGCGGCGGCGCTGCGGCCGTTTACGGACTGGAGGATCCGACTGACTCCAAGCGTTCCGAAGGCCTTCAGCGAGTAGCTTTGTCTTGCATTTTGGCCATTTCCCGGTATGGCAGCGCAAAGTGACTCCCATTCTAAACTGATCTTTACCCCGTGTTTGCTGTCGTTTGTGGCCAATAAATTGTCATGCCGAACTAGAGTTTAATTGCGCAGCAAATTCAATGAGAGCAGCTCTGGCTCCCCGCTGTATACAGCCTATCCAGAACACGCTTTAGTGGCACCCTCTCGCGCCGTCGACACGGAGTGCGGCAGCCGTGAGCGCTCGCTGACCTCACTATCCCTCCTCTAGTTCACGGCCACTCAAGCAACCAAGGACGTCATGAGGGAGGTTATTTTTTGCTTGTTTTTGTAATTTTAATTTGCCTATACACAAACTCATCTCTGTTACGTCACGGCGCGGTGGTGGCGCGTCGGTCGCACCGGTTTGTTTGTAAACATGAGTTAATGTATAACTTTTAAAATAAAGCGAAATTCGAGAAAAGAAAAGTTACATTAAGTTACTACGGTCAGTGCGCTCAGGTTTGGTACAAAATTAAAAACCAGTAAAAAAGTGCTTGCAGGGCCCCTTTAACAAGTCAACTGCATTATATAAGACTGATGATTTGAGAGGAGGACATTAATGTTTGTGTATGTATGAAATTACGGGTTCCTATATATTTTTGTACTACTTTTTGTAAAGAACTTACTATTTTTAATGCTTGCTAAATATTGCACAAAAAAAACCTATGCTTCTAAAATAAAATAAAGGGTTACTTTTAGCTTACATGCATGAGTAATAATATATGAAAACAGTTGGAGAGAAATAAAATAAGAAAATAAAAATGTGTGAAACACCCTTTCACTAGTAAAACCTAGCATTATTTTTGTAACTGTTAGCATCCTAATCCCTTCAACAGTATCTCCAAGGTGAAAATGATAGCTTGCTTCAAAAAATTAATTTCAAGATTAGACACTCACTGTCAAACTGCAAGAGGGTTTTATTGATTTCTAGTCCGAAAAGCTTAACAGAAGGCGAGACTGTTCTTCTTTCATAGCTTTTGCAGCCATTCGACTCTCCCTAAAAAACATACAGTGATCCCTCGTTACAACGAAGCCAACGGGACAGCACAAAAATTAAATATATAACCGGCAATTCAAAAAAGCGATACCAGAGCCAAAAAAAAAATACAATGCCAGCAGCCTTGATGGTGGACAGGAACACTTTGGAACACCCTGACCATATAGTTAGTCAAACAAACCTTGGTTATGAACATCTCACAGCAGCTTTACCGAATAAAATATAATTAAATGGAGTTTGCCAATAATTTCATCCGGGCATCAGTTCTCCTTGAACTGCTCTAGGCATCACAAGAACAGAGTCACCGCCGCTGCAGTCCACTTTGTTTTGAAGAAGCCGTAAGATGTTTCACGTCTCAGCAGTTGTCAACATTTCCCGAGGTGCCTCTCCAACGTAGCTTGGTGTTTACCCTGGCCGCACGCAAGGTCTACGATCGCAGCATCCGTGGCAGGAACAACAATGAGAACGTCCGCACTGACAAGCGCGAACGAACTGAGGTTATCCTCAGTGGTTTTGTCAATATGTTTTCACACACTCCTGTAGAGTTCGTTGCAGCTATGAAAATTGAGCACCGGCTCGGCAAGCATACAACGCACGTGTGTGTGTAGTATGCTGCAGGTGCACCCGTGCAGGCGTACGCGTCACAGGCTCCCGAAGGGATGATCTCCGTGCTCCATCGCTCCCTTGACCCGATCCTGACAGGAGTCGGGCAGCGTTGGCTGTGGGCACCGTGAGTAGCGTTGGAATGTTGACGCTGCTCAACATTCCTGCCCGCGTCAGCGCATTGTAAACGGTGCTCTGCCAGCTCTGCGTGCTCTGCCCTCTGTCCCAGTTTACTCAGTTTTCCCAGTTTGCCGTTTGCCTTGGTGAAGAAGGAAGAGGGAACTCAAGGGTCTCCGTGCGTCTCCGTGTAGGCTTGCATGCTTTCAGCACCTTAGCCTTCGTAATAAGCATGGTCGGCCACAGATGCACCTATAAAAATCCGGCTAAAAATGTGTGCATTTCGGTCGGGATCATGTTGAACTTTGATAAAAGCGATAATATGAAAAAGCGATTTCGTTATAATGAGGGATCACTGTACTGTGGATGCTAACCTCAAAAAAAAAAGGCCCCGACAGATGTTTTTTTTTATTTTGCAAAACAAAAAGACAGCATGTTGATCGCCATTTCCCTCTGGGAATTGAGGGGTTAAGCCTCTCGTGCAATTCTGATGTTTCAACATACTATAGAATGAATTGCTCAGCAAGAAGCGGACAATGACCCACCTGAGAAGCAACATATTTGCCCACGGGGTCCCAGGACACGCCTTTGACAAGTCCCGTGTGGCCTTTGAGCACTGCCAGTATTTCTGCAATCAAGAATTTAGCCACATCTTTGCCACATCAAATAAACTTGGAGACGCACAGAAATGTTGCGAATGAGCTGGGCACATGGTGTGTGCATGACATGATGTTGTCATTTGATGTCATGAGGTCGTGACGTCATGTGACACTTTGACCTGTGTGTCAGTCGAACAAGTGCGATGTGTCACTCTTCTCGTGATACCTAGCCCTACAGCACAGTCCGCGTTAGAACAGGAGGTAAACTTTGCTCTGAGGCCTGCCAGCTAAGGAACAATCGTCGAGTCAAGTTTCCAAAACGACTCACCTTGCCACCTTTTCGTGTTCCAGATCACTACGGTGTTGTCGACACTGCAGGATGCCAACCAAGCATCGTGAGGAGACCATGCCAGGTCTAACACATCTGGAACACAAAAGTAATTTTCGTTCTCGCTTAAAAAAGCATTGCGTTCAATTAGAAAAAAAAAGACATGCAGCATGTGTGGTGCAGAAATAATGCTCGAAGATGTCCCCTTCCAAAGTGGGTGTCACTAAGAACTAACATTTTATTTGCTGTCACTGCATAGATGAGATGATAAAATCTCCGAGACATCCATCAGTGATCACTAAGTGATGCTTTAATCTATCCAAAATCATAAACACAACTTTCCATATCGTTGATCATATGTACAAAGCAACAGCAAAATAAATTTTCAAAATATTAAAAAAAAAAGATGAAATGAAAAAAAATGAGACGTTTACAACTTCCCCTAATGCTGAATTAGAGTGCAGCTCTTAAAGGGATTGTCCGGTGAAATTTTGTATTCGAGAAAACAATCAGATATCATTGTATAGACGCTTTGCACACGCGCCAGATTGAGCCGCCATAGCTGACCTTCTCCTGTTTTACCGAGATGCCGAGCCACCGAAGCGGGCGTTTATGAGCCTCCAAAGAGGTCTATGATGGGGAAAAGGACGCAGTAGCACCTAAAGTCGCAATAACCTGTTCTGCTGTGGCAATGATGAAGTGAAGCGAACGGAATAAGAGGAAACAAAAACTGAAGGTCGCTTATGGCGGCGCCCATGCACAGCTGCTGCAAAGCGTCTATTGGCTCAAGACCCATCGTAAGTGCAATATCTGAATTTTATATGCCCCTCTGCATGAGTAATTGAATTTATACTGCTCCAATTGCATTCTAACGTAAATGCTGCTTTCGGTGGCAACATTGGAGCTCTGACGTCACACAACACAAAGCGAGCATATTTGTCTCGTCGTTTGGCTGCGAGTGAATGCCTCAGCATGCTTAGTTTTTGTTGTTGTGTTTGACTTGTTTCGTGCTTGGGTGAGATTTTTGTTGCGCGATTCGGTGCCACAACTACCAGACAGCACATGCGAGCCAAGACATAACGTTCCACACTTTTCCGCGAGACTTGCAGTGACGAGCGAAGTGGATCATCGCCGTGCGTAGGGACTGGGTTCCCGTCAAGATCGAGATCCCGCTTATGCAGCAATCATCTCACAGAAGAAAGCTACGAGCTGAGCTCTAAGCGGACAGAAGGCTCGTAAGCTGAAGTGTGATGCTGTGCCAACGATATTAAACTACGTCCATCCACTCCTCGCCCAAATCAGATCTATCAATTTGATTACGCAGCGAAACCAAAACCAACAGCTAGGCCATCTGGAAACGATACCAGAAGTTGTATTTAGCACGCGTGCAGCCAAATTCTGTTTGACCCGCATGTGCAAATAGAGCGTGGCTACAATTCACCAAGCTCGTCCAAGTCAAGTGACGACATGCATTTGAACGATTCGCCGTTTGTCTTCGACCCGTGCAGACATTGCCTACGAGCAATTGCTCCGAAAGTACGACCCGCAGCCTCATCACCGATCCAGTGGATCTGCCGACATGTGTACCCAGATGCCACTTTGTGTACCTAGGTGCCGCTTCAGAGGCGAAATCTGCATCCTTTGCTATGCAAGCGCCCCTAGTTCGATCGGTGGCCGTCGCTGTTGTGTTTGCGCAAAACGCACACGTTTGCTCGAAGCTTGTGGCTTTCGGCGAGTAATTTCCTGCTAAAAGGCGTGACTTTGTTTGCACATGCTTGGGAACTGCATTAAAAGAACCGTATTTTAGTAGGGTATAGCCTAGGAGACTGTATAATTCGAAACAAAATACAAGATATCAATTGACAAACGCTTGTTATCCCGACCATCCGACAAACGCGACAAACCTTTGCGTTTTGTGACGTCATGCAGCACCTACGGATGTCAGCCATTGACACTGGCGAAATTCGGGGTGCAGTTTTGTACATTGGCTCATGAAAGGATTAATCAATAACGGGAGATCATATATAAAAATAAAAATGACGTTTGTCTACATGAAGGCTACCTCGACGTAACGACCGCAAGAACTTAAGTACTTCCGGTTTCGACCGGACAATGCCTTTAAGGAGGAGGGGAAGAGGGTACGGAGAGGAGGATATGCCCCCTCCTCCTCCTCCGTACCCTTTTCCCCTCCTCCATCCTCCTCCCCTCTGCCCCCTTGTCCTTCCCCTCCCTGCCCCCCCTTGTGACATCACTCGTGAAGTGAAGGTCATGACCTTCACTGTGAAGGTTGTGACTTTCGTCATGACCTTCACAAGTGACCGTGACGACACGTGTGACGTGATTATGGGAAACGTCCCATGATGCACCGCGCAGTCCCGAGTGACCAGCGCGGTGCATTATGGAATGTTTCCCATTATGCAACGTGGGGACGCTTGTGACATCACTAGTGAGGTTATTATGAAAAATATCCCATAATGCAACGCGTAGGTCACAAGTGAGACCCGAGTGAGACCCGCGCGTTGCATCATGGGACGTTACCCTTAATACAACGTGCGGGACCCTCGTGATGTCACGTGTGACGTTATTATGGAAAATGTCCCCTAATGCAACACGCGAGACTTTCGTTATGCCACATGTGACGTGATTATGAGAAACGTCCCATAATGCAATGCACGAGTCACAAGTAAGACCCGTGCGTTGCATCATGATGCTTCCCATAATGCAACGTGCAATACCCTCGTGTTGTCACGTGTGATGTAATTATGGAAAACGTCCCATAATGCAACGCATGGGTCACAAGTGAGAGCTGCGTGTTGCATTATGGGACGTTTCCCATAATGCAACACGCAGTTACGCTGACGGCAATGGCGACGCCACTCAAGCCGGAAATGCTTGCCTAAGAGCTGCACTCGAAAAAAAAAGTTACAAGGCAAATATTATTGTGCTGCAGGTCACATTTTACATTTACAAGCATCTTAAGTTAATCAAAGGCCCGCAAAATCCTGACTATAGAAGTCATTGCAAGCTGGTCTTGTCATGAACATGGTAGTTGAATAGAGAGATTATTTATGTATATGGCAAGCAAAGGCCCGCAACTGCTTACCTCCGGAGTGACCCCTGAGAGTGCTCACACACTTCCAGTGTTCCACATTGACCATCTTCTTACTGCCCCCAAACATGCTTGAGCTGCCACCATACCTAAAAGCAAGGGGGGAAATAAGAAAGGAGGACAACATACCCTAAAAGCTCACTTAAAGCGGTCTATTACCTTGTCTTTTTAAGGCTCTAACATGATCTCCTTCCTTCACAAAATCTAATTCCCCAACTTCTACATAGAAAATAATAGTAATACCCTTTCCCTCCTTTGCAATGAGAAAGGGTATGAAAGTTGGAATAAAGGCTGATGTGAACTATTCAGGCTTCTCCAGCTACCGAATTCTGATCAGTTTCGAGCTCGGACGAATCTGACATTACCAGTGAACTCCACATTCTGACCAAACTTTCCATTCTGAGTGAATGGCAGATGGGACCGACCTGCCGATCTGCCAGATCATGATGACCCTGTCGTCCCCTCCAGAGGCCAGATGTCGTCCGTCCGAGGACCACCGCACGCAGTTGACGCACGCCAGGTGGTTGTCCATCTGGCACAGGAGTTTGGGCACTGCCTCGCTCAGCTCGTCTTCCTCCCGCGCCACGGGGGCCATGTTCCACACACAAATCTGGCCTGCATCCGCCCCTGGGGAAAGCACGAAGGGGGGGGGGGGGGGGGAAGGAAGAATGGAGACCTCCTCTTTTTACGGATCAGAGGCAGCCAAATCGCAGCTCTTTATGGCTGAAAGTGTGGCTCTGGTGACTTGAAAACAATCTCTATAGTTTAAGCCAAAAAATCACGCTTTTTAATAAATAAATATAAAAAAGCTCCTCCAGCTGCTAGGAGATGTAATGCGATGGCACTTAGGATCCCTTGCCTGCTGCACCTCAGACGTCCATCGAGGCCGCCTTTCCTTCACCACCTGTGGTCTCCAGTGCCACATAACTAAGGTGACCAGACGTCCTTTTCTCGCATAACAGCCCCCTTTTAAAGGGTCAAATTGGCCGTCTCGTCATTTTGTCTCGGCAAAGTCAAATGTCCAGTTTTAATGAAAACTTGCTTGTGAAATCAGTACCAAGCAAGGGGAAGAAAAGAAAAACTTGCTTACTCCCCTCCCCCTTGATGTCCAGAGGATTATGGTCACCCTACACATAACATCACAGTGTCAACTGAGATCATGCCATCACAAGATCATGCAGTGTCACAAGACATCAGTGTGACATTAAGGCATCAGTGACATGATGCTTTGATGTGATGCATAGTGATGATGAGATACTGCATCATGTGACATGACATCACAGCATCATGTAACATCAATCATGTGATGTCACAGCATCACATCATGTCATGTGACTAGGGCTGGGCGTCGATCAAAAGTCTGAACACGATTAATCGCCATCGTTTAATCAGTCTCGTTCATTTCCATGCATAATAGATAAAAAAAAAGACAAAATTAATACTTTTCCTTCTTTTTTTGTTTTTACTGAATATGTGGTAAAGGGTGCAATATACAATTTTGATTATGAATCAACCTCGATGTGTATTTAAGAACATGTTCAAAGGCATTCACACTCACACATCATTGCTTCTGCTGCATGAGGCAAAGATGTTCACTGATATTCTCTGGCATGAGCGACCTCCTTTCATTGTTTACAATAGCCTCTGCTGTGCTAAATGGACACTCGAACGGCGTTGAAGTGGCTGGGACATTGTAACCTTCTGCACTTGTGAGGGGTTACAAATTTTGCGTTCACAGTTTACTTTAGGCAGAATTTTGACCTAAACTTTTCCCTTCATACAAGTGTACTTGTCCATGTCTGCAAAGTGAAAGCGTGTAATTTTTACTTTTTTTGGTTTGTGAACATTTTACCAATTAACTGGTTAAAAGTATTCAGCGCAATTAAAGCATTAATTGATTAATTGGTAGGTTCATCGATCAATTGCCCAGCCCTACATGTGACCTCACATGACTGTGATGTCACAGTGCCATGCAACACCACAGCATCATGTGATGCAGTGTCACAGGATGTGACACTGCATCAATTACGCACCGATTCAGGCTTTTTCGGCTAAGCACTTCCTCCTAGGTTTAGCTGCCAAGGCACTTATGAATGGACACAGAAAATCTTCATGGTGTGGCAGCCCTAGAAACGCTGTAGCATTTAGAACTACACAGTGAGTAATCGACTGAAAAAATATTCATACAATTATTGATTCTAAACTGCGACTCCAAAGCTGCCAACAAGCCTGTAAAAATAGAAAAAAAACTTATTAAAAAAACAAAAAAAACAAGTCGCATTCAAGTGTTGTATTAATCCGGAAGCATGCCTCTTATCATGCTTTCGGAGAACCATGGGTGTCAGTTTTGCATTAAATGGCCCATCCAAGGTACGTCATTTATGTTTCATCTATGTTTGCTTGTTGATCTTGCTGACTGGAACGATTCTCTGTGCAAACTTAATAGGTGCTGACCATATCCCTGTATGCATCAAACTACAAAGTGGCTAATGTTAATAAAAGTTGTGATGAGGCCAATGAAACCATTGCCCTACTGTGAAAAACCCTACCAATTATATTCCAGCGAAACTTGATCCTATAGTTTGGCACGATGCCCAGAATGACAACGCAGAAAACACGCGAGCAGATGATAGACCGAAAATGCTATCGCATCCAGCGAGTACATGCACATGCACTCGGAGCAGCTCTATGGAAAATGATTAGGTATTTGTTGCAGCTTTTGTGAAACCCCTGTTCTACACTATGGAAAGTGAGCCTGAATCTGTACACAATAAAGGGACCTTTTTATAGGTCATGAAAAGTTCCTGATCTTTATAGAGCCTTTTACTGTTTACAAACACAAGCTGTCTTTTGACCCCAAAAGACTTCCAGTCACTCCGTTTTGGCAGGCTTTCCGAACCTGCTGATGTCGAAATTTCTGGAACAATGAAGTTCTACAGAAATCACAAAGGTTGGGGCCTAGCAAGGTCCTTCTGCTGTGCTATAAAACAGATAAGTGGTGATTAGTCGTCTCGCAGGAGTATTAAAAATTTCTACCAAATCTCTCGCTAAGAAGGCCTTTGGGTAATCACTAGGTGAACTGGTCATAAAATATTTCATGGCCACTGCAAGAAGCAGTGCAATGGTGGGGGTTGTTTGTCTTCTCAATTAACCGAAAGTTTTTTTTTTTTTTTTTTAGTTTATACAATTGAGGGACATTTTCCTAGATCGTAAAATGTGCCTTTCGACCTTTTACAATTTCCTTATACCATAAGAAATGTCCCTAGCTCTTTACACAGTCAAGGGATGTTTTCCCTATATAGTCAAATAGGTCTAAACCCATGCACCATCTAGGCACAGCCTAACCGAGATGCCGCCCCCTCGGCATAATGTGCCACACCAACGATGGGATTGATTGGTTTGAGATGCTTACCTTGCCCACCGGTTGCAAACCTTGACCCATCCGGATGAATGTCCACCGAGAATATTGGGTGCCCTGCAAGGGCGTTAATGATACATATTGACTAACAAGAACAGATGTTGCCCAGGCACCTGACCCATCGGAGTTGTGCAGCTCTACTACCAACATGCACATTGATTTCTAAAGGGATTGGTACAATGCGCGATTTGTGAATTGAGGAGGAAAGCTATGAAAGAAAATGTTGAATTCAAAGGGTGGGCTGCTCCGATGGAACTTGCTATGTCATGACTACGTAGCAAGTTCCCCAACATTGCAAGATTACCTCCCAAATAGGCTACACATGCATCCACCAGGTGCACATTCAAAGATCATTTAATTAGCTTTAAAATTAGTCTTCTTGTGCCTTTCAACGAAAGACTGGTATTATTTAGGTTGTGCTGCAACATGCAACAAATTAAAGCTAAAAAATTAGCGCTGGAATTTTGTTTCCGTACCCCTTTAAAGCTTTATCCATGCTTGTACCTTCCACTGTATTGCCGCCTCTCTACCTCCCCCACCAAAAAAATAAAAAAGCCTGTGAAGAATGTTTTAGCCAGAGGGAAATCCTAGCATGGCAACTTGAATGTCGAGGACAAGCACTACATGACTGATGTAAACTTTCATCATTAAAAATGTCTGATCTGAAGACTTTGTATAGTACATGTTTAACTGTCAGAAAGTTTCACAAGGCATTTCTTGGTATATTTGTCTAAATTTACCCCCTTTCATGCTGAACTGCTTGTTAATGCCTGGTCAACCTTGTGCTGCTTTGGACATGCAATACAACGATACATGGCGTCAAAGCTTTTGAGATTTATTTGAACAAACAAAAGTGGGTCAAGCAACCATTGTCACCTGTCAAATTAGACTGAGGGCAAATGAAACAAGCGACTTCACTGTCGCCGAGCAAGACAAAGAAACAAACAGGTAGAGGATGTGCTGCTTCAACGAACAGAAACACAAACACAATGGCTTAACTAGGAAATTTGCTTACAAAGTTAAGAGCCAGTGCAGATCGCGCCCCGGTAAAACCCCTGCCCACGTGATTACAATGAAGACAAGCTGTCAGCGCACTGCGGTATCCGTTCCTCGCTTCAAAGCCATCGTGGAAACAAAAATGCATCACTCCCAAAAACATTACGCGGGCATTTAGGTCATAGTAAAATAAATTGACCCTGCATAATCAGCGTGGTCAATAAGCATAATCGCGGACCAGTCATTTCGGAGACACATCGTGCCTCTGCTGAATCGCTTCATGAAACGAATTACGGCAACGAGCAACCGCTCTTGCATTAGATGACCGGTTACACATTTTGTCCTCGCTCATTTTAAGGGTTGGCGCTCAATATTATTTCTCGATTGCCTCGGTATGACTAGCAATCAATCGCCGCGTTAGGTCCTCGTTCGGTATTGGGTGCCAATAATAACATGTCAAACTGTAAACAGTCGAAATGGCGCGATGCCCATGGCCATGCGGCGTTTCCCAGCGTTTCAGACGGACCTAATTTGGCGACATTACGAAGGTGCGGTGCAACGTTGGAGGAAATTATTCGCCCCAAACACGACGGAGAACTGGCGATTAGTGGTTTCTTTGTGTCGTGCCAATCAGCCGGCGAGCGGTACCGATAAACACAAATGTAAGCCTAACAAGGCTCGACCGCCGCTGCCTTACCGTCATGGGTCACCCAGTTCGGCTTGAGCAACTTCATCGCGGTGTCTCGCCGGTCTACAACGTCTGTCGGGGACAGCGCGAGGCCGATGAAACGATTTGAAGGAACATTTGTCACATGCACTGCACCTCACTGGCGTCACTGGTTGCTTCCATGGTTATGAATGTGGCGCAGTGTTGACGACTGTCCGCTCGATTCGCTCCAAACTTTGAAAGCTTCTTTCCGCTCATAAGAACTTCTAATGTTCTAAATATTGCCTTTGTGAATTCTTTGTGCTTAATAATATAAACACTTATTTATGCATGAATAATTTATAAACTTAAATAACACGCAAGGTATTTTTTTAATAGCAGCAATTAAAATTACATTTTCATTATTATTGGCGGATACCGAAACCGAACGTTCAAAGGCGTTCAGCAAAAAACATTGCACGGAATCGGTGAAACAGGAACGTGATGCGACGTCAGGATCGTTCTCCAGTGGTTCTTGAGGTTCAAGTACTGGTTCAAGTATGCGCCGCCCTCGATTGTAACCTCGGTTACCTGCAGTCTCTGCACTTTCATTGAGCGCGTGAGAGTATGTGTGGTTTGCGTTTGAAAGGGCGAGAGTACACAGTACAGTTGTGCGCACAAGTAAAGTGCGGTAGGGCCTCATTCCCTCCAGACTTGCAAGCTGAATCGCGGCCGGGGCAGCCACGGGCCCGCGATTCGGCTCGGCTTCATTATGGTGATCCCGCCGGTTCAGTGGGCTCAGTGAGGGTGGGATTACTCTCACCCCTCTAGGCCTTAGGATAAAGACTAGGGGTGTGCGAATAGACCAGTCTCGAAAATTATATGCCGTTTAATTGTTATGTCTGGGCCACTGCACAATGGCGGCACAACTGACACCGGCGTAGAACGTGCAACGTGAACTGGAATTAGTAGCGCATTTCTTTAGGCATCCAACTTTTACGGTGTTCTTTATGTCCACCGCTATGCAGAGATTTCACAACTTTCAACAGAGTGCACACGAATTTCGAAACGAATTTATTCTCTAACCTAGGGGTCTCCAAACCCCGGCCCGCGGCCCACTGCTACCAACGCAAAAAAAAAAAAAAGCGATAAAAAAAAAAAAAAAAAAAATCGGCGCCGTGCGCGCGACGCGCATTAAACATTAGAAAGAATGAGAGAAAACCGTAGTGTTGTGCGAATGTACGCAGGTGCAAATTTGGGGTCAAAAATAAAGTTTTTGCTTAGATAGTCGATTGCTTAGTCGACACACAAAAAAAATCTTTTCATACACGGAACACCTTGACAAATCTGTTTTCTTAGCTCACAAAGAAGATATACTCTCACATTCACAAAATCCGTCACGTCTCGACAAAGTGAACGATCTTAAAAAACGAAATTCCTGTATAGTCCGCACGCGTAGATAGCCCGTACAGCCTAAAATTTCAACTTTTAAACGTGTATAGTCCGCGGACTACAGCACGGAAAATACGGTAGTTTCGAATAATACGCTATTCGATATTCGCTTCCAGAATAACTTTGATATTCGTATTTTTCAAAGTTGTAGACCGCGGCGGGTTGGCCCCGTTGAGCGCGCTTCTTACCGAGCGCCGGTGCACTGCAGTGAAGCAACACTCGCGAAGGTCGCTTCTGCGAATATTGCTTCTCCGCAGTGCACCGGTGCTCGGTATGAAGCGCGCTCAACGGGACTATACTCCGTTTCACCTTATGTTGTACCGCAGAAAAGGTTAGAAGCGCGAGCTCATAGCGTTGGGAGCTGCTCTTAACGCACGAGAGCATGTGCCGCCGAGATTTACCCCTAAGCAAGGAGCTCGCGCTTGTAGCCTTTCCTGCGGTACATCATAAGGTGAAACAGATTATAGCCCGCGGCAATCAATCAACATTACGAAAATTAAAAAAATTTGTAGTCCCGCCCCACTTTCAAAGCGGGATGGTGCACGCGCGCGCGTGGTGTGTAAAAAAGAACAAAAACTTTGTGAATATGGCACAGTAAAATTTTTAAAATTAAGCTGTTTCCTTACAACCTACATTCATCAAACACGATTGTCTTTCTTTTATTTTCTCAAAATCTAGATTTAATAAAGGATATAGTTCCATATAGCAAGAATATTTATAAATCCCCTCAATTACGTACAGCTGGGCATGTCTATAGGTTTAATTTCATGCTAAATGCATCATAACTTGCCATTCCCATGCAGGCAATAAATAGACATTCTGAGGTCACAGTCCATAAATATAGCTAGATTAAAATAACAGCTTAGATCCGGCTAAGTGGAAGCTTGAGAACAACCTTTATGAGTTCCTATGGATTTTCGTTTAGGCGTGGTACAGTGGTGAAAAGGATGGAGAAACTATTCAATATTCAATTAGAAAATATTCGGCCAAAAACATTCACTTCGAACTCAAAATCCGCTATTTGTACGTTTATAAAACTGCATCAAAACGCCGGTTCTCTCCCCATATTATCTATTGTGCATTGTCCTAATCAAAATTACTATTCGTAATTCCTTGCTTCATGTCTGTGTATCTAAAAAAAGTTCCTTTGTGTTCTCATGCATATCGCACATAGTCAGCTGATCTGATCTACCATTTTCATTAGTTTTCTGCCCCGTGTGAATATGCCAAAGTTCTTATGCACTTTTATGTCTGGTGAGATCTCGGGGCCTCAGTAATTTCGTAATCTCATAAATAGTAAAATATTGCACCTAAATATAAAGTAGATTATGTATTTTCCCATTTAACGTTTCTTTTTACGGCGGAGCTGTTATAAGCTAGTTTCCCCAATATCGTGTCCGTCAGCAAACAAATGACACTAAACTCTAGACAGCTACCGCCATCTATGAGCGACGGCGGCAACCAGACAACCGGCTTGCCAGTCATCTGGTTCGCTCATAGATGGCAGCAACCTCTCGACCCTTTCCACTCTGGCTTGCCGACTTGCGGCCGTCCATTACTTTATTCCCACCATAGTACAGCTTCGCTGGACTTCCTTCTTCACCAGAGTGGAAAGGCTGAAAGTTTTTCTTGACATTTGATCTATATTTAATTTTTTATTTAAATGTTTATTTATTTAGTATTTCCTGGTTTATATTGTCTTATCCAATTTCCGGCCCCTGAGACTCCAGCACGCCCCCAATCCAGACACTTAACGAAAATGTTTGGAAACTCCTGCTCTTATCAAATAGTGATTGACTGAGTAACTCAATTCGACTTTTGGACTCCTGCTACTTAGCTATTGAATGAGTAAACATATTGCATCCAAGTTTATTCAAGAACACTGTCTATATGGTGACAGCTCCCAAGTACTGTGCAAGTTTAAATCAAGCCCATGTTCAAAAGCTTCGACTGTCTAACCATTTTTATAGAAAGCATGTTTCTTATATTTCTCGTACCCTCCGCCAGCTTCCACTATATGGCAAATAAATGACAGAATGCGGTACACAACATAATTTAACCTGCCTCATCTACTGACCCCAAGTTAAGGTAGGCTAAACCCGAGGCATCAAGCTAGGTAGCTCAAGATCAGTGCATGGTCTGTCCATTCAGCACACTGCATACTCATGTGTGAAAGAATCAAATCAAATCATATCAAGTTTATTTGCTGTCACATAGTTTTACATGACAAACAGGGAACTGGAACAAAAAGTTGCTAAAAAACAGCTTGATGAAGGTTTCAGTCTCCTCCCCCTACCCCACAAGAACAAACGCTAACACGAGTAAGAAAAAAAAAGCTTTTTGTGGTTGAACACATTTTTAAGCTGCACCTCATGTTTATCATTGCCATATGTGGCCATTAATGCCGTTCTTATTCATGCTGCATCCACTGTTGTGCGTGCCCTGGGGAAAAATAAACATAGAGGCATTCTTAAGATTATGATGCAATTATATGCAAAGGTGCAAGCAAGCTGGACAAGAATGAACAAAATAAATCCCTGGAGAAGGGGAACAAGAGGGACAAGGGACAAACACAAATCTCCAAACACAGCTAGGTGACTAATGCACGACCGAATGTGTTGACTTTTTTAGTCGACACATTATTTTTAGTTTATATGCATTCCTGATCTTAGTATTGGTATTCAATATTCAAACCTACATTAGGCTCTCGGCCACCATTAGATTCAAGCTGAAATTGAAATAGTATTCGCATACCTCTATTAAAGACCTTCAACACTATGACATATTATGGGTTCTGCAGAAATGGGTCATTTGCACTAAAGCTCTGAAAAAAAGTAAAAAGACCACTATTTGAGCCCCCCTCCCCCGCTTTCTTTTCTGAAATCAAGCTTTGTGTGGAATATGACCAATATGTATGTATCATGTATTGGAAGCACCATGTTTAGCTGTCCTCAGTAATTCACTGAACAGATTTCATACCCCTCTCCCCACCAACACCAGCCTGCAACCCGATTGCTTCGTAGTGGGTTATTGTTTGGTCTACAGAGCTTCCAGAGAACAGGTCTTTAAGGCTCTAGACAGGCAAGTTAGTCAAGAGAAGCTTTAGCAACAAATAGGTAGAATTATAAGAATATTAGTTTATAAAAAAAAGTTCAGTTTATTGAGAGGCATGCAAAGCCTCGCCAAAACCCACTTACCTAATTGTCGTCGTCTCCCCGAAAAGAATCAGATGCAATCAAACACATCAAGCTTTTTTATTATATATAATTGCTCAACAACAGTTTGCTTCTCACACAAAAATATATATTGCTATTTATAAATAGTAGGTCACACTGGCAAGAGTATCTCTGCTCTTGAAGAGGGCAAAAGTTTGTACATCGACCACAACACATATATATATATATATTAAAGTCTGCATACTAACCGGCAATACACACATAAAATTGTTGGCAACCGTCCTCAATTCTAACTAGTACAGGGCAATTCAAATACATTTCACTTTTTGCAGCATAGCAAGGTGAACAAAAACTTGCTGCTACATTTCACTTCGAACCAATGTCAATAGAAATGGTGCTCACTGGGTCGTCACAGTGGACTCCCAAACACGGACGCACTTGCATAGGAAACACGAGCGCACGCACAGACCTTCCCCACTCTCCGATTGGCTGGCGTCACGCCGACAACTTGGCATTAACCATTAACAGCACTACCGGCAGACGCGCCAGTGCAACAGCGTTGTGTTTATGCGAAGGAAAGTGTGCTAGATATTTAGCCCAAGAAATAATACCGCACATAAGCACATCTGTAAATGCATGCCAGAGATGAGTAATGTTAAAGTAGTATGCACCTGAGCTGGTCTGAAAATGAGAGGGTTAAAATTTTTGGATAAGAAGTGCTTGGTAGGAGTAAGCAAATCACTTATGGTGGGTCTATTTAACCACTTCTGCTCATGTTGAATGACAAAAATATATTTTAAAAAGCCACATACAAAATGTACAATAAAGATTGAGATAATATTTAGTTCAGATCCGTTATGATGCTCATTGGAATTTCACTGTAGGTAAGTGAAGTTCACTTTTTCTGCAAAGTCACTTTTTCTGCAAAGTCACTTTTTCTGCAAAGTCACTTTTTCTGCAAAAATGTAAATAATACAATGAAAAAAAAAAGTTTTAGACGACTTTTTGTTGCAGTTAGAGCTCTCCGGTTACGCAGTCCTAAAATACTCTGAAGGTAGTCAAAGAGCTAGAATCGTAACGTCAAAAAGATTTGCAGAGCCACAGCATCTACCTTAACCTAAAAAATATGGTTGACACTAATGTCCCTACTATCTAGCCACTCCTAATAGAGAACACAGTATCTAATCCCTGCCAGGCTCTTAGTCCAGGAAAAGTTAAATTTTTCTCAGACGCACAAAGAAACAAGAACAAGTAGTTTAGCATGTCCTTAGGCAGCAGAAGTCCAGACACAAGCAATGCGCAGAGCTCACGCACAGATCAATGGTAGCATACTTTGAGGAAACTAAGCCACTAAGCATGAGCTTTGCTCGGCGAGTCTCGAATACGAGCTGACAGGTTAAGGTGGAGGCGCATTTCTTTGTACTATGCCAGTTACGAGAATAACTAACCCTGTTCTAAACTATTGTCACTGAACATCACTAGGTGACCAGCCACGGGCATGCACATAAAGGTTATAAATCTTTCTGAAAATGCATTTGAGCGCGAGAAGGATTCCTTACAATTCAGCAGTTTCAACGTGTACCCAGCTATCCTAGCCTGCTAAGTTTTTCATGCCAAGTCGTATAGTAAAGCATCTGAAGACACAACTATTATTGAAAACAGTTGCACGTAGCCATATCATTATTTCTACACACTCCTTAGAAGGACTTTTCACCAAGGAAGAATCCTTTAAAAGGAGCGATAGGGAGAACAAGGCTACAGACTCACCAGTATACCAAAATGCCTATCCAGTTCTTTCTAGGAGACAGCCAGCACCACTTTCAATGGCAGAAATTATTTAAGAATTTATATTGCCAAAACGTAAAGCACCCAGTTGCTGTGTTAAGAAACTTGCAAAATTAAAACAAAAGTTTGTTGGCCTTGTGCGGTGACAAAACTTTGAAAGCACAAGTTCAAAGTTGAGTGCTTGTTGATTAAGGCGTAGTTGTTTACAGGCAGTTATACGTTAGTAAGATCTCTATAAAATAGTCAAATGTCCATCAAAATCATAAAGTAATTAAGGTATGATAATATATTGGGGTGGGCGCTTGCTGGAGTAAAATTTATTACAACAAGCAAATCTACGGTTCACAAAAAACATAGGGTCAGTGCTCACACCAATGCAAACAGATTCAGTATTTAGAAATACAGCTAAAAGTAAAAATTAGTGAACTGGTAAGAAAACAGTAGCATATTAAAAGTTGCCGTAAATCTTCCTCTTAAATCTTGGTCTGCATTTATTTCCTTTGTAATAATGTATGTTTCATATCGATTACAATAACAGCAGCATTTCTCAACATTGATTACACAACTGAGCCTACCTATATCTTACCATAAATCTACTAAGTCTTGAAATAAGTAGTGTAAATTAAGATACGCTGTACTCAGAAAGTCACATATTGCTTATGAAATCCAATTAAAGGTATGCAACATCTTTTAATAACTTCTTGTTCGTGTTTTGTCTTATTCATGAATCAACTTTCACATAACAGTTAATCATAAAATAACTTTAGAGACTGTGGTGCAGAAAAATCAAGAAACTTTCAAGTCAAAAGAAAAGACAACAGTAGGTGATGTTCCCCATCTGTGGTCGTTTCCTTTGACTTCAAAGTTTCTTAACCGCACCACAGTCTCAGGTGTTACATTATGATTAATTATCACCAGCTCGCCTGCACACCCACTGTTTTTTCGTACATGACACTCGTTTTCTCAATACCAATATAAAAGCCTCGGCTTAATAGCTACAGTCAGTGCTTTCGATTATCTCCAAACTAAGAAGTGTCCATCCTAATCTTGAAAAACAAATGCCAAAAATTAAATAGCATGTTACTATAGTAAAGGCCCATTCACACACTTACAACCGAATAGGACCTGCAGAAATAAGACTGGTTTTTAAGCCCCTTGCAACGGCTTAGGACTGGATGCGCTGTTGTGGAGCCAGTCCTAGGCTGTTGTAAGAGGCTTAAAAACTGGTCTTGTATTAGTCGGTTATACTCAATTGCAAGTGCATGAACGGGCCTTAGCATTAATGCCGGTGTTGTTAACAGCAAACTTCCAATGAGATATCAAGTAGTAGGGCCTTAACTCTGCAAGTGCAAGTGGTGCCGACTGTGCCAATTATGCCATCTCGCACATATTATGTATGACATACTCTAAGATTATTACGTAGGGGTCAGTTATTTATGGGTCAAACCCAACTTTGCTTAATTAATAATTACCAGAAATGTTCTTTATTAAAGTATTTGTGCTTCATCAGATTTTTAGCCTCCTAAGTGGAAAAGGAAAGCACAATCTTAAGCTTATTTAGTAAATTTAAGCACCATGCATAAAAACCAGAATTGTAAGCTAGTCATTCTGATTTGCATCTAGAAATTCTGCTCACCGAAACAAAACAAGAAAAAGCACTGGCTTTTATATCAAGCATAGCTCTAAATTAACTTCAGCAAGAAAAAAAAAAAAAGAAGCTCTGCCAGGGTTAGGTTTAGTGACATGGCTGCCTTTATCAAGAATTGAAAAATAAAAAAAGAAACCGTGCCATTTATTGTTTTGATTGTGCTCCTGTACTCCCCTTTCTGGTAAGAGCCTCCTGCCGAGAAATACCTGCAGTTTTAGAAGCACGCAAGGTCTTCCTACTTCCGGGTAACAACCACATGCTATGTTGGCAAACAGACAAAAGCTACACACATAGACGAACCTGTGTCATACTGTGTCAGAAAGGACCTTAGTCGAAACAATTCTTATGAGGCTTTTGACAAATGGACGTTAGATCCACGAAATAAGCCACGCTTCAAAGTAGCAATAGTTCGGCCACCTTGGTGCTTCAAATCATGGTTGCCAGTTATCTGATCGTTATATGAAATTGCAGGAAACACTTTTCTGTTCTCCAGAAATGTAAAAACACTCAAGAAATGTAAAACACTGGCTATCTTAAGTTTAAGACGTTGCGTTTTCAAATGGTGGTACCTACCGCCGATTGCACCTGCCCAGCACGTGGTGGCACCAAAATGGTGGTGTCCATAAGATAAGTGGGGAAATGGAGTAGCACTCTAAAGTGTATATCAGTATTTAGTGGCTCTAGTGGACACACAGTGCACCACCATATATACCCACTCATGGACTCACGGCTTACGGCAGCGGAAAGGCTTGAACGGAGTTATCGCACAAGCCCGTCGAAATTCCCCAAACAAGTAACTGTGAGTGCACACTGGCAGAAGCACACTTCTCTGGGGACTAAGCTCGTCAAGTATCGCTCAGCTCAGCTTTGGGATTGTAGGGCGATTCGGCAAGACGGCACTTTGAAAATTATGGCGGCGGTGTGGTGCACATGACATATATATACATATCTCCAATAACTCTAGAACTCCAGGAATCATATTTTATCTTTTTGAAATAAGAAACTGTTGTGTTGAGTGGGCCATCAATGCTCCCAAACCTATATAGTAACTGGCCAAATAGGATCTTGCAAGACCTGGTCACAGAAACAGGACAGCTATTTTATGAATGTGCATGGTTATAACAGATGAAAAATATTTTACTGCTCGATTGCTGTTTGAAATACCCGATAACATCTACAAAAAGAGCACATATGTGGAGTAGTACATTCTATGCTTGTTTTAATAGCTGATACTTGGTGTTTGATTTCGACTGGCTTTCAGAATTTGGCTGAGACTCTCATAGAATTGGCGAAAAAATCCAACCCTGTCAGGCTTGTACTTTGGTGCACTGTCTGGTTGGAGAAAGACAGCCGGCTCTGGCGAAAAGATTGCACCCCTTACCAAACTACAGTTCCTTGAGTCAATTTGTGCCTTAGACTACACAGTTTCCAATTTGCAAAAGACATCAAAAACAGTGTGCAGAAGCTCACAGTCTGTGAGAAGCCTCCAGGACAACAACTTCTAGACTGCTTAAGACTGTTTGTACAAAAAAATTAGGACTGCATCATGTAAACATTTGTTGAAGCTGGCTCAGTGTATGGCACACATGCAAATTGAGCTGCGAGGTTGAGCCAGGTACCACTGCATTTTTACTGTACGAGTGCAGGCGCAACGAAAGTTTCGTGAAGTCTCAAGGCAGCAATTATGGAGGGCCTAGAATATTTGAGGACATTATGCTAATAGCCAGTTATAGCAAGAAAAAAGTGTGTTGTTAAAAATAAATCACTAGCATCTTTACAAGAGCTAAAAGTACACAACTTTGACCAGTAGAAAGAATGTAGTGTCAAGCTTATTGTAGAGATAAAACACAACAGATGTAGCGTAAAGCACATTGCAACAGCGGATCCTTGTATGCAAATTCTGAACACACCAGCTTCTAAAAACAAGCCCACACACACGCAGTGTCTAGGTAAAATTTTCGTATGGCTCGTGAAGTTACTTTGAAGGAATGTAAAGAGCTAAAATGAATGTGCAAAGCATTATATAAATCACAATGCAACTTCCCCTGGTAAAAAAAAAAAAAAAAAAAACTCTTTTTACAGAATTGTTACAATAGACAGACTTTCTTAACAATGTTAGTGCACAATCATCAAAAGGTGGAACGGCCAGAAAGAACTTATTTACATTCTCTTATTACAGTCCTTCATTGGTTTCGGCCGTACCGAATATACTAATTACTAATAATGCACAATAATTTGTTTTCTGGCATACACTTTGAGGTCGAACATTGAGATTGCACAATCTTTAAAAAAAGAAAAGGAAGATAGGAACGTTCCCCGAGCAAGTATTGACCTGCTGCAGCCCAACAAGTCAAAACCATGCGTCTAAAAGCAACAATCAATGTATAAGAGGACCCCGAGATTTTTCTTCGATTCATACAAGTGCTGCTACTAAGCTCGGCAACCTTGACCAATAAAATGTACGAGACTTTAAGTTAGGTAAGTGAGATACAAAGAAAACCACAAGTGACGCACGTTGCATCACTAAATGCCACTACAACAGAAACAAGGTCGGCCTTAGTGGGCTGTACAAGAAAAGCCGACAGCAATTGACATAATGCCGACAATGAGCTTTCCACCGAATTGTTTGGCTACGCCGACGCTGCACCGTACAAGGTGCGTGAGTTCCGAAGGCGTTAAAACTTTCGAAAGAATGAAGGTCGGAATGAAGACGCAAATGCTGGTTTCACGTACGAGATGACTCACGCTCCGGACCGCTCGGGAAAACGCGGTTCACGGGGGTGGTTGGCAAGACCGGCGCAACGCTCAACCGGCTGCTGACTAGGATGAGCGGTGACCAGAGAATCAGACGGGTCTCGAGAGCCGCGCCACTTCGCGCTTGGCAAGGGACAGTTCTGTCGTGAGTCGAACTTCCTTGTCCGTCAGTTTCTGCATCTCCGCCTGCATCAACTGCACGAAAGAAAAAAACAAAAATACTTTATGGTCAGCATCCCTCGCCGCTTAGCAGGTACGGGCAAACGAAACGCAACCGGCGACAGTGGGAAACGTAAGCAGGATAGTGACTTTCTCTAGCAATGCAAAGTTTCTCAGTAAAGAAAGAATTGTAAGTTGCTGCTGAAGCTTTGAGCAAAACCACTCCTCCTTCGCGACGCTAGAGGAACCGGCCTTTTTGACAGTAAGTGTATTAGCTAGTTCTCATGTAGCACGAGAACATTCTAAAAACATTCCAGGAATGTTCAAAAGAACATGAGCAACATTCTTGAAATGTTGCAAATTTACATAAGATCCTATCAACGTTGTCAGAACGTGGCGCAGGCACTTTTCGCGACATTTGGGAATGTTTTCTAAGGGACATTTTTAGAATGTTTTGAGAACGACATAGAAGATTACAAGGACATTCAATCAACATTCAAATATCCTAACAAGGTTCTAAGAATGTTCTCAGAGCATCCAAAGAACTTCTGCAACTTTCTTGAAATGCTGCAAATTTATGCAGGGACATCCTTTCAATCTCTTCGGAACGTGGCGTGGATATATCGCTACATTCAGGGAACGTTCTGTGAGGACTATTTACAAATATTTTCAAATCTAATACTGAATAGTTTCTCAGTCTTTCACTACCGTGCATCATGCTTAAACAAAAATTCAGCTGGACTCAATAAAGTTGTTCCTAACCTTCCACTTGTCCACTTCTAAGCTCAGTTAATATTAATATATCTATATTTATGAACTGTGGCATGTAACAACAAATTTTTCGCAATTGTGCTAATCAAGGGGATTTATAAATCTGCTTGCTATATGCAAATACTCCTTCAATTTAAAATTGAAAAAAAACAAACAAAAAAAAACAAGCACGAGTGATGAATGTGGGCTGTCAAGACATCGCCGCCTAACATATACTCCTGCACAGTGGCATAGCAACGGAAGGGGGGGGGGGGCTCGGCTTCAGGTACCAGGCGTCAGTGCCAGATCTCCCAGCTACGCCACTGCTCTTGCATAATCGCGATGGGCTAGCCCAGTTAAGTGCGCTTCTCACCGGGCACTTGTGAACTGCGGGGAAGCAACACCCACGGAGCTCACGGGTGTTGCTTCTCAGCAGTGCACAGGTGCTCGGTGGGAAGCGCACTCAACGGTTCTAACCTGCCGCAATCAACACTTCGAAGAGTATGAATAGCGTAGTTAACTTAGAAGCAAATATCGAATAGCATATTATTCAAAATCACTATTTGAAAATTCAAATATTCACACAACACTACAAAACTGTCAAGTGAGTTTAACGAAGAGATTCATAAGATTTTGACCAAAACAATAGCCTATACTTTTAAACACTATAGTGCCACTTGCAATAAAACTTTAGGAGCTTCTTTTGAAGAATTCAGACATTTGCAGCTGTATAAAAAAAACCTTACGAGCGTTTTTCTGAGTGAAGCCACAACATGTAGGCGAGATAAGGCTTAGGAGTCTGTGTGATAAGACTCGACAACAAGTTATAGGAGTTTTTTCCCCATACCGCTTTGAACTAAAATGTTATGCAGTCAAACCCGTTTATATCGAACTTGCAAAAAAAGTCTACCAGTTCGATGTAGCGGGTAAATCGATATAAAAGTTTTAACGAATTTGACTCAAAAATCCACTTTCTGCTGACATATTATACAATGAAATAGTTTTGCATCTTCTGTTGCTTTTTCTTCATTGCATCCGCGATAACGATATTTTTCCACGTTATCGACGGACTCCAAAATGCTGAGGTCGCTGCCTTCTATATTCGCGCATTAGCCGAGAGCACGGAGCATGTCCGAGCACGAGCACCTTCTCCTGCAGAGTGCCGTTTTGCTCTGCAAGTTGGCTTTCCCCTAAGGAAGGTGGCTGCGTTGGGGGAAAGTTAGCTAACAAAGCAAGCTGGTTTTTTTTTTTTTTTCCGGGAAGCCACGTCTACTGTCTGAAAGAAAAGAAAAAGCTTGGGCTACACCTAAGCACTTCTTATGAGTTGTCAATGCGAAAGCATGCAAACCACTCGTCTTCTCCCTTTCATCTGCTGCATACTTTTAGTCGCTGATCAGCGCATGTGCTTCCCTGGGCACGGTGACTTTAGACGCTCTGTGTTAACAGCACCCTAATGGACACGCAGTGCCAAGGGGCGAGCAGTCGTGGAAACTGACGAGCGCAGCGGCCAATGGAAGCCCCGTCGACGCACGCCAGTCAATGGGACCGAAGGAAACTAGGTGCCGTTTTCACGCTTCAAACTGATGACGTCAGCTCGCTCCATGAGACAGTTAATGCTTTTGCATTAAAAAGCCGCCAGTGTGCTCTGCAAGCTGGCTTTCCCCCAATGCGGCCGCTCGTGTTGGGGGAAAGCCAGCTTGCAGATCCAAACGGCGCTCTTGGCAATTCGATATATCATAGAGGTGTGCGAATACCGAATTGTAGTTATCGAATCGAATACCAAATCAAATTAAGAAAAAAAAGCCAAATATTGAATCAAACATCAAAGAGTGATTTTATTTGTAGGAATTTTTCGAAGTGTGCTGTGAATGAGATTATTATGTGCAGAATATGCGCCTGGTGCAGAATATGCATCTCGTACAGAACAAAACCTCAAATGTAAAAAAAATTCTGGTAAAAAAAAAAAGAGCAGCTGCTGATGGACGTTGGGCAATAAAAATCCAATTTTATGCCGCAAACATAATCTATCTGCCCTAAGCGTCGCAAAAAAAACAAAGTTACAGTCACACGTGCCTTTTTTTCTCAGTAAAAGCAAGACCTAACACTGCGACATGTCCTCTTTTTAAATTTGTATATCTCAAAACAGGGCATTTTGCAATATTTGGTCTTAATTTTAAGGAAAAAAAAGGGCACCTGGGATTTTATTTTATAGAAATAAGCAAATAGCTCTTAAATCTGAGTAAACAGGCTTAAACAATATAATCTGAAGTAAAAGAAAACTAAAACTAGTGGTTAGGTGGCGTAAATCACCGTCCAACTGCTGCTATGCATCCATTCCTCCGTCCATCTATCCTGTTTTAGAGAGTCTAAGCATCAAAGGGAAGCAAGCGAAACTGAAACCACGGAGACGGCTCCCGTGCAGATTGGTCGTAAGTACGCATGTGTTGTGTAGTTGCGTATAAAGAAGGCGAGCAAACGGAAGAGCGACAATGACGCCTGCCTGCCCGATTGACGCTTTCGACTTTTTGTCACCTTCTTGCAGTTTGTAATTCCAACACGGCTATCGAATGGTTGGAAACCCTCTCAAATCTAGGCCCACTATTTTTCCGTTCCGTGTCGTTCCGAATCAGAGTTTGCGGCTCGCGGTTCCGAAAGAACGACGACGACAAGTCGGCTGGTTTCATTGGCGTGGTTTTCTTTTGGTGATCTTGCAGCGCCGATTTCTGTGAGTGTGGCAAGTGTGTTCTACATCGGCGCTTCAATTTAAAACGAGGGGCTCACTCGTTAAAAAGAATTAGGCATGGCGCTGAATTCCAGCCTCCCAATTCCTCTCTTGAAGTGGCGCAAATGGAATGTTTCGGTTGTGATTCAAGGTTAGATTGCGTCCCGATCCTGAGTAAATCTGCGTGCTATAAAGTTTGTGGCGTTAGTTGCTTTTCTTTTTTCTAACATGTGCATTAGATTTTTGTAAAATGGCAGGACCAAGAGGTGTTTCTCGCATGGTCTGTGGAACATCACGATGCTAACATCGGGAGAAAGAACGGCTCTTTTGTCAGCTCCGCGCCGACCGCGCGTCTTGGCCGAATATATTGAATATTCGAGCGACCGAATACTAGGAATTCGATTCGCGAATCGAATTATTTGGGAACTTGCCATTCGATTTGAATTCATATATTCGAGTATTCGGACACCCCTATATATAGGTAGCGGCTACTATTTTTGTTCGATGTAACCATAGTTTTTACTATATATTATCCCTGTAACATTACTGTGCACAAAAATTGTTTGATATAAGGAATAATTCAATGTAAACGGGTTCGATATAGTCGGGTTCGACTGTAAATAAGACTGCTGATCTGTTGGCTCTAAGTGAGATTCACGTGCAAAGCACAAAAAAAAAAGTTACATATACAAATGGCCAACATCCTTTCATGGAAGTGCCAAGGAACCTCAAGAGTCTCGTTTTCAGACTTTCCCAATAATGCAAGCTGAACAGTAGTCCTCTAATTCTGTGCCATATGAGCATCTTCAGCTGCTTTTTAGATTCAAGCACAATCGCTTCCTTGACATTCGCTGGACTCCTTCCATAGAAAAAAAAAACATTCTCCATGAGTGGTACAACAGAGAGGAACTGAACACGCAGACTCGTGCCATTACAAGCTTGTCAGCCTACGTTCAAGCGAATAAAGAGGGTCCAAGGGACTCCACGTGCCGCTTTGTCCTTGAGCCAGTCAAACCTCTCCCTCCTCATATGAGCCAGCTCCTGGGCCATTGTCTCGATCTGGTCCTGGTAGCCTTGAATAGTATCGGCACCTGCGCAGCAGAAAAGGTGCAGATGCACATCAGTCACAGCTGGCTGCCACACGTGAGCCTGGTTGTCCGGTCTGTGCATAGTACTGCTAACATGTCTAGAAGGCGTCTCCGACTGCTGCGTTTAGCACCCACACCGCCCATGCATCGAAAGTAGTCAAATTAGGAAACAAATTAGTATGTCACAGGGGCTGGCGTGTCATGCTGTCAGATGTTGCAACCCTGTTGGTTGGTCGTAAAAGTTTCGGCAAAAACTATGAGCGAATGCGAGAGTTGCTGTCATCACGGTGTCCCAACTCCCGAGTGCTAAAGCTCACGTGAACTGTCAAGCCGTAAAGCGATCTGCAGCAGACCTAGAATGTGCCGCATCCAGCTCCTCTGCCAGGCCACCACAAGGATTGCGGAAAGCAACACCATGACACTTTTGTGATGTCATCGGGCGGAAATCGGGGGACAACATTTGAAAAAGCTATCGTATTTACACGATTGTAAGTCATCCCCCCCAAATTGCACTTCGGCAAAAAAAACAAATCTTTAGATGCGCATTTTATTGCAAATACGTGAGAATGGCAAAGTATCCGTTTCGAAAGCCCAGCCTCCAACACGCGATCGATGGTCGTTCTCAATCCGCCCGCGACTAGACCACAGAAATTCGCCAATAATGTTGCCGTTCATCTCCATCTGTGATAATTTTCTTGTTTTATATTACTAGCATTCTTTTGTTTTGACACTGTCCTGCCAAATGTCCCCCCCTTTGCAGTACCCCTCGTGGGTCTTAAAGGAAACCAATAAATTAATGAACTCGTCCACACTCGTGATGTCAGTCCTGTCGGCATCACTGCCACATTCTCGAAGCACGTCGATGGCGTTGTCCAACGAAATCTCGCACTTTGCAAATGACAGCATCAACCGCATTTTCCGCGCTTGCTTGGCGATCGCGTTGCACGTCATGGGAAGGGACCCCATTGCGCACTTTTGCGGCGTACGTTGCAAGCCCGACCTCCAACTCTGGAAGGCTTTCCCACCTTCGTTTGCCGTTACACTTTTAAGATCCCGCGCCATTCGAGACTCCTGTGGAGCATCACCCGATCCGATGGGTCGAACTTGCGTCCAACAGCGCAGTTGTTGGTTGCTTCTGGGTGAAGAATAGCCATGAACGCACACCTAAAACCTAAACTGCTCGGATCATGCGTGTCAATACAAAAAAAAAAGAAGAAAAAAAACGTAGCGCTCCAGCATGATCTCGACACTCGATCAAACGATGTGCACCCGTGCACAAAACTGCGAAAAGAAGCCGTGAGGAGTGAGTCGTGAGGCTGTTTCAGTGGCCTCCGGAGTGGCTCTTACAAGAAGTGCCGCCACCCCCGGAAGTCGGGCGCGCCGCGCGCTGCTCAACGCTGTACGTTCAGGTTAATTTGCGAATCACAATCAATAATACTCGTTCGCGCAAATAAAATAAAAAAAATGAGTAAAATGCACGCAAAGAATAGCGCAATGCAACAAGTAAAGGCGGCTGAGCTCGTAACAAGCCGAGGTGTTCTTGATATCGTGTTTGTTTTGTTTTTATCGGCGGTGGAATGCTTTGGTTCGATTATAAGTCGACCCCCCACTTCAGATTTTTAAAAATTGAAAAATGGGTCGACCTACATTCGTGTAAGTACGGTAAACACACCAGTCAGAGAAGCCTTCAAGGTACCATACTTACAACAAACTTGGAAAGGCTAGAATGAGCATACAGTGCTGATTATTGGTAGCAGCCGCTAGTGAGAGAAGGTTACTATAGGCACGGTGACTTGCACCACACTGGCTAGATGGCGCAAGACATCGTCTAATTTAAGGGGTTCGGCCGTGTTCATCTATTCATTGCCTTTATGCTATAATTTAATTTAAAGGGCAGTGACACCACGACCATGAGAAGGAGTGGCCTAGACTGGACAGGAATGGAAACGTGCCCTTCGCATGCTTTTCTATTGCGTCGAAGTGGCAGACTGCTTTGCACTGTGTGTAGGATCAAGCAACTCTCCCAATGCAGTATTAGAGAGTTTTAGTAGATCGTTTTGGCTCTCCCGCTACGCTATACGCTAGAGCGACGACGCTACTGCGCATGCGCGCTGCTAGCGGAAACATTGCGGAGCTGCGGAGGCTAGCGGAGGCGCGCTAGCGGGCGAAAATAGCGAGGGGCGTAGCGCGGCGTGCTAGCGTAGCTCTCGCGAGAACGAGTCTTGGCGAGATAAGGGAGACCCAGCGAGGGACGCTGTTCAAGATGGCCGCCACGCCGCGTCTACTCGGTCTGTGCGTTTCTCGATCGTGGTTCTAAGGGGTGGATTATACCTTGCTGCTGCGAGAAGTACCCGCGACAAAGCCGTTCCACGACTGCAACAGGTAGCGATTCATGGCGGATATACTAAACGCGGCCACGGAAAGGAGAAAAAAAAAAAAAAGAAGCAGCTTCGCAGATTTCGGTGCTGTGAGCGAAAGGTGCAGCCCCCTGCTCGGCCGCTTTGTCGTGAAGACAAAACCGACTAAGGAAGCGGAGCGAGCAGGCGGATATGAGGGATTTCTGTGGCGCTTCATTTTCGGTGAACAACAACGCAACAGATGAGCTACAGTGGTTGTCCTTTATTTTTGAAGATTTTTCTCGGTGGCTTTGGCATTTGACTCATATCGGATTGGCTTGGACAGCTTGGCCGACAGTTGTATTCAATTACAAACATAATAGTCACCTACTCACAAAAGAAGCAACGATTAGCACGTTATTCAATAAAAAAAACAATATTTTATTAAGATAACGACGTTAATAAAAACAGTTGCGAAGGATTGCTTTACAAATCTGTTTTACGCGAGCCCTAGTGTCCGAAAGAGCCGTTAGTGGCGTTGCGTTAGCTCTCGTAACGTTGTAATCCACTGTTGTAATCCGTGGCGGGTTGCGAACGTTCTACTAAAACTTAAAATGGTAGTTCCGCTACGCTACATATAGCGGACGTCGTAGCGGCTAGCGGATAGCACAGCGGGAGTGACTGAACGATCCACTAAAACTCTCTATTATTGTATTTACTCGCATATTGAACGCCCCCCCCCCCCTTCCCCCCCCCCCCCCTCCAACGGGTACCAATATTTCGATTTTATTTTCCCCTCGCGTAATCAACGCACCTCCAATTTTCGGCTCTGTGAGTCTCGCTTTGCGTTCAATTTAGCTAGCTACCAAGCCAATTTTCTTTCGCCGCCAAGTGGTCAGACCAAGTCAAGCCAAGCCAAGCCGCTCTCGTAATGGCCACAAGCGCGTAGTTGCGGAAGTGATCAACCATGAAATCAAGCGGCGCGCACACTGCACAAAGTTTGGGTCAAGGAATTGCCCAGCCCTAGACATTCTTTGCCTATCGGACGCATTGACGTCTACAAACATGCCGTTGTCTGTGGTCAGCTTTCGGACAGTAAAATAGTGAAAGTGGTCAGGCCTAATTTCACATACTCCAACTAAATGTGTTTATTTAATCCGCACAGCGAGGTGCACGGTGCGTCGTAGGTTGAGAGTGTCTGGTAGCCCCTGGTAACAGCAGATCTCCATGAACGAACCTTAACTCAACTTAATCCTCCGTGAACGAAACTTAATTAACGAAACTTATAAACGAAACAGCGGGGCTCGGCTGGGTTGGACTTCGTACGAGTTCTTATACGGGTGGTCGTGAGTGTCTAGCCCCCGGTAACAGCTGTCTCTGTGAACGAAACTTGATCCGTGCGAGTGGGCCTTTCGGTTGGACTTGCAACGAGTTCGAGTTCTTATACGCGTAGTCGTAGTCCCTCCATGTAGTCGCGGTATATACCCAAGCGCGGCCAGATACTATCAATGTATATCACCTAAGGATGCGTTGCTTTCCATGCTGAGTGAGCTTTGTAGGGCGCTTTTCCTTCCGCAGAAGGAACGCGGAAAGCGTCCTAAAAAGGTTCACAATTTCTAAAGCATGGTTACTGTGGCGTGCCCCCCACCAGCCGTGAGTACGCCTTCATCAGAGGAGACGTGCCACAGTTCCTTGCCATGTCATATTGGCAGCTAATATGACATTTGCACGAAAATGCAAAAATTTACTTCCCCAAATATGTGTCAATTTTTCGGGAAAAAACTTAATTCATTATGCAAGTAAATACAATATTCGTTTTGTGATAACTTAGAAGGATAGCAGCAGCTAGCTATCATGAAACGGCTACTAAACACCAATAGAATTAAGGGGAGTGCAACTGTAGCTTTCTACAAAGTTCTCTCAAAAACTAAAAAAATGTGCAGAGGGGAACGTATTCTGTGGTTGTCACTCAAAATAGCCGAGATTTAGCTAATTTGCGGAAGAATATATATTGTGACTTCTATAGTTGATGACAGCTTAAAACCCAGTAGATGCTTCGTTTCAAGCGAGAGCTTTCTGCCTCAGATAACACCTCGTCTCACGCATAGCCAAAACCAAGGGAAAGTGAATGAGTGGATGCTGGAGGCGCAGCTTCTGCTCTGTTTTTAGCCTGTCACTGACTTTAGTATGTGCACTGTTTTCCATAAACCTTAGGCCAGACGCACCATTGGGTTTGGCAGCAACCAACCAATCCAAAAGCCCCAATGGATGGAGCACGGTACTCGGGCAAGCTTTCTTCTCCAAATGGAGAGAAAGAAATAAAGAATTTGAATCTGGGTTATCAAAAGCTACTGGGCAGCTGTTCCTCCTCTTTACATTTCTTTGTCTCAAGCAACATGCGTCTTCTTCTTCGTATTTGGGGTTCTTTCTATATCTGGATCCCCCCATGCAACGTGCAGCATGACCAACCACCGTGGGGAAGGTGTCGGATAAGCACCCTCCGCAAGAGCCGCCGCCTGTGCCAGGGCAGCCGTGGCCGGGGCAGAGGTGCAGGGCAGCAGCAGCGTCCTGGAGGTCCGGCACGGAGGGACCTCTGCCGCAGGGGTGGCGCTGAGGCCCAGGTCAGACTCCACGCTATTGAGACTAGAGGTGTCGGACTCGGCGGTGCCGGACTGCTGCTGGTGTGGCTGGCCCTTGGACAGCGGGGGTGGGGTCTCAGGGCTCGACACTGGCGTGGTGGGGCTGCTGTTGGGGCGCCGACGGCTCATTCCCAGCAGCGAGGTAACCGTCGGGAAGTCCAGCCTGCGTGGATGGGTGCAGGAACGAGGTTGCTGCCTTCTTTCCCAATGGATCAAATGGACAAATGGATGGATAAACCCGTTAAAGGGGGGGGGGGGGGGGGGTAGATTGTGCCATCTACCCAGCAGCCTTAGTATATGGCCAGTTAACTTCTACCCATAATAGGACAAGCCTAACAACGTTGCTGTCACCAATCCCATTAGATTGGATGAATGGATGAATTTAAAGGTTGAAGCCTTTCAATTAAGTGGCAGCTTGCATCCTCCAGCTGTTTTTTGAATACCAAGGGTTATCTTTTACCCCATATACAGGGTGTCTCCAAAAAAAATTTACATCGTTGAATGCTCATTGCTTGCCGAAAGGTAACGTTAGAGGTCCAAACCGGACACCAAAGTTGCAGCACAAATTAATATTTTACTGAAAAGTTATAAGTGATTTTCTGCAAATTTCAATGAAAAAATGGGGCCCATTTTCGCCTGTTTTCGGTTTCTGTCACCATAGGGCTCCATGTATCCAAGAGCTCCGTCAGCCACCATTTTCTCATTGAAAGTTTTAGAAAATCACACAACTTTTGAATAAAATATTGGTTTGTGCTGAAACTGGTATCTGGTTTGGAGCTCTAGTGCCACCTTTGGGCAGAGAATGAGCATTCGGCAATGCATAGTTTATTGTTGTGGTGAGAAAAACCCTGTAAATTTTTTCGGGGGCATTCAGGTTAAGTTTTTTAATACAAATCCACTGCTTTTACAAATTCTTTACAAAGGACACATTTAAGAGCTGTGTCAGCATGCGGTTAGAGTTCTGCCCCAATTATGGAATTGTCGGGCATTTGGCTTCTGGTCTAATCACATGCTTTGCCCTGGAAGCGATGCCCAAAACGTATAGCGACCCCCAGTGTTGCTTGATGTGTTGCAGACATATTGAAAACAAGTATTTAAGTCAGAACGTTGAGTTGCTGTTCACCCTTTTCTGAAGTCAGTCTATAGGTATACAGTTGAACCTCAATTTAAGGGGAGACACCCCCTGGGAGGGTCAACTTTTGAACCCTTGGGTTAAAATTAATGAAATTTACAGGGTAGGCTGGTGGTCATGCTAGAGGGTGCAAACAAAATTTCAGGTCTGTCGGTTAAGTGGGAAGGAAATTAGGGCAGCTTCTATCAGCAACACGCCTACATTGTTTAGTTAATCTATCGTTGGAAAACTATCACAATCTTCAAAATTTTTATTCGCTCGATATCTAGCAGAATGCCTAGGAGGTGCGGCTATGGAAAGTTTTTTTGTAAAAAGTCATTTATTTCTATCAATTTTCTCTTTCGCAAAAATGGTCAACTTTTTGGTCTTTTGTGTCTTCGACAAAATGTCAACATCTTTTATAAAAGACATCCGTAAAGTGACAAAAAAATTCCATGGCCGCATTCCTTATTAAATTTCAGTCAGGAAAAGTGAAGAACGAGCCTTCCCTGTATTGCGATTATTAAACGATAAATTGAGTAAAATGGAATTTATATTAAAAAGTGGAACGGAAAAAAATGCGTTCAAAGTGCTCCAAACCTCACCTTTTCTCTAGCTTCAGTGGAAAGAAAATGATTTATAAAGATTTAACTATGCAGTGGAAAGTAATGAAAATTTCTGGGAATACTCTCTAGATGTTGGTGGATGTAAATATGCAATTTTTCAAAATCAGTGTTTTTGCAAATTCTTTTTTTTTTTTTTTTTCTGGGTAATGTCCTCCCTTAACGAAGTCACCGGGACCCGCTAATTATTTCGTTAGGTCGGGAACCTCGTAAAATCGAGAAAGGGAGACCTCGCGCAGAGGTTGCACGGGGAATCCAAATTTGTTCATTAAATCAGGAAATTCGTGAAATCAGGTCTCGCTAAATCGAGGGTCAACTGTAGTTCATTACTCTGACTAAACACCCTAGTTGTGGCCCACTTTCATGACTGCTGCAAAGGTCGGGTTGTGGACTCATTCCTGCTTGGTTTGAGACGAGCGGCACCACCGTTGGCCATCGCTTTGCTAGGCACTGACTGATAAGTACACTCCACGACAAAGCAAGCAAGCTATTGCCGGTTTTCTGCTTTTCTCTTAATATTGAAGGACTGTCATCTAAAGTAATATAGTGATGAAAAGTGCTCAGTTGGGATACTAACCTAAGTGGAAAATTTTGATGCTTTTGCTACCCTCTCAAAGTAAAATGCATTAAAAAGTATCTGTTTACGACGAAAATAATCCCTAGAGAAGGGAATATCCCCTTCTCCAGGGATTATTTTCGTCTGGGTATCGAACCCGGGACCTCTCCATTACACATGGATTTTCTTGGTCGTGCACCAGTCACCTAGCTGTGCTTGGAGATTTGTGTTTGTCCTTTGTCCCTCTTGTTCCCCTTCTCCAGGGATTATTTTCGTCATACTTGTCCAGCTCGTTTGCACCCTTGCATTTAATTGCATTACAATCAGTTTATGTAGCTTTTATCTTTAACATCGAATTAACTGATGCTCTATATATAAATCTTAGAGTGAAAACCATGGATTGGTGTTAACACTCTACACTTTCATTCGACAGATGCTGTCAATCTTGAATGAGAGAGAGAGAGAGAATATAAAGGAAAACCTCATTTGAAGTACGCACCTGCGAGTAGATGCTTGCGATGGAGATCCTTGGCTGACATTTCGGGTGCTCTGTGCCTTGGGTGTCTGACGAGATGGCAAACAAATGAAAAATTAGCTTTGAGCACTCGGTTTCATGAGGCATTCTTAGCATAACAAGACAAAAAATATCTGGAACTATAAAAACCATACCAGCAGGCTAGAAAAAAAAAATTAAAAGCACAATTAGAAACAAAACGTCTTGACCAAAAACCCCATTTTTTAACAAAGGTATAATAAAATAATAGTTCCCATCTCCACTCGAGTGACTGTATTTCATGTGCTGTACCTCTTCTGCTATACATACGTGCAATTAAAAGAGCAGCCATTACAGCAACGTACGTCTGACATCTGTTCCCATAAAGGCCCGTTCACATACTTGTAACCTCTTAGAACCAGGTGCCTTGGAACCTCTTAATATCTCTTACAACGAGAGGACACACTGGTGCCATCTATTGGGTAGCAGTGTAAACTTGGTGGTCTGGCATATTTTCTATTTCTCTGCTGCATTATCCTTTCTTTCTTGGCTCGAAAAACTTTTGTCAATGTTATAAACAAGCCTTTCTTATAGGCATTACGCTCATTTGACCTCGGAAATTCTACAAAATGTTCGCTTTTGTGAAATGCAGTTCCAGGGTTACCGCATAAATGGTACCAGAGTGCCAGCGTGTTCTCTCGTCCCAAGAAATTTTAAGAGGTTTTAACAAGTCTCGACTCTCAGTCGTACTCAGTTGCAAGAGTGCGAACGGGCCTTAAGCTGTGTACCAAAAACGAGCTGAGGTTGCAGTGAAAGAAAGCTTTTCGTGTTACAACTAACCGCAAGTAGTAGTGACAGTCAGTCCACAAAAACTCCAGTCCTTCAAGAAATAAATGAACTACGATAGGAATCTGCAGATTGTTTTTCTAAACTCCACACAAAAAGAGGCGAATCCTATGCATGATACGCACTGCCGTGGCCAGCGGTGTGTTCTCCCCGATGACGGTGTTGGTGAGGCTGCTACTGCTGGCGCTCGACGAGGACCGTTTGGCCAGGTTAGACTCAACGGATTGGCTACGGATCTTGACGCTCAGTGCCTTGCGAAAGAAGCCATCCAAGAAACTCGCCCCCGCTGCCGTTGTTGTGGCAGACGCCGAGCCATTCTGCTGCTCCCCCACCCCGCAGGCGGCGTCGAGCCCGACCATCAGGCCGTCGTCTGTCACAAAATTCACCGCACCGGAGAACTCCTGCGTCTTGGCTTGGAGCTGGTCGTGCAGCGTTTGGAGCAGGGAGCATCGTGTGCGTGCCTGTGACAGCAATGCGGTTCTTAAACAAAAAAAATTCTCGTAGTGCAGGCAAGCTGCCGCATATTGAACTTGATGCTGAACCCCGAGACTGGGGTGTAAAAAACCGACAAAAACAAAAGGGGACAGACAACCTCCCTCTTTTTTTCTGGCTCACATATTGTTTTCATTTCCTCTTTATCTCAAAGCATTTACCATCATGTGTGATCCTTTTGCCTCTTCACTTTCATAAAGCAAACAAGTTTTCTTGTTGCATGGGTTCTCACGCTAAGTTTCCTGGAGTCCAGAGTTCTTTGGTGTAAACCTCGCGGGTTCCTCAAGCAGTCAAATTCCCTAAACTGTCCATATCCCAAAGTGCTTTCACCAGTTAAGAGAGTTCAAATGCTACAGTCATGCATTCAGAAATAATTCCTAGGGAGCTGCTAAAAACATTTCTAGGAACTGCTAGGAAATGCTAGGAAGGGGTTCCTCAGCCGTCTTTCAGGATGGCTCTTTAAATCCAGTTTGAAAAGCCAAACTTTGTTGTTCCCTCCTACGAACATCAATTGTGAGCATACATGTCTTCTCAACTAAATGGGTAACAGGGTGAATGAATTATCCTTCTCAAGGTTGTACATTTAAAAAAAAAAAGTGTGATCATAACCAAAGGGCTATTGAGTTCTCCCAAATGCACCTTTTTGCCCCTTGTGAGCCATTTTCTGTATCAACGCTCATACGCAGGATTCCTCCCTTTTCCAATGACGAGTAAAAATAAATAATAAGGCTTTCAGAAGTGTTAAAATAATTTTCAGGTAGGCTCCTTAAAGGCCGGCGACCAGACTCGACATTCTGCAAGGCAGAAGATCCTCCTCCCCATGGGGAGGAGGAAACGGGCAACGGTGGACAGGGTAGAAGGGGGAGAGGAGGAAGCAGGCAAAAAATGGAGAGCGCGAACTGGTCGTCGGTCTTTAATGGAAGTACATGCTTTGACGTTTCTGCGACTTATCATCGAAGTCAGTGTAGCGACACACCCCGATAAGTTTTGAGAGAATGAGTGAGACCATGAAACGCTGAAGGAAACCACCAGAACTAACCTCCAACTTTGCAAACTGTTCTGCCCTGTAGGACGCATTCTCTGCATTGATCAGTTTCCTCAGGATGAAGTCCCGAAACTCGGGACCAGCATCAAACTCCGCGGGAACCGGGAGCTTAGGCTCGAAGAACGGAACGTCCAGACGAGCTGTGACGGCAACCCTGTACCTGTTGACGAGGGGCAGAACATCCTTCATTAAGCAATTTTATGGGCAGATACTAATTCGGAGCATTTCAAAAGCTTCGACTCATTTCAGCACACGGTTCGAGAAATCAAATGAAATGTTTTTTCAGTTAATGATAAAATCGAGTGTTCCTGCAATTCTTGTGGCGCTCGTAATGCACAATGTCTCATGTACTGAGTGCTTAATTGCACTGCAGTAATGCAGAAAAGCATAGTGGCAGAGAGGTGAACTGTTGAAGAGAAGCACTGCTGTCTGGCATGGATAGATTCAGGTGAAGTTTTTTGTCATCCATTTCATACTTCTAATTCAGCTTGTTTTGCAATTGTCAACAAACTTGCTCGTGCCACCTATTTGGCCACTTACCGATCTAGGTATCTTGTCTAATTGTTCACACAGCTTTTTTGAACCACATGTGCAAAACGTCTTGGGTAGCCAGGACTGCCTTTTCTTAAAGGAAAGATGACATACCTATTCAACGGCGCAAATGCTGCAGAATGAGCAGTCTTGCACAAAACCGCGGTGAGAGGGATCGGTGCTCGAGCGTGTGATGCGCTATGGCTAGGAGTGCATGAAGCAAAATATTGTGCTACAGAGCCCAGCGGTCCTTAATGGGTTAGAAAGAATCTGCGCTCCCCCTGCCCAATTTGGATGAGCATATTATAGCAATGTACGCTCGTGTAATCACTACTCCGTGATGTATATACTCTGCTGACATGTGAGGTACAGCAAAGCGCCAAGTGGAGCAGGAAAAATCCTACATGGAACACTTCGAGTGTTGCTGCGCCTTGAAAGACAGGGTAATGAAACAGTCTCACTTTGTTATTTGAAGGGGTGGATGCAAGAAGATTATTTGCATTCCCCCTTTTTAAAGCAAATCTGCTCCATGGTCTTTTAGAATTGCCAGCTTAAAGGGACACTGACAGGGTATTTATGCTTGACAAGGATTTTATTTGTACATGACATATGAGAGCCCAACTACCCAGGACACAATTTGCGGCTCGAAATTCGTTTTCTTTCTGCCAGAAAACCGCCGATCGAGAACTGGCCGTTTTGAGTCATGCTCACTTTGTTCTCCATGGTCACGTGCTGTTCTCTACGGTTTAAACACAACTACCAAAGATAATCAAGGTCGTGGGTCATTGCAGGCACAAACTCAATAGTAAAAATAAACAAAGAATGATACCCATCTTTGTGGCTTTTACAAAGGTGCAATTACGTTGACTGAAAAAAAAAAAAAGTTGCACAGCCACGTGATTTTTGGTAACTTTCGCCTCCTCTATATTTCTCCTTCCTCCCCAGTCCAGGCTTGGTTTCGGTTTTGAGCAGTTGCGTTTTCTGACTTTATTTAAAATGTATGCGACGCTGCAGCAAAATATTGACTGGGTAGTCTTCAGACACCATAATGAATAGACTACTTCCATAAATCCCTGCATGCAACACGGCGCACGTTGCACTCTGCATGGGAACTAATTGGCCAGGGAGGAGGGTGGCACGGTTTCGGTTTCGATCGACAGGTCAATAAGAGATTATACAGAGTGTGGACTATTAACGGCCGTTATCTCATGTTTTCTGGTCCCGAGAGCGTCATTTGTAATCTCTAAACTAACCTAAACGGCCTGACCTCGAAGCTTCAGCACAAGCCCGAGACGTATAGCTTGTCTTGACACATGCTTGTTGTATTTCTGTACTAGCCTTTCTGTTAGTGTTTCGAGGTATGTGGACGAGCCAGTGCTGGGAATCTCGACGCTGTGAAGCTCGGGGATCTTGCTTGTGTACGAATCAATAAACTGTAAAAACCAATAAGTATGCATACATCGAGCTCGTACCTTTACATTAGTGTTGTTGATCAGGAAGTTTGTTTGTTTCGTGCGTCCATAGACGAAAGATAATTTTTTGATATTAATTACCTTTTTTCTTAATACGCCTGAGTATGCGAGGTAAAACTCGGAGGCGCTATTGAAAAGCTCCATTTGAACACACTTCTCATCTCTTATCTCTACTGCCCCGCAGCACTGTACGAAGTGAAGTCCCCACCCGCTTGCATTTTCCACTAATATTCAACATTGTGTATGCACATAAAGTTATCCTGCAATCATATAGGCACATTCACACATACAAATTGTTCTAAGAGAGCAAAAGTCGAGCACTTTTGTGAAGAATGTCGCTCCATTCGCCGGAAGTGCGCCAGACGGGCATGAACCCCTATGCGGTGCACCAAAATAACGAATTTATTCAGAACGCATTTGACGGTTGCTAAAGGCCATAATATTTGTTATGTGTTTGCTTTCTTCCTGACTGAGTTTGCCGAGATAATTTCAGACACACCGTTCAAGCACAGATCTTGGGCGTCAGTAAATGCTCGTCCAAAAAGGCTTAGCGAGGAGTAGGGGACGCTTGTTAGGGCCTCCGTCGTAGCTAGCCGATCTTAGCGTATGCGAAAACTTAATCTTCTATTAGCATAAAATTTGAGCGGGAGATATACGATGTCGTATATCTCCCACTAAAATTTGGTCGAATTTATTGCGTTTTCTTAAAAGTTCATGCGTCACGCTGGGCTCAAGTTTGATACTCCTGTGAGGATGCAGCTTGCTTTTCGCCCAATGAAGTAACAAGAAGTGGACGTTTGACAAACAAAATACATGACATCTGAAAACGAGCGTGTTGGTTAATAGATACAAATCCTGAAAAAATAAAACAGAGAGGACGAGGAGGAGGACGGGAACAGAGAGGACGAGGACGGAAAAGATGCCCTGTTCCCGTCCTCGTCCTCTCTGTTTTATTCTTTCAAGATTTGTAAAATACGTGCAAGGTTCAAGGTCACCAAATTTCAGTTGTAGTTCACTGGTACTAACGGGATTATTGAAATTGAGCTCAAAGATGCATTCGTGGGGTAAGGTGACTAAGCCACGTCTTACTACGTTTGCATAAGCACGCACAATATCCGGTGTTTCGGGAACCAAGGAAAGTGCCCCGGTCTTCATTTTCTATCGCTCGAGAATGAGTGCATTGTACATTCGTAAAAAGTCAGATAATCGAAAACTCAAGCAGCGCGTTCGGTCGCGGCATGATAGCATGAGATGAAGCTGCTCAGTCGAAACTGAAACTGAGTGGCCAACTAGTTCCCAGAGTGCACTGCGTGGTATTTCACTGCAATGGGGTGCGTCGGTTTTGGAAGAAGTCTATTGACTGGCAAAAAATAGAAAACATTTTTTCGGGGGTGTCAGTGTCCCTTTAAAGACCGACATACACTTCACCCTTTCCACTCTTGCCCGCCTCCTCCTTTCCTATAACCTCTCCACGTTTTACCCTGCCCCATCCTGGCTCCCGCTAGCAGCTTAATTAGGAGAGGGGAGCACCGAGAGGATTATCTTCCCTACAGAAAACCGAGGTTGTACGTCGGCCTTTGAGGTGTTTGCATAAAGTGTAGGCGTAGTGACTTAAAAACAGCTGATGAAAGATAAGTTTTCTTGTCACAAAATTGAGACCGATTAATTTTTTCAAGAAAGAAAAAACGCTACTTGAACAGTTTATACGAAACACAATGAAATATTGATAATAAAGCGCACGAAAAATGAAGACAAAAAACAGTTGACATCAGCATTTTGCGCACGCTGCTGACAAGCAAATGCGCAATTGTCATTGGCCTAGCTGTAAGGTCACGTTTCAGAATTATAAATCCGGATAAAAACTTCCGTCCACCCCCCTTGGTGTTGGTATGGGTAGCTTCCAAAAGCCAAATTTCTAAGGCGCGGCAACGCTCGAAGCGCCCCATGTAGGAATTTTCTGGCTCCAGTCGGCGCACTGCTGTGGTAACTGGTATGGCACAGCAAAGGTTTTTTACATAGACTATATGTAAAAAACCTCAGGTCAGCAGTCATAATATACTGACTAAAATTTTCATTCATGACATGAACCAGTGTCACCATACCTCTAAGGCAGATCGAACACTCGCCACCTAACCAGCCAGCAACTAATTTCCCTCGCTTTTTTTATCCCAAACTGGAAATGTTTTGTAGATATATTTAAGGACAGCTGCCAGTACATTTAATCTTGGGCAAGAAGAAATTAATATTGTTTACATACTGTAAACAATATAATTTTCATAAAGACCTAATTTTTCCGAATTTTGCAAATCGCCTATGAAAAATAGGTCCCGCAAACAATTTGGGCAAAATGTCAACACTTCGGAAGCTGCATTGAGGTGCGCTTCCTTGAGCAACAATCTAACAATGGAAAATTATGTGTGCAAAGGTTCTAACATGATTATTACATGTTTGTGAGGGTAAAAGCACTAAAAACAATGGACAAGTAAAAGAAACGAACAACACAGAGCGCTACTTGCAACAAGTTGCACAAGCTGCAAGTAGCGCTCTGTGTTGTTCGTTTCTTTTCCTTGTCCGTTGTTTTTAGCGCTCTTACCCTCACAAACATGGGTCACCAACTAGCCCAAGTGAATACCCTTCTACAGATTATTACATACATTCTATAAATAACACAAATATGAAAATTATTTTAAAGAAAATAATGCAATAAGCCCGAAATCAAGGTCACCAGAAGAAGTTTTTTTTTGCACCCTTCTAGTTCTTTCAATTCGCGAAAATTAGAACCCGCGAATAAGTCCACATTTTCAACTTTGGCGCAATTCGCGAAATTCGAGCCTGCGAAAATGAAGTCGTTTAAAGTAGGTATATTCGCTCTTTCCTGCGTGAATTGAAACATGGTGGCACCAGTGTGCAAATAGCCCCCAACCACTTCCAGTTCTGAACTAGACGACGGGTTTCGCAGATTTGCAAAATCAAAAATACATGTTTTTTTGGGGGGAAATGGCCACTTATAGCATTGTCAGACTTGATTCATATTTATGATAAAATAATGACAAGTAAAAAATGATGAAATATATGTGAACTGGAAGTGCTGCGGCTACCCAACAGGTAATGCCACTAAGCTTGTTGCCCAAAAAAAAGGGGCAAATAGAAATTTTATTTAGCTCATACAACTTCTTCCAGGACAGATTAATAGTTCTGAGACCATACTACATAGCTTTCCCTCCTTACACAGTAGACCCCTGTTTTTTCCTGTAGATAATTTAAAGGAATCTCTACACATCAGAATATTTTACTACGTACAGTAAAACCTTGCTTCGTAAAAATGAATAGCATATATTAAATTTAAGGACACGGTACGTAAAGTTGAAGTATGCTTGGTATAAGTGTCCCACACTAATATCGCAAAAACAATAATGATGCAAAGTTGACAAAAAAAATTATTTTAGTAATGATAGCTACTATGTGTCATTGCCCCAAATGCCTGTACCAGCACTCCAAGCTTTTAATCTTCAAAAACGAATTCTCATCAACATGCATGCAAAATGGAAATGACATTTGAGGAAAAATGGAAATGACATTTGAGGTGCTAATACTGGTATATAGTCTTCTTTTCCTGTGAATTGACAGGTCTAAGTCGCAGCGAGAAGCGCCGAGACCAGCGTGGCCAAGACAGGCGCCGTCCCACCTGTGCCGTCCCGAGTGCAGGCGCTTGGGGCGCACGGGCTGCACCACCAGGAACGAGTGGAGGAAGTGAGAGGCGATCATGGTGGGCATGAAGGGCGTGTTCTCCTCCTGGAACACTATGGCCACAATGTCGTTGCCAATGTGCCGCTTCCGCTGCAGCTGCATCGAGATCAAAGCACAAAAGGGCGGGGCTCAAGGACCCTGCTCGGCGACCTCATACTTCACCCTACCAACCACACAGACTTACAGCAAGCCTTTCCCCTAATCTCTCCGACCTGCTTCCAAAGCTTTGTGCACTACCGGGCACGAGTGAAACGTGAATGGCGGAGCGTGGGGCCTTCGATACGTGGTGCGCTAGGTGGGGGCTCCTGGGAACTGATAATACTGTGGAACGGAGAGCGAGGCTGCGAGGGTGTGCAGCTGGTCCGACGCGCGCACCCTATCGCAACCTTTTTTTTTTTCACTTTGTAGTTCTGCCAGCTCCCAGAGGCTTCCATGTAGCGCAGCATGTATCATAGGCTACACGCTCTGCCGTTCGTATTTAATTTGTGCACGATAGTACAGCTGGCCAAGTTAAAGCGAGTCATTGGCAGTTATTTCTCATTTTTTGCCACATCGCTAATACTACTAGTCAAAACCAAAAAAAAAAGCATGATTTAAAATTTCAATTAAGATTAATTTGATTTAAATCACTATAGCTATAATATAGTGATTCTTTATCATTGCAAGTATTTTTGAACATGGCAAGTTAATTGATCAATTCATCTGATCACTCATAACAACATGGAAGTAAGAATTACTGTAAATTTAAGGTACAGTTTAATTAAACTTTTTTGTGTAAACCCACCATACTACTAGAACAAAAACAGCTTGACTTTTTTACTTAGCTAAACACTTCATTTGTTCTACAGGAAAGCTGTATATGACTCGTTGGCCGGGTTTTTCCGTGTCCATTGACGAACAGAAAACCATCGTGTGTGCCTTATCATCGTTCGCATGTGCCTCATCCTCTACCATGTGGTTTTGACACTTGTTTCAATAAGAAAACCATGAAACAAGTGTCAAAATCACATGATAGATGATAAGGAGCGCGCAAACCATGCCCGCATGTGTTTCTCAGTAAAGATTACGGTTGTATAAGCTGCCGCGGCAGCTTATGCAACTGTAATGTATGAAGTCTTTCACATATAAAAAAGTTTTGGTATAGTGCCTTTACTTTTCTTTCGTCAATCATTTGGTATACCAAGAGCCTTTTGGTATTTACAAACACAAACTGACGCTTGTATCCCAAGCGACTTCCGGTCACACCGTCTTTGAAAGCCTGCTGAGCTTGCTTATGTCACCAATGCTAAAAAGCATAAATGCTACACGGACAACAAAGTTAGTGATTTAATGAGGGCCTTCGTCTGTACAATATTACATCTTGGAGGAGGCAAGTTGGTTTACAAGAATACTCGAAACATTTTAACAGATCTCACACTCCTTCGTTTTTTTGGCGTTCACCTGGAGAATTGGTGGTTAAACGTTTTATCTACGTTTAAAGCAGCGGTGTTAAGGTGGCCTTTCTTCCATTATTTTTCTAAACTGGAAATTCTCTGGGACGTGGAAGACTGGAGCCCCATGTGATGGCATTTGCCATGAAAAGGGTCTATAGTGCAGTGGGGAATCGTTGCAGCTGATACCACAGTTTCGCTGTCCAACCACATTCACAGCGTGGATTCCAGTTCCAACTTTTAGAGCGCAGCCCTTAGGGAACCGTTTCCGGCTTGAACGGCGTCGCTGTTGCCATTGGCATCAGCGTAACTGGGTCATTCCACGTGAAGCGTCCCAGACGTTGCGCTCGACCACCTCCGATTTCTAAAAAAAATTCATGGGCTTCGGTCACAATGTTTGTAGCCATACCCTAAAATAGTTTTGACGAAAAAAAATTGTGATGACGTGAGCGGGATTTTAATTTTTGAAAACAGCGTGAAACTAGGCATCACTCAATAATTTACGAAAAATCAGCTTTTCTATGAAACACCCAACAATATTTTTTTATTAAATTTGCGCAAATGTCGGCTTACAATGTGGTTGAGTTTGTGCTGTTTTGTTTAATTTAAATATTTTAAAAAAATACATAATTTTATTCAAAAATCAACATTTTTATCATTTTATTAAGAAATACATAATTGCTCCCGGGACCTAATATAACATTTTACTCGTTGCCCTCTAGCTATATAACCTGTAAAAAATATTTTAAACCGCTCAATCAAACATCTTGCAGTAAACAAAAATCCTGAAGTTCCCAAAAAGTGTGTTTTGACGCATAAACAGCTGTTTATTTCACCCTGAGGTGGTCCAAGTAAAAATACAAAATGTGGTGGGTTTGGAAGAACGATTGATCGTCTTTTGATTCTGAAAGTTTAATCAGAGTAATTTTTGTTTCAAGCGAGAAAACAATTTTTGAAGTTGAACTCTCGCACCACTACCCGGCGTCGCTTCTTAAACGCCTCTTCGCCGCACAGCACGCCGCCTGCGACAATAGCCGAAGCGATTAGGTCCAAAGAAACAACGGAGTTAGCTGGACGCTTCCCCTCGTCCCTCTTTTCTGGCTTTAAGGGAAGAAACGGCGGGTATCGTGTACTAATCGGAGGTGCCGCCAGTGTGTCGCCATAGCAGGCCCGTTGTGCCCTTTGTACCCGAGGGCGGCTCCTCACACTCCGAAACGCGATGCCTAATCGACGGGCGGCATCAGCTGACGTGGACTTCTTTATGCCATGCCAAAGGTCCCACGGCGACCTCCGATTCCTAAAATAAAATTAATGGTTCTTCACCATAATGTTTGTGGTGCTTCTCTAAAATATATTTGACGAGAAACAAATTTCATATGGTACGATGGCGGTTTGAACTCGTAAAAAAGGGGTGAAAATAGGAGTCATTTATTAATTGATTAAAATTAAAATATTTTTATAGAACAGTGGACTATTTTTTCCTGAAAACCACATGGTATTTTGATTGTTGTGTAATAAGTATCATGGATATTCGCTTAAAGCAATTTTAAGAAAAGTAATATATGAGAATTTTAGCCTTTTTGATAGTTTGGTTACAAACTATCTTGTTGCTGCAGGTGATTAAAAATTCTTTTTGGCGACCCTGTGAATATACTGCACAAAAAAAAAAGTCGTCAATTCTGCCTTGAGGTGGTCGAAAGAAAAATGCGAAACATGGTGACTTTTACTGAAGAGTTTATTGCCTTTTGTTCTTGAAAGTTTAATTAAAATAATTTTGTTCTAAACACGAAAAAAAAAAATTTTGAAGTTGAGCTTTTACGTTGCAACCTGGTGTCGTTTCTTGTGCCTCTTCTCTGCACAGCACGGCACCGTCGAGCCCGGCGAAGCGTGCGACGGTGTAACGGTGTGCCCACGCAGGTAGGGAGCAAGACCTTGAGTTGTCGGGTACATCTTGGTGAAAAGGGGCTGTTTTTCACTCTTGTTGCTTTATGGCTTTTCCCATTTCGACCGTTTTACGCGGCGATGTCCTCCTGTGATCTTCAAGTGTCTTGACGTCAGGAGATGCTTAGCGCTGCCGGTTCACAGCATGCATTAGTAAGCTAGCTTTTTCCTACATACACAACGCGATCACTCTTTCTTGTTAACGTCAGCACAGATGTAAACAGCAGCACAAAAGACCCGTGAACGGGCAATCTCGATTGACGAGGCGATGTGGTGTTGACGAATGCGCGCCGTTGAAGGCTCACGCGTCGTTTTTGCTCAAATCGATTTTGAAATGACAAAGTCCAGCACGTAGCGTAGATGGTGACGCAGGCTTAAAGTGATGGTGACTTCTTGTCTCTCTAACGGGGACCGCTGAGCTAAATCTTGGAGTGAGTCGAGCTCGTTTTTCTTCAACCATTTCTATCGGCAGCCAAAGTATTGTTATGCCCCCGATGTTATATTTGGTCCAGGTAAACAGCTGCTGGGGGGTCATGATTTGGTTCTCGAAGAGACTTCGAAGACTGGCCCTTGCTGCCAGACGCTTCACTGTACCCCCGGCTCCGTCACAAGCACTCTTCCCGTGGGACGTTGCGAAAAAATTCCATTCAGTGGAAATGCCGAAGTCATTTTCCTGTTGACAGAGGTTTGCAAAGTTTTCTTGTTTTTTTATTCTTGTACTGAGAGCTTCATCCATCGTTACACCCCCGTACAACGCACTTGACGAAAAATGAATTCCTTTCTTTGACAGATTTCCGATCTCAAATGGTCATTCAAAAGCCAACTTCTCGCTTGTCAGCCCTTTCCTAGCTTACTAGCGCAGAAGCGGATTACTCAAAATGCAAGAAATGAGTCTCGATACCCAGTGTCAATAGTGCGGACACGTGCCTTTGTTTATTCATTATTTCCAATGGTTCATGTAAAGATTCCCGCACTGACAATATGGACCGAAAATAATGCTAGAAGCGCAATCTCGGCTTGTGACGATGCTTTAAGCGTCCGAGTTAACATACTGAATCAGCGCGTTTCAGAGCTTTGATAGCCTTCACTGCGCTCCAACTAAACGCGAACCGGATCATAGTTCCGCTTTTCACCACAGCATGCGTGACGGCTCGATTTTGTGGCGATATTATCGTGTTTCAGACGTCCACGTCAGCTGCTGCCACCCGTCGATTAGGCATCGCGTTTCGGAGTGTGAGGAGCCGCCCTCCGGTGCAAAGGGCACAACGGGCCTGCTATGGCGACGCACTGGCGGCACCTCCGATTAGTACACGATACCCGCCGTTTCTTCCCTTACAGCCAGAAAAGAGGGACGAGGGGAAGCGGGCAGCAAACTCCATTGTTTCTTTGGACCTAATCGCTTCGGCTATCGTCGCAGGTGGCATGCTGTGCGGCGAAGAGGCGTTAAGAAGCGACGCCGGGTAGTGGTGCAAGAGTTCAACTTCAAAAATTGTTTTCTCGCTTTAAACAAAAATTACTCTAATTAAACTTTCAGAATCAAAAGACAATCAATCGTTCTTCCAAACCCACCATATTTTGTATTTTTACTTGGACCACCTCAGGGTGAAATAAACGGCTGTTTATGCGTCAAAACGCACTTTTTGGCAAATTCAGGATTTTTTTTTTACTGCAAGATATTTAATAGAACGGTTTTAAATATTTTTATAGGTTATATACCTAGAGGGCAACCAGTAAAAAGTTATATTAGGTCCCGGGAGCAATTATATATTTTTTAATAAAATGACAAATATATTGATTTTTGAATAACATTATGTATTTTTTCATAAATATTTAAATTAAACAAAACAGCGCAAACTCAACCACATTGTAAGCCGACAACCGTGCGAATTTAAGAAAAAAATATTGTTTTGTGTTTCATAAAAAAGCTGATTTTTCATAAATTATTGAGTGATGCCTAGTGTCACGCTGTTTTCAAAAATTAAAATCGCGCTCACGTCATCATAACTTTTTTTTCGTCAAAACTATTTTAGGGTATGGCTACGGACATTGTGGCCGAAGCCCATGAATTTTTTTTTTAGAAATCGAAGGTGGTCGAGCGCAACGTCTGGGACGTTTCACATGGAATGACCCAACTGCGAGGTTACGTGACCCCCCTGAGGTCATGTGACCACCCTGAGACCACGTGACCCCCCTAAGGTCACGTGACCTCCTGAAGTCACGTGACCCCCCCCCCTGACGCGACCCCACTGAGGTCACGTGACCTCCCCTGAGGTAGTGTGACCCCCCTGAGATCACGTGACCGCCCCTCCCCTGAGGTCACATGACCCCGACATCACACGTTCCCCCCCCCCCTCCTGAGGTCATGTGACTTCAAGGAGTCACCTATCCCTCAGTACGCTTCCATCCTCCTCCTCAAGAGCTGCACTCTAACCGGCGTTACAGAAAATTGTAAACGGCTTTTATTTTTTTCTTTCACATTCTAATTTGCTAGCGTAAGACATTACTTTTCTAGTTTTAGTTTCTTTCTTTTGCGTTCTGATTTGTTTTGTAACCGACGAGCAAAATGGAAGGTAGAAAGAAAGCTCAATGCTCAGATTTGCTCAGAAGGGAACTGCTTTCTGCTCGTGTTCAGTTTCATATAAATTTCTTGCTTAATGATTCTTGGAATTTAGTACAAAACAAAACAAATGCACATAGAAAGCATCAAATGATAGACGAACAGTAAATTTAAAACTATTTTTGGATATATTTTTTTGCGGGAAAGATGATCTGAATTTCTATTCTCCACTCTGGACTCAAGACTACCAATATGATGCAATGTGAGAGCTAAAAGATTCACTAATTGCAAACTCAGGCTTGCTCAGCCTAAAACACTGGAATAAGCCCTAATTTAGCCATCCACCAGCTATATAACTGCTCCCAAGAAGTGGTGCACAAGGATCAGCATACTGGCACTAGGAAGCACTGCTAGTTTCAAGTGGATGGCACCACAGGAGTCCTTTACAGTACGATGCTGAATGCTCGACCAAACACATGGTGGACCAGTCATACATATTAGACAACGTGTGAGTTCTCATACTAAAATACCTAACCACTAAGCAAAATTGTGGCAGGACATCAACGAGTCAATATACCATTTGACAGAGATTGCAAGTGATGCCTGCACGCCAGTGCACAGTCTCCCATTTACTCACCTGCTGTACATCCCCTTCGGTGTAGGGGAGCAAGGTGGAAACATGGAACATGATCTCACAGCCCTTGAAAGTCGTGTAAAATGATTCTTGCCCCGTCTGTCCATGCTGCGTGTCGAGGCCGCCCCTGAAACTGGAAGCAAATTGTTCTGGTTGATAGCCTTTACAGCCTAATTAAATAATAAGTGGCCAGCACGAGGCTAGACTTTAAAGCAACATTTGAAGGAACTGATCTTGCAAACTATGGGGCCTTCATGGCACGTATTAGCACAATATGCAACCTTAAAAATTCATCGAACACAGCTGCTGCTCATCTTAATTTTCCAGCTCCTTCAAACTCATACCAAATATATTGCTAGCATTGTGCACTTTTGAATTTCTCTTGCTTGAGTAGGTGCAATGCTGCACTGAAGAGCACACTGCAATCATACTTTCTAGTTGAGAAATCAGTTGTGATCGAAACTTGTTTCCGCCAGAAAATTTGTGACAATGAGCATCTATATATAGTACAGGGGCTTCCAGAGTACCATTTGGTCGTAAAAAAAGCCATATAAATAAACCAATGAATGCAGTGCAGTAAAACTTTGCGCAGAGGTGTTTCTAGGTGGAGCATTAATTCTACTTGAATTTCGTGAGTCTAACTTTGCGGAAAATATTTCAAGAAAAGAAAAGCTTGTTGTTTCCTAGCATATGCAGAAGAAAAACAGAAGCAAACCGTCTGGTTGACGCGGCTAACTTATGGTGCCAGACATGCTCCGATCAGCTGGATTTTTGCTTTAGGGTATTCCATCTCTAACAGGCTTTCGAGTGCTTGTACCACATGTCACATGTGGTGCCTTATGGCAGGAGCAGCGTCAACCCGACGGTTTACTTCTGTTTTCTTCCAACACATAGGAAATGACAAGTTTTCCTTTTTCTTGCCTTTTTTCCCAGAAACCTACAGCGCTCACAAAACTTGAGCACAATACATCCACCATATAAGAGACCTTTGTGCAAATATTCAATGCACTGCATTCATTGGCTTATTTATAAAGCTTTCTTTGCGACCGAATAGCATTCTGGAACTAAATAAAAAATAAGAGTGGCCAGAAAAATGCCTTCTTTTATGATACTAAATGCTAAAACATAAACAAAGTTTAGTGAAGATAACAGCCATACGAGAATAAAGTATTTCCAGAGTTGGATGCCCATAAGTTAAATATAGTCGTTATTGAAATTACAGCTTCCATAAAAGTCGAAACAACCGAATCTGCTTACCCCAAGAAGTCTTTCAGGGTGACTTTCTCAGCGAGCATGTGAAGGAACTCTTCCATGGCTTGGCTGTGATAGCGGTTTCCAAACAGTTCTTCCTCTTTCGTCTGCAAAATAAAGATGGGATTTGCAACGATTTTGTTCTCTTGGACTAATTTCTGACCTGTTTTTGTGTTACTCCTATTACCAAATGTGTGGTATTCTTATCACCAATTCAGTAACAAAAATGTCTTACTCAACCCAACGAGACAGCGGGACCTTTCAGACAGCTTCATCAATCTCACCAGTTCCAATTACAATTTTACACTCGCGCGTAAAGAGTAGACACACAATGAGACCACTCTCAAACAAAGTTTTCTGCACACTGCCAAAAATTTTTTTTTTTTACTCCAACCTAATGCAAGCATTTTACAAACACAAACTGCATGTCTCTAGTCCCTGTCTTCTTTTATTTTTTGTTTAACATATTAATTATTTTTATGCAGAAAAGGGGTCAGCCCCCACAATACTTTTCTGCAGGGCCTACGAAGATCATTAATTGAGGCTTACAAAAAGGACCCTAGCGATCGACGAGAAAGAGATAACGTTTATCTTTAAAAATGTGAACTGCACGGAGACGCCACAACAATCACACGCTTGGAATCTTAGTGCTTGTCCCATTTCCGAGCCCCATTGCTAACAGGGCCTCATTGTTGTAATAATCATAAAACTAATAATTCTTTATTTCTTTACTGACTCAACACCAGCATGAGGTTTTGATGTTGCCGCACATACAAAGGGGATAAAAAGAAGTTGAAAGAATCCGAACTCATCAAGGTTGCCTCACATGCCGCACAGCACAGGAGTAAGGTCACGCTTGAGATAAGCAAATTCTCCAACGAACAAGTTTACGGGCACATTACAAGAGGTATACTCACTGGCTATGTTCATAGAAAGGTCGACCTATCTTCGAATAAATACACCGCATTGGCCAGACAAATCGAACCCACCTTAAACGAATGGCAAAAATCGCTTTCTCAGTGTGTCGCGCTGCAATCGAGTATGAGGGTGTCCGAAGGCGGTGAATTTTGTGAGGGAAAATTTCAAAGACTCTAGTAAGAAGGTAAAAAAATAAGAATGCTTTTTCTCTACCTATGGCAGTCATATCTACAAGCGACACCCACCAGATTAGCATACAACACCCAACAGACGGAGGAAGTTGCACTGCTCAACCGCAGTGTTCTTAGATTTGAAAGTGTCTTCAACCGCTTGATTGGAGCTGTGTGGTTCACGGACCACGTTTTCAATACAAGGTGTGAGGAGCCGCATACTTGTACGCAGTTCAACTACTCCACTCAAGTTACTGTAGTTTAACTACTTTTCTCAGTAGTTCAGTAACTTTCAATTACATATTTATTTTGGTAATGAGCAGTTAAAATTAATCACTTTTTCAGAGTAACCTCTACTTGAATTACAAATCACTTCTGAATTTTAGCGGTAAGTTTGCTTATCAACAAATGCTCCGGCACAAAAAAACATAAGATATTGGAAGATCGGCGCTGATATTTTGAAAGAGGGCGAAGCACGTCGCGTAGGCAAGAAGGGGGGGGGGGGGGGGGGTTTGGAAGGTTCGAAACGCCCTAAAATTTTGACGAGCCCCCCCCCCACTGGGACGACCCTGCTATACGAGGTTCGAGGAGCTGACAGACACGTTGCAGGTGAGGCAGATTAGCTGCGTGGATAGCACCGAAGACTGGCGTTTCTTTGTGTCCCGAAACTCAAGGATACTCGATGCATTTGAAGAAAGGGCTTGTCCCTGCTTTTCCCCAGGGTAGGAACTCTCACCCACTACAGGAGGTGCACACACTGCATATCCCCACACAAAGAAGGCAACCAAATGGAGCACCCACTCTACAGCTCATCTGGTGCTCCTGTAGTTTGTGCTGTGCTTGAAGAATCGCATACTAAAAGGCAACGCAGAATATGGAGGTCTTCCAAGACTCGAAGATCGTTCGAGAAACCTTAGTAATTCCCCCAAAGTTATTACATAAAAAAACAAAAATAAAGCAGCAGTGTTGGGAAGCACTTTAATTACAACTACAAATTGGTTTAGAAAACTTGTACTTTACTTGAAGTAAATTTTCTGAGCATGCACTTGTAAGTATTTTTTCTGGTACTTTCAAAGGAAAGTACAACTCCCGATTTCAAAGTAGATTCCCCAAATTTGAAAACAAAAAATGGTGTATCGTCTTGTGAAAATGCACTATCGTCTTCCGAGACGTCATGTGGTCATTTCTCCGAGTGAAGTAATGGTGGCTATAAGACCGATACAAATAAGTGCCTCAAAAGTTGATTGTGTTAAATAGTTTGTCAGCGAGAGCAGAAACAACTACTCTGTGTGGCTAGTTGACTTTCTCCAATATTTGCCTACATTAAAAAAAAAAAAACTGATGCATCTCCGATTACCCCTGGAGCAATTAATCCATACCAGTTAAAAGAAAAAAAAACACTGTATAGGGAACGTAAGGGCATCGTGAAAGATTGTGTTAAAAAGTACTTGTACTTTATGGTAAATTGTATTTATAGTACTCTGCTTCAAGCACATTGCACCCGGTGTACTATAATACTTTACTTGAAGTCCATAACCTCTTCACTTTGTACTTTACTTCAAGTACTTTTTTAAGTGTAGATTACGCAACACTGTAAACAAGTAAACAATGTCTGCAAAATCAAGCTCAGGCAGCGCTAATCCTCAAAGTAGATATAATATATCTGCAGTACATCAGTGACCAAAAACAAACAAAAAAGTACAAAACAATTAGGCACACAGAAGCAGAACCAGCTATTAATTGAAGCATTTCTGTGAAAAGCACAAGCAGATTTATATTTGGCTAGCAGATGTTCGCTAATAGATCAAAACCTGTGTACTTTCTTATTACCACAAAACAAAATATAAAAGCAACTTCAAAAGTAATTCTAATTCATTACCATTTTACGGTAGTTAATATTTTGCTCGATTCCTTTCCATTTGAGTAATTTCTACTCTACTCAAATTACTTTTGTGGCCTATACTCAGTAACTTAATTCCTTTTTTTAGTAACTTGCACATGTCTGCAAGGAGGAGGCAAAAACATAGATTGTCTTCAAAAGTCTCAACCTCGTTTGGTCTCTCCACTAACTATCCTCACCACCACGCAACAATGCATGCATGCGCACGTGCAACCAACTAACACAAAATGCGACCGCCATTGAATTTCAAACACTTTCACGGTTTGAGTTCCTCTCTCTCTATCTCTCAAATCGAGGCTTTCTCATCAACTGGTGCTGAATCTCCGCAAAAGTTGTGTGCTAGGAGCTGATATTCCTTACCTGCCCTGCTCGCTGATAGATGACTCCAAATTTGTACTCGTGGACTAGAACTTGTTCGTCAAAGGCAAGCAGAAGATCAGATGCCTGGAACAGATTTGAGGTGAAGTGCAGTCAAGTCAAAAACACGAGATCCTATGTTTGCAAACAACAAGTTTCTTTCCTCCCAATTAACAGGCAAAAGACTGCAGGAAAATGGTAGACCATAATGGAAGTGGTGTACATGTCATGGGAAGTGCCGTAATTACCTTTGGAAATGAGACTGGTTGCAAAAATAAGCTGGAGACGCTATCACGAAGAGACTGTGAACGAAGCAAAACATGATATTGTACTATCATGTACAAAAGACTACTGCAGTAAATGTGTGCTAAAATGGCAAAAGCATTAATTTTTTTTATAACTACCTTGACCAACCGAGCAGCAGTCCAGACGTCTGCTTTAGGGTCGTTTGGTATTACGTCACTCACAACCCCGTCATTTGTTCTGCAAAAGGAAACAAACAATGCAAAGGGACTTTCAAAGACACCTTACCTTTCTGCACTTAGACTGTGATGTTTTCTTGAAAGGGGCCAAAGAGAATGATGCTGCTAATTACGCTTTTAACAATAGTGCTGGAATTAGGTTCTACCATAGCTCATTATGGGTCCTCTCACTTGCATTATCTGTGCAATGCATGTGCAAGACTAAACTAGGCACATCTAAAATGTTGCACTTAAGTACATGTCATTTGTATGCATGATTTAAGGCCCTATATGGTACATAATAAAGTGGAAAATACTGCTGGACTATTCTTGCCTTTCAATAAGCATTCATTTTGGGATCTGTGACTCGGTTTCACTAAATTCGTCATGCACCTTACACTCGAGGACATGGTGGAGTGTGTGCCGTGAAATACCAAGCATGCAGCCATGTCGCAAAAAGCGCCCACTTCCTACTTTTGCAACATTTGAAATTGAGGCAAAGGACATACCAAGTGCCTACCCTAACAAAATTCTGAACCCACCCAAGGTAATCAAGGGGCTCTTCCATGCCACCTGCTTCTCCCAGAACTTGCTACAAAGCAGCGAGGCTCAATGCAAAAGCGCTGCCGCAAAGCGGGCTTGACAAGAGCGGTGCGGCTACTTCAGAAATTAGGGGTTCTTCCAGACCCCTATACAGCTCCTAAACCTTTTGCCAGATCAAACAACCTTTTGTACCTTTCTTTTGTCCTACCTTTCGTCCCTTCTGCTTTTCTGCTCTCAAACCTAACAAGCGACCAACCCCATTTTCTGTTTATTATCTCCAACGTTTGCGTGAGTGCTTGCTCGGTATTTTAGGGTAGTACCTACTTACATATACATTTATGCTAGCTTCTACATCTTCCAGCATCATATTGTCATATAGAGAATTTGAACCTCGTGCACTGCATTACGAAATTCATTCTCATCGCCGAAGCAGATTTTATTAACTGGAGTATGAGAGTTGCTCACCTAAGGATGACCCTGTAGTGATCGTCCTTCTCAGCCAGGGACTCCAGTTTGAGCGAAAGGACGAACGGATTTGATGCATCGTCCCGACCGAGGAAGTTGAGGTGTTCCTGAAAGGGGATGCATCATGCAACTTAAAGGGACACTGACAGGGTATTTATGCACACCAAGGCTTTTATTTGTACATGACATTGAGAGCCCAACTACACAGAACACAATTTGCGGCTCAAAATTCATTTTCTTTCCGCCTGAAAATCGCTGATCGAGTACTGGCCCGTTTGGATCACGCTCCCTCTCTTCTCTATGGTCACGTGCCTTTCTCCATGGTTTAGACACAAGCACCAAGTATAATCAAAGTTGTGAGTCATCAGAAGCACACATTAAATATTAAAAAAAAATATATATATATATGATACCCATTTTTTGTGGCTTTTAAAAAGCTGCAAACACATTGATTGAAAAAAAAGTTGCATAGCCACGTGACTTAGGCAACTCTCTCCTCCTCTATATTTCTTCTTCCTCTCCAGTCCAGTTTCAGTTTCCAGCAGTTGCGCTTTTTTTACTTTATTTACAATACATGTGACGCTGTAGCAAAATACTGATTGGGTAGTCTTTTTACACCATACTAAATCGCCTGAAAAAGAAACAAAAAATGCATTTGGGGGAGGGGGGGGCGCGTTCAGTACTGTCCCTTTCAATATGCCTACCTATGTCAAATGCCAATAACAGGAAATATGTTGCCGAAAGCTTTGAAGTAGAAACAGCTGTGAGCCTCCAATAATAGATGCCACACTAAGTGAATATAAATTTTAAAATAATCCAACCAGAAAAAATACTGGTCACAAACAATGACTAAAATTGCAAGCTAGAAACACTTACAGAGGGTCTTAGTTTAAAACTATCTGAAGTTAGTTAGGTATTTTGCTATTTGTTGGTACATACAAATATACAGATCATAATCTAAAATGATACATTACTGAAAGAATAGACACAAGGCTGTACAAAATATTGTTTTGTCTTTCCTTGTGTTCATCCTTTCAGTAATGTCCAACTGCAACCAGCGCGCTCACCCTCTACTAATGTAGTTTTATTTCAACAAAAAATATTATAAGATAATTTGTTAATATTTTTAAAATTATACCTGCCCTGCTTCAAGTTTGACTAAAATAATACATCCACTTTCTAAATTAAAAAACAAACAAACATTTTTTTATTATTTTTAAAAATGTCCACTAATCCTCAGGAGAAAGAAAAAAGTATAATATCTGTCTTTAGGCTGATCTTTGATTTATCCCAAAACAAAACTTCAATGGCACGATAGACAATAAAAAAATATGACGCAGGCACACAGTATTGGGAGTACTTACCTGTTCAGCATTTCAGAGTAAATAAATATTAAGAGTACAGATATGCAAGTACGTAGTTGACAGCATAAAAGTGCCCGCGGCAAATAAAATGCTAAGAATGTTAAGGGCAGATTTTTTTTACAGTCTTACAAACGAAAGAAATTGGCTCAAGCTAATGCATACAAGAAAACGTGAAACAGTATCCAAGAAAACGTGCGAGGAAAAATCCATCACTGTTCATCTTTTACAATCAAAAGTGTGGGTCAATACCCACCCTGCCCAAGAAATGCCTCCGGTAGGTGAGGGCGATCTCTTCGCTGTTGATCTTTGTAGGCGTGAAATGTCCCGGGACAAAGACGCTGTCGAAGACGTCCGACGGGGAAGAGCACTCGACGCCGTCCACCCAGTAGCCTCCCGCCACCGGGAGCACGACCATGGGGTATGCGGCCTGCTTCTTCAAGATCTGTTCCCGCCGAGAAAATCCGCACATAAGAGACGTGTAACAGAAAGTATTAACTGCCAATTGCATTTGATATGTAACGACGTTGCTTTGCATGGAGTGTTGTCAATGGTCCCGTTGCGGTCTTGTAATATTCGCATAGTCGGAGTCCCTACTGCACGAATACTAGGCGTGTGCGAATATTCGAAACTTTGAACAACGCGAATAGTGTTCGCTGTTCGATCCGATTTTCAACCCACTGTTAGTGTTCAAATTATTATAATTTTTTTTTTAATTCCCAAGTTTCTTAATTTTTTTGTCAAGCTTTACTGCATCGCGCCAGCATTCTCGCGTCATGTTTCACCACTATGCACCGCCGCGCGTGCGTCAAGCTTCACTGCTTTACACCGGCGCGCTCGGAGAAACGGCTGACACGGAGGAGCATCTCGGTTGGGTCGACGGGCTTGGATATTTTGCTCACTATCGTGGGCCAACTGTTGGAAAAATAATGTCAACCTATATCGAATATATAGGGTGTTTAATTTGGTCTCAAACATATTTTTATATAAAGAAGAAATGGGTGAGAGTTACGCGGGTGCCGTCTTCACCATGTATTATTTATCAGGCTCGGTGGACATGAGACGAGAGAATAAATGACGCAGTAAGTTGGCTAATTAACTGAAATCTGCTAGCTGACTTCTTAATTGGTTTTATGGATCACATTACAATTGCAGTATCTACGGCGATTACTACTAGAAGTTCGACTAATTAAAATAATTTGCAAAAAGGCAATTGTCTTTAAAACATTCATCATCAGTTTTCGCTTCCATTTTTTCTTTGTACGATTCAGAATTCGCGCACAAAAAGAGCGTCGCAAGTCACGATGTGGGTTGAACGATGTGTCACTCTTCCAAGCGTCGTTGTAGGCAGGGCTTGCGGGGGTACACGTTTTGAGGTTAATTTTCAAGTCAGGTTGAAAACAGACACACACAAAATTTCGCAGAAAAATGCCTTTTCGCAATTTTTTTAGATGGTCTAGCTTCTAATCGTACCTGCAGTCAGACACACAATAACGACAATTAAAATGTTAATGAACATATTTCAGTTGGTTATCCAACTTACCGTGAGGGTTATTCCCTTATCTAATGTACGTCGACCTTGGTAAATACATGGTGCTCACAACGCAAATACTTGGAGCAAACACGTAACCAGGATTTTTTTTTTTTTTTTTAGGGGGGGGGGGGGGGGGGGGGGGGGGGCGAGGGCCGGGCTGGCCCCATGGGTCCCCCCTGGCTACGTGCCTGACCTGGAGATTGAACCGATACAGGTAAGAGAAGGAAACGAGAAAGGGGGGGGGGGGGGGGGGGGAGAGTTGGTTTTGAACGAAGCAGGCCCGCAGATAGCACAAGGGTCTATGTTTCTGGTGAACGCAAAATAAAGCTGTACACAAAAATTTTCTTCCTGAGATGCTTTTCTTGTTTTTCTTATTTAAGGTCAGTTAGGAATTTTTCGTTTTCCCAATTGTTTGATAAAACCAGCTCAAGGGTTCATTTTGAGGGTTTATCGGTTTATCGGTATTTACCGAAAAGACGGAACGTTAATTAAGTTTTACCAGACTCTTCTTCTCACGGACTCTTTTCTTTTTTATTAAACGCAATCTTTTTTTTTATTTTATTATTAGGTATATGTTTGCTCGAAAATAATTCCATGCGGAACTATTTAAGTACCAATGTTCAGCTCACATTAAATGTAAAAGATTCGTGTTCAAAAACAATCTATTCAATTTGCAGTAAAAAAAAAAGAATATATATATATATATATATATATATATATATATATATATATATATATATATATATATATATATATATATATATATATATATATATATACACACAACACGGGCACTTAACGTCATCGTACGTGGTCTCCAAGGAGGATATAAACGAATATGTGCAGACGAATGAACCGTACTTAATCCAATGAATCAAAGAATTAAAGTATTCAGGAACCCGCCGAAAGCCAAAAAACGGCGGACCCAGGATTTGAACTTTGGGCCTCCCAATAAACCTATAAACGGGTGTGCTATAAAGTATGTCTTCATACACGTTTTAGATTACAGGTTCCTAAAAGTCAGAAATTATGATCATGCACGGCCTTTTCCTTTACTCAAAAGGTGATCAAAGATCGCAACATGCCCCTTCATCCGCGAAAAAGGAACGTGTCGCGATCTTGGCTCACATTTTTAAGAGAAAAAAAAAAGGGCGCGCAGGTTCGTAATTTTGGTTTCTTTTAGAATCTTTAAAGCATATAGATTGCATAATCGCAGTAAGAAGGCAGCTCAAAAACTGTTAGCGCTAAACACTGCCAGAGCAAACAAACAATCATAGTTTTGTTTTCGTTTGTTTCTTATAATCGAAGGGCTGTCACCATCAAAAATACTAGTGGTGTGTAAAGTGCTAACTTGGGGTGTTAACCTAAGCGATAATATTTAAAGCCTACCAATACCATCTCCAAGTAAAAAAAAATATATATAAATAGGAGTGCCAATGTGCCAAAGGGTCAAGAGTACCGTGTAATTTAGACAGATCCAAGAGCTGATAGGTTGACTCAACAGAGTCTCGATCGATCAAAACTAAGGTAACATCACATGATAAAGTTAAGGTGTCAGCGGAAATATTGCAAACGATGTACGCTCACCTCTTCCAATTTTTCCTGGTCCCGAGTCTGCCTCTGTTGGAATGAAAGACAAAAAGAAACTTAGCTGAGCCAAAGCTAACTCTAGCGGGCTAGTAAGATGCACAACCAAAACAAAAGATAAATTGAAAAATTATATGAGCCAGCAACACAAGACAGAATTACGAATATACATTCAAATTTTTGCGAGGCTCATCTCGAATAAATAATGATTTAAATATGCCTGCCCATAAACTGAACATCAGACCTAAGAAAGCAAATGTCTCAGTTTTTCTCGGAATTGTCTAATTCAACTCCAGTGCACACCAGCTTGGCAGCATGTTTTCCATCATCTAAAAAAAAAAAAAAAAAAATTAAATTCGAACTTACAAATAAAAAAAAACACAATAAAGCAAACTTTTGATAAGCCCTTCCACCTCCCACCAAAAAATGCAAATTTACAATGGAACACCATATGAATATGCAAATGCCAACACAGATAATGACATCTATGAGCAAAATGACAGGTTAAATTTGAGCGAGGGAAGCTATAAACATGGAACAGCAATATATTCATAACTGGATCTCCATGTGCCTCGCCCCCTCCCCACACACACACACACAATTTATAACAATATGAAACAAACATGAGATGATCTATATTCTAAACAGTGCGATGAAAAATAATGAAAGAAAGTCGCCCCTTTCCCCAACAATTGCGGCAAAGGCAATGGTAACAAAAAATGCGATACAGCGACGAGCTAGATGCGATCGCAGCGCCGCCATTTCTGGTGCCGCCAGGGGGGTAAAGGTGGGTGAGGAGGAGTGGCAAATCCCGTGCGCCGACACCCGGGGTCCCGAGTGAACGATCGCAAAAGAGAGCGACAGAACACGAGAGAAAGAAAGCAACGTTGCCATGGTAAACGCGAAGGGTGAAAACTCTCAGCAATATAAACAGTGATAATTTAACGTTGTAAACTAAATTATGAGCTATTCTAACGCTTATAAAAAGCAATAAAGTCATTACGCTGCATTAACTTCCCTTCTGTCGAAATCTCGGAAATCTGGTGGTTGCGCAGTTTCGTATTCCTCAACCGCGCCCACCCGCGCCGCACCGACGAAGCCGGGTATAGACCTTTTCATTTCAGTAGTTGCTTGACCGGCGGGTAGAGGGCGCTGGCGCACTCGCCGCCATTAGGTTGCTTCAATTTGGTCGGTTTCGGTTTCAATGTGCACGCGATTGTGATGCTGTTTCATGCCACTTTCGATTAATTTTGCGATATAAATTTCTTTCTTGTAGCACACAGCGAATGAAACAATACTACTGAGCCACTTGGCAAACCACGAAGTGGTTTTGAGCCTAAATTGCGATCTTTTTTTACGAACACTATATGCGTCCGATTCCGTCCATCGTTAATTTCGGCCAGGTTCGGCGGTGAAACAACTGCGCTGATGCACAGGGAAAAGTACCATTGTCCACGGCCGTACCCGCGGACACTAATTTCCAGAAGAAAAAAAATAAATAAAGAGCAGGACAAGCTCCGCCTGCAGCGTGCGCTCCTTGCCTGCCGCCGTGCTTTGGCTGTGCGTGCACCGAGCGGTACGGAAGGTAGATAGCTCGCGCTCAAGTCAGATATTGAACTGATCATCTTATATTGCAACAGACTATATTACATGCGTGCTTAATGAAAAAGCAGGTCGACAACATGATTAACAATCTGCTGAATCACCAAGAACAGATGAACTGACAAGTTTACTGTTCGATATTTGGTTTCCGTACACCAACCTTTCCCAACCGCGAGACTGGAAACGTATTTTATAATGACTAGAAAAGTTGCATATAATCACGTAGATAATATAAAAAGTGATATTGTCTCGACAGGTTTTATTTAAGGAAATTAAACGCTCGAGAAATATTTTGATACACCAGCGTAGGCTGACCAGAAAATTTCTTTAACTAAACTACTCATTAACAGCATTTCGAAATATTGGCCTTATGAAATAAACTTTTTTGTTATATGGAAATTTGCTTACGACGTTCTCAAGGTATGAAAATCGTGCGATAAGTGAATGCCAGACTTAAAATAAAGTCTAATATTCATCTTCCGTAAAATTTGCCGAATGAAATTGAAGATTGCAAAAGAAATGATCTCCGATAGGCTTGGCTGAAGTCGAACGTCAGGCGCCACCCAATGAACGAAAGCTGTTCACTGATTTGAAAAGATGCGCTTTGCACATTTTGACGTCGCCAGCTACTGAAAGTAACTCCCTTCGCCGTCGACAACCGGCAGCACTCGGGTGATTTTCATGCTGAAGGATTCTTTTCGGCGTCACATTTTGTGAATCATAGGCACTATCAAGCTGTCTGTGACAGTTTCTTACGCGGGGAGTCCAAATATTTGTGTTGAAATAAATTAATTAAATCTGCATGGTTATATTAAAAAATTATTTAAGCAATTTAAAGACTATGCACATGGGACCAAGCACGATATACAATTCCGAAGAATTCCTAAATAAACCGATAAAGCGAATGCTTATGTCGCCCACGCGATTAAGAACGTAAAACAGATATAAGTGTGATATTGCGAACAAACAAGTTGCCTAATGTTAAGGTACCGTTATTTCTAGCATAAAAAAATAATTCAAACTAAACGTTTGTTCCCGCGTCTTGTCCACGAGTTCTCTAGTGTAATCGAAAGAAACTGTTTTCGATTTGTTGTAACTACAAAACACCATGTTTTCGGGAAAAACACGTGGCTAATTACGCTGAGTGTTTTTGTTTCCTTCCTTGACACCAATGCGCACTCATATATATAATAACATTGGGCTTCCTATTGCGAATGTTCCGCCCTTATTAGTAACCAAACCTCAGTTCTCATAAGATATTGATTTTTGAACCCTCGAGGCTCTCTTCAAGTCATATATGCATTCAATGTGCGCGAGTGCTAACGCTGATTCCTGTATCCCGGACGCCGACGGTTAAAAAATATTCAAAACGTGTTACAAAATCAACTACAGAAGATGCGCGCATAATGATGTAATGGAATTGCACGGTAAGTATGAGTATCTGACGACACTTTACGGAGTAAGGCAAGAGACGCGGCAAAACGCGACGAAAAACACGAATTCAACGCATCCGCCAAGGCGCGGACGGGAGAGCGGAGCAACAAGTTGAAGCAACCTAATGGCGGCCGCATCACGTGATTCCAAGATGGCAGCGCCCATGCGGCAGAGGGTGAAAAGGTCTATATGGTTTAGTTTAGCGTTAACGCGAGGCCGTACATCTGCGCGCTGTGCAAAAAAAAAAAAAAAAAAAAAAAAAAAAAAAAAAAAGCTTTGAAAGGAACGCGAATATCTTTCCACCGGTAAGTTCGTGGATTGTTGAAGTTCACGAAACTGCTCTGATGATGTAACCGTGTTTGGGACCCCGAGGGTCTGCCTGCATGATCCGCCGCTTGCGGCAGCCAGAATGTATGGGAAAATGGCGGACCTTTTCCTCTAGAGTTAGTATGTATGATCTCTATGGGTGCCGCGGCAACCCCGGCACCAAGGAGGTTAGAAGTACTAGGAGGGGGCACGTTGCAATATTGGTGAAGCCTAGTCATAAAAAGTTTAAACGATTTTGTGCCCAGCGTGACCGCAGATCTGTCTGGCGATTGGTGCGCGTGACATGTCACGTGTGAGATGGATGGTTGCTTGTAGAAGGACTCTTTGCACGCTTGCGCGCGCTCCGTCCGGTAGGTTTTATCACATCGAAGGCTAGACTGTGGTATATTCTAGTACCCCATAGCAAGACGAAGGCTAGCTACGGTCATGTGATGTGGTCACGTTGGCGTGGTAAGTGAGGAGTGTAAGGAGGAAAATGAGAAAGAGGCGAGGCGTCAAGGGAGCATGGCTTGTGGAGGTTACACGGCTGACGTCATGCCCTCTCCTACCCTTCTATTCTCCATGCCCGGCACAGACTATCCAGGACGGATAGGATGAAAGATTCGCGCCGCACCCTTATCTAGGTGCGCCAAAATGAATAAAATAAAATAAAATAAAATAAAGGAGAGCGTGCTTGGCAAGAGGGTTGAAAACCCGGCGCTCACTCGTTTAGCGCATGTAGGAGTACGGCGCGTCGCTGTTGTCGCTCTATGTTTGATTAAGTCATGTGAATCGCGTAAGTAACTCGGACGTACTCGAACAATACGTTCGGTTGGCACTCGTGTCCAATCAGCGAGAAGATCAGTGTTCGGCTGGCGCTCACTTTTTTTTCTTTCACCAATGTGCATGTTTTCCCACACTACGCGTGACCACTGCATATATGCGTAGACCAACTCTACGAGAGATGAAAATTCCAGCGTCCCCCCTGAGCATCTCAAATACCTCTACCAGTATCGCAAACATAAAACAGTTCTGCGTCACCATATTCATATATTTAGTGCATCGATTTATAGAACTGTGCCTTGTACTTGCAGATGTATAAGTTGTTTTGCATCACTCCCCTACTGTCACTGGTAAGGTGAGAGCGGCAGGGAGGAGGTTCAGTGTTCCCGCCTCCAGCGAGAACTTCTTACCTTCGACAGCGCTTCGGTGACTCTCGTGCACCTCGAACGCACGCGCGCCGCCAAAGCACGGCGGAAGGCATGGAGTGTGTGCTGGAGGCCGGGTGTTTGAAAGACTCACCCTGTCGTTCTCATTCTGGCAGTGACTACAAAAGTTAGCGCACATACCTCAGCCTTACTGACGACCGCAGCAGTGGCCTTCTTCGCAGAGCCCAGGGGAAGTTCACAGCGCTGGTCATCCAAGCGGCTGTTTTGAAGCTTGTTGAGCAGCTCAAACAGATCACCGGGCTGTGATAGGGCGTGGTAAGGTGCAGCAGGACAGCCCGTGAGAAAGAGTTTCGCTGGACCCCTTCCGCTTTTCTGATACAATGCGAGCTACTTTATACAACCACTGATGAGCCTGCAACTACTATGCCAATAAGGTCACAAAGATATTCCAAACCAATGCCCTACAGACATCGGTTGTAAGAACACCTGTCTTGGCAAGTGCACACTGACAATGGTAAGAAATCCTAACATTGACAGCTCGTGGATTTGGATACTTATATATGTTCGGTGACAGGTTAAGAGTGAAGTGGAAGCTCTCCACACCTCCTGACACTTTAGCAGAGCGAAAGCGCATATATATCTTTGAGTCTTATTGATATAAACCTGACCCACCTGAACTAATTATATGTAAAAAAAAAAGAGGAAAAAAAGGAAGCAAAAACCGAAACGGGTAGATTGGGCTTCACTTTCCCAATATTTGTGACACAAGTAACACAGAGAGTTTGTCACGCGCAAATACTATATTGTAACTTTTTGAAAATATTTTTCACTTTTTCATTTTGTTTGTTGGCCGCTTTGGCGCTGCAATTGAGAAACGCAAGCATGTCAAGCTAAAGCCGGCAACGCGGGTAACGCTGCGCTCGTTCCCCTTATTTCTTGAGGACCGCGTAACGTTGCCCCCTACACTCCCTCCCTCCTTCCCTCCCTTCCTTCCCTCCCTCTCTCTCTCTCTCTCTCTCTCTCTCTCTCTCTCTCTCTCTCTCTCTCTCCCCCCCCCCCTCTTTAGACAACTCCCTAATGCCGCAAGCACGAGAGCACAATATCGTGACCTTTAAACGTTCTTCCGCAGAACGTCCGCGCGATAAAAAAGGCAGATCTCAAAGTCAGGAGCGCGGGCTTGCTTGCGCTTGTAGCTTTTGCAGTAATCTCAGCTAAAGGCAAACAGAAAGAAAAATGAAATTATGATGCTAATATATATATATATATATATATATATATATATATATATATATATATATATATATATATATATATATATATATATATATATGTTATATTGATTTATACTAATATATAACTGGACCGTTGGAAAGTAGTGCCAAGCTCCCCATAGGGCCGCCATTTCGGCTCAGGAAATGAGCAATTTCTCGTTGACTTTACCATTCTTGATAAGGCGATCTAAACTGGCTGATGACGGCTAGCGTAAAGGAGGGTTCTCACATGCAGCGAAGCACTGAGGCAGCGCTGTTCACGTGTCGTCAGCTACTTATCGTCTGCCATGAGCAACAGTTTTGACGGTGCGATACAAAACTGGTGAACGCTCCCGTCAGCACGCGCTTAGCGCAAAGTCAGCGGCGAGATGTTTTGATGGCGCCTCCTATGGTTCCCTCTCGTGACATCATTACCTTGCGAACAGCAAATTCAATGGTGTTTGTGATGAGCATGGTGGAAACTTGAAATCATTGCGCTCTTAAAGTAACACTGCCAACACCGCCAAAATTGAAGTTCTTCCATTCCTCTTATTTCAGTCAAAAAGAAATCCTTTACTGATGTCATAGTCAGCACTGGGACAATCGTGGAAGGCCGATCAGAGCGACGCTTTCGATCGCGCACCTCGCCAATAGGGAGTTTTCGTAGATCGTTTTCGCCGTCCCGCAAGGCCCTCCGCAACCCGCTGCGATAGCGGAAACTCCACAGTCAAGGCTATCGGCGCGCAGGCGCAGTAGCGACTTCTTCGTTGCGGAACGCTTAGCGGAGGGGGCAGCGCGGTCTACGAAAACTCCCTAATAGCGCCCCGCTGTATGTGTGCGCTAAGCCAACACCACCTGGCTAAGCCCCTCCGCTACCCGGAACTCTACAGCCAAGGCCATCGGCATGAAAGGGGCAGTAGCGATTTCTTTGTAGCGGAGGGCTAGCGGAGGGGAAAACACGGTCTACTAAAACTCCCTATAATAGAAACACGTTTGTTGTAGACCGAAATTTAGCTATCCGCATACCGGCGAAACAAGCGTACATCTTCGTGCCACTACCACATGCGTTGTCGGTGCTTGGAGGCATGGAAACATAATTTTCCTGTTTCGAAATACGCAAGAAGAACAATATAAGTGTAAGAGATCCGTGAAGTAGGGCATGATTGATAAGTTGATTGCCTACACCGTGCCAAAGACGCTTATATTGGCGAGGAACGCCTTCAATACGATGATCCTCCATGGTGATCTTGGTGCGACTGGAATAGAATGACCGACCCCCTCGAAGCTTCGAAGATTTGAAGGGCCCGAAATGGTGATTGCCATAGCAACGGGGGCCATATTAGTCAATCGCCTTGCGAGGTTTTGGTCGTCTCTATGTTAGTACTTCTTGTGCTCAGCTTGCAGGCAGAGAACGCAATGGCGCTACTTTCCCAGGATCCAGAGACCTTAATGGATACATGCCAAGGTGCATATTGTGCAGTAAGCTACATAAGTGATGAGTGATATACGGTGTGTTTTTAAACTCTACATATTAAAAAAAAAAAAAAAAAAGCCCTGAAAGGTACACAAATGCGGTCTGTGCATGTGAATTATACAAGGAGACATAATACGGCAGTGGCTAATCGGCATGATAGGTCGAACAACTAAACTTTGTCAATTAGTTTTAATGAGTGAAAATAAACATGCTGTTCAAATTAGAAACGCGTTGAGCGTCATCGAAAATCACTAAATCAGCAATTTTTAGAAGAACCCAATTGAGCGTACGAGAAGTAGTGCGCTAAAGTTACCACTCGTGTAGCAGGCACAAGGCTGGCGGGGAGAAGACGCGGATGATAAGAGACGGAAAAACCGCGCGGTCAGGTTATCGTAGCTTTGGCGGCTTTTTATCCCGGCTTTTTTTTTTTTTTTTTTTTTTAAACAAATCTGTAGGGACTAAAAAATGACACCGTGTGTAATTTAATACGGTAAAACCCTTAATGTTTGCGAGCCCCTCATTTTAGCGACTTTCGCGAACTTTAGTGGGCGTGGATATTTCTGTTGTCTGTAGAGGCGGATTCCAGCCTTTGGAAATCGCGAAATTTCATGGTCGCAAGTATGACGCCGCTGCCCAATTCGCGAAAACTCAGGGCCGCGAAAATAAAGTGTTTTCCAGTATACCTAAAACACAAAGAAGAAAAATATGGGTTAATTTCCTTAAGTAGTTGCTGAAGATGTCGGACACTAAAATCTTACCTTTCCAACATCCTCTTCGACAGACCTCTTCCGAGGGCTATCGTCTTCTAGCGACCGTGCCATTGTGTCTGAAAACATAAAAAAAGTGGAGGACCTGTACTCAGATCAAAGATTAACAAATACGATTATCATTCCCACGTGATTTGTTCATTCCGTCGCAGGCACCCGGGCAGCCTTACGATCTAGAGGACCACGAACCACAGTGAAATAAACAACGCAACTGGGTTCACGAAATGAAAGACATGCCTCCTTGCATACGTCCGGGGCGACTGTGGTGCAGCTGCCTCCCCACAACCTTGAACAAAGGCGTATCTAGCTCTCAAGACATTCGTCAAAGCCACCTGCCGCATGACATCATCGCCGATATCACTCATGAAGGGACAGCTTCTGGCAATTGTCTTTGCAACAATTGTTCCCTACCGAACCCAGACGTAGTAACGGACAAGTGCATTTTAATTCTCCTTTTGCCTGTCTGAAAAGTCGCAAAGGCAATGTTAGCATTCTGTGTAGCCGAGGAAACTGAATCCCGGAGAAAAGCTCACCGGAGAAAAGCTCACCGGTGATAAGCTCACCGGAGAAAAGCTCACCGGCCATTGAGAGCATGCGGAGAAAACCTCACCGATTTGTTTTTCTTTTCATATGGAGGCTGTTGGAACATGCGTAACATATATCCAATTTATTATCATTAAAGTTCGTCAGCATTGTAAAAGGAAAATGTCGTTTTTTATTGCGGGAGAGTGGTTTCTGTGGCTTACTCTCTAGGGCAACGAAAGGCTAACTGACAAACATTATGAACTTGAAGAACAGGAAAGAGTTCGAAAACTTAAAACTTAAAAGGCAAAACTGTCAATGCCGCCAATCCGAAAGTGAACGCGCAGCAACGCGGTGCCTGAAATCATCTTTGAAGCTAAAACAGTCCGAGGCTTCTTTCTTCACGGACATGCACGTTTTCTAGCCGTCCGTGCTGGTGCTTCCACACGTTGCCTTTGTGTGATAGTGCCCTTCTAGGGGGAGTTACCCATGACCTTCATAGCTGCACACTGGCACCGTTGTTACTCGCGACCTACATAAGAAGTAATCTTCTATAAGGTAGCGATTAGGGCGAGTTGATAAACCTTATACATGATGAAAATCGCTCGAACGACGACGACAGAGTGAATACAACAAACACGACAGGACGAGGCTGTACTCGCAACTAAAGATTCGTTAATGAAATTAACAGAAAGAGAACAGCGTAGCCGACGCTGATTACATCAACAAATACCTACTTATTCATTAGGCACTACACAATATTTGGAGCTGAAACGGTTCACACACCGCTATTTATATTAGCTCGCAAAAAACAAACCTCTTTATCTGACAGAGCCACCGACGGCGCACTGTCAGCTGTCAATAAATTGTAGTTTTTTTTACCGGCGTACAATGTTCTGATTGTATACTTGCGGCTTTATTAATATACAAAATGGGTGATTACTAATTTCTAAGGAATTAGTAAATATGCCCAATGAACTTCAAGAATATTACAAAGAAGAGGCCATATTTTTAATGAATTGACGAATCCGAATTGTGTTAAACTGCCACGTTTGACGCAGAATCCGCTAGGTTAAAAAGATTAGTGAGGTTTTCTCCGCATCCGCTCGAAGGACGGTGAGCTTTTCTCCGCATCTGCCGGTTTTGTGGTGAGCTTTTCTCCGGTAAGCTTTTGTCCGATGAGCTTTTCTCCGCCGCCCGAGGAAACTATACGAATGGTAGAAGGCCGACCTTATAGCTGAACAAAGACCTACGCATATTTTGAGGTTTTGTGCAACGTTTGAAAGGTTACGAGGCATTTCAAAGAACGCATTTGTGTGCATGCGTCTGACACCACCAAAAAGGTACATGGGGCTAAAACTGCCAAGACAAGGTTGGTGTTGATGACCTGCTATTGATGAGGTTGGCTTGAACGTTCGTCCAAAGAAGCTGCCTCAAAAATGTACGATAAAGACAAAGAAAGCAGACAAAATCCAAGATTTACAGGCATGCGAAAAGAAGTGGTCAGGAATCTTAAAGGGTACGCTTGAAGTTGGGAAATGAAAAAGTGTTAGTACTCATTAGGATGTCATGTGGCAAAAAAAAAAATATACTCAAACATACATAACTATAGTTTACAAAACTCGGTAGAAATTCCCCCATCCCATTTTACAACTTATGCTGCTGCAACGACAGTAAGTTTTGCCTCTTCAGCTGAATAAAAACACGACATCAGTGATGGAGGCTACATTACATTTGACCTTTTGTGGCACATAATATAGGAGGCAAAATGTTGGTTTGGACCAGCTACTGACAGCCTATAGCTAGAGCAAATCTCCCACATGTATATAGGTGACCTAATTTCAAATCGGGTAGGCTAAAAGGGTCTAATGTTTCTAAAAATTGTTAGGGTAAATTTTCTTGCAATTTTTTTTTTAAAATTTATTTTAGGCGAATCAATTTTAAATTGTCAATATTTTCGAAACAATCCCACATTCTCTCCCTCTGTTCCTCTTTTTAAAAATAAATGATTCAATTTATAGCTTTTTCACCAAATCTTCCCAAGCAACATCAAAAGAAAACATTTTGACATTTTTTTTCACATCTATTTACAAGTTTAATAAGCCTGCCCATACATAACACAAGAAGATAGTCTGCAAACACGGGTCACCGCAATAACCGTGGTTCGAATGCCGGGTGCCCAAGTTTCTCCTTGAAGTCATTGTAACGCGGCATTCGAAGCCCGCATCTCGCGGTAACTTGTGTTCGAATCTGTTTGCAGGCTGTCTTGTATAAGCAGTGTGACGCCAACTCTATAATTTCAGTAAAAAAAAAAAAAAAAAAGGAGGTCAGGCACGCGATTTCGGGGAAACATGAAATATACCCTTTTTCATCCTGGCTCGCCTCAATAGTCAATAACCTGAAAACAAATAATCAACCGAAGTTGTTGTTTGCACCCTTCACTTCAGGAGTGCCCGTAAAACATATATTTCGTTCGTCAAAATAATAAGTTGGACCATTTTAGCCTGCTCGATTGGAGATGAAATCACCCACATACAAGTCACTTGAAAATGAAATAATGATTATTGCGCTACATAGAGCTCCTAGAAGAATGTGATCTTGATTATTGAAACATGCCTTATTACCTTTTAATTATTAAAACTGGCAACGTTCAAATGGAACGTTGCCAGTTATTATCGGGCAACGTTCAATTTGAAGTGTCCACAACAAAATCGCCGCTACGTTTATTGACAAACAAATGCACGTATTCATCACGTGGCAGCTCCCGTATTTGTTTAAGTCGTACTTTATACCAACATGCAAATAAATCATTTACCAGCCACGCTATTAAAGTCTGCCAAAATAGAACCGACCGAAAAGTGGCAACAGACGGCAAACAAGCCTAACTGCTTTTGTCAACCGCTAATTTCCGATTTTTGGGAATTTGCTACAAATAATCATAATATATATATATATTCGTTTTAAAATTTTAAATTCGTAAGTCGAATTTTAAAATTAAAATTTTAAAATTCGTTAGTCGAGAACGAAAAATCCGACGAACTTGCGGTTTGTGGCTACTGCGTGTTTAGAGACGACGCCATAACATATTTTTTTTAAGCGAAATTAAAAACTCGACTTTTTTTGCCTGCACCCGATTTGAGATAAAATCAATATATATATATATTTTATCTCAAATCGGTGCAGGCAAAAAGGGTGGAATTTTTAATTTCGATTAAAAAAAAATATATGTTATGGCGTCGTCTCTAAACACGCAGTAGCCACAAACCGCAAGTTCGTCGGATTTTTTGTTCTCGATTTACGAATTTTAAAAGAGGCCGCGGCGGATAGCAGTGTTTTTCACATCCGTCTTGGGTGTGATGTTTCGCTCGATTTCCCGCCGTGGAATTTCAGTCCACATTATATTAACTTTTTTCAAGCACTCTGTGAGCATAGGTAAAAGGCTCTAATACCATTAAATAGTTTTAGGCGTTTTGCTTTTTTTTTGTAAAAATGTCAAAAACGCCCTCTCGGTTAATTGTTGACGAACTTTGACAATTAAATACTGGCGATCTACTTGGGTTACGTCGATACTTTTTATGTCTATGGAGAGCCCAAAAGACGCTATTTATATATATTATAAAATAACTTAATTGTATAAAATTCTATTTGCGGTACGTTTACGTTAACGTTATGCGAAAACCAAAAAGTACAAACTTCGAAATGGATTTTCTCAAAAAAACCGATTGTTTTATTTTTTTTTATTTTTTTGTTAAAATGTAGATATGATAGTTGTCTACTCGAAAAGTAAGTCGAGAAAGTGTGTATTTTGTTTGTATGTTCTGTATTTAAGCATCAATATCGTACAAGAACGTGTTTTTGCGGCTCGAAACCGACTTGCGAAGGCACTTGGAAATGTTTTTGCCTTTTTTCAACGTGCCCACATAAACCTGAAACATGCAGTAGTACCACCCTGTTATATTTATTGATAATTTAAGTTTTATTATGGGCGGCAAGCTACATTGGAGGAGTTCAAAAAAGAAAGCAACACTTCTTAACAGACCAGCAGGCGTCGTAAATTTTTAATGTGTAGAAATCGGCAGACGTCGTATTGATTCGGGGCTTTTATTAGCCTATATAAACGTCCCGCCCTTTCGGAACCAGCAGGTGACCACGGACTTTCGCGCTCGTTGTGTTAGATAGGACGGCCCGTGACAGTAAAGCGAGCAGCGCAGCCTAGCTGTGTCACGAGGAGTGAAATGGTACAAATGTGTCGTTGACACGGCGAACAGTGACGGCCACCAAGGAGGAGTCAGTCAGTGAGAGTATTTCAGAAGGGAAAGCAAAGGAACTGTTGCATGAGAGCATGAGGACACCACGGCCTTAGAATATCGAAGGTCAACAACAGTCCTGCCCGCCAAAATAACGCCGCGTGCGCGCTAAAACCGGCGAGGCGGGATAAAAATCCTGCAGACGCACACACAAAGATGGTCCGGTTTCGTTAGGGATGTGGGGAAATCTTGAAACCAGCCGTCCGCGCTCGCGTGAAACGATACCGCGT